ATAACAAGAACACTTGGTCCGACCTTCTGCAGTACAAAAATAAATAATTTCAGGATGGTATCGGGACTTAAATTTCTTACCTTAAAGTCCTCAAAATCTCTGAAATTTAGCAAAATTCTCCCAATTCTTGAAAACAAAAATCATTTTTAAAATGTAAACAACCACGTTTATGAAAGCCGGGATCTAATTGGTCCTCTCTGACCACACACTAAATTGACCAATGTTCTGTACAAACTTGCTTTTATGATTTTTGCATCCCCGATAAATATGAAGCAAAAATTCACTTTTGTTCTATAAACAAAATTTAAGATCTGCAACTCATTTTCGTAATAATAGTGAGGTATTAATGCTGTATGGCATCCAATGTAACAGTAAAAGATAACCAAGGTATAATATGCCATCTATTTAAATAAAGAGAAAGACTTCCATACAAGCATTCATATGATTTTATGATTAAGAATTATTTGATGTTCGCGCTAAATACATTTAGAAATATTCTTTTTTATCTCTCCTGGAATGTTTACTGCAGTTTAGAGTTAGCTTTTTATGATTAATGATCATTTCTCAATAGGGGATCCATGGGACTCCCTTAATGTGTCAAATCAAAATATCATTGCACTTTAACTCAAGGTCTATTCCCTCTCAAATTAGATAAACAGTATTAGACTATATGTTGATACAATATCCATTTTAGATTATTATAGTCTGCAGGGCTGTAGTAAAAATTAAAGTTTTGGTAGGGCAAATAAAGACAAGGCAAATTAGGCTAAAAGGGTATAAAGTCCAAGATATCATTCATTTCCATAGGTAAATTGTTGAAGATCCTCAGAATAAATGTCTGTAAAATTTTGTTCAGGCATACCCTAATGCTCTCATTAATGAATTGAATCTTTTTAACAGCAAAAGATAGTGTAAAGAATAGTCTAAAATAATTCAATGGAGGCAAAGTATGTAGGGGCAAGGGGGGGGGGGGTTCAAAAGGATTTGAGGTAAATTTACAAGGGCACAAAGAAACATGTTCTTATTTCAAACCTGTGCTAAATTTACCTACTACAGAAAAGTATATTATAGTGTTCATCAATCAATTGCCTGTTTTGTGATCTTCCAGCATTATTCCACATCTTAAACTCCTTGCAATAATACAGATTTATATTCCACATCTTACTAAACTTACTAACTACTTAAAGGTGAAAAGGTTGAGGCTTCAATTAATTTGTTAAAGGCATCAATTTGACAGTTGTTCACAGCCGTAATTTCCACTTACATCAGTCTAAAATCGAAATTTAAGTTAAATAACCCGCTTCAATGTGCTTCAACCTTTGATAAAAATGCTGTCTGGGCTTAATATCCCAGTAACTGATTGTATTTGCCAAGACCGACGAAGGAAAGTTCTATGCTCAATAAAACACCGTTATTTATAAATTCAGATGAAAAAACTTGCAAAAACATACATTTCAACATTATCAGTCGTATAGTGATCATTCTAATATGATACGTGATGTCACACTAGCTAGAACAATTGATTTACTGGTCTATATGAGTATGTATGACCGATAAAATTCATAAATGCAAATAGTCGTGTTTCTTGTCTGTTTATCTTATTAGAATAACTCGATTTTATGATTTATGTCAAATATATGACCTCAAAATTTATTCTGGCCATTGCCAAAGACCTCAATCGCTACTCGATTTCGGTCTTTTAACAATGAACAGAATAAAAGTTTCGGTCATATTACGCCAAAAATCATAAAATCTTGGTCTTTATTCCTTAATTTTGTAATAAAAGAAGTACATTTATATTACTTTTTTAAAATTATTTATATGGTTTTAGAATTTGGGAGGTATCATATACGTATAGCCATGTATGGCGCAGTAGGTAATGCATCAGACTTCTTTATATCTCTCCATTGGATGATGTGATCATTTGCTTTCATTGGCTGTTTGTTGTGATGTGACGTAAACTGACAGAAGAACCCAAACCCTAAACCTAACTCTAACTTACTATATTTGCACATAACCATCTTTAAATAGATGGCTATGCATATCTTGATATTCCCAGCCCATGTTAAAGGTCTTTTACAAAAATGTAAGAAATCTTGGAAACATTTACCTTACTTCAATCGATGTATAACATTCTAAAGTATCGTTTTTCTCACCATATCAGGTTATCTGGAGTCGGGAGACAGTGTAATTGACGAAAAATGTATTTGGAACTTGTTATTTTCCATGTCGTCTGACCAGGAAGTCTTGCCAATGCGCATGAATGTAACCGTAGGGTAAATGTTTCCAAGATTCCTTACATTTTTACAAAAGACCTTTATAAAGGACTGGGAATATCGATGTATGCAAAGCTATCTCTCAGGAGATAGATCTAGCTTTGTGCAAACTAAGTAAACTCTAACCAGAACCAGATCTGGCGAGGGACCATATAGTAGATTGCTAGAGTCCATTTCACTGCTTCATTTTGTCAGTAGAACGGCAAAAATAAGAAATTGGGAGACCATTGTGCAATAATATATGGAAAAGTATATTCATAATGTACATGAATGACATTTGTATATCTTGGATTGCTTCTAGTTTGGCTTATAAAGTGTGTGGCCTCTTATATTTGGATGTTTCTCTGCCATGTTATTTTCAATAAGATTAACATGGCTGAAATTCTTCAAATTACAAGACGGCACGGGCTTATTGCACAAAAAACTAAAAAATCTGAAATAAACAAATGTCATTCATGTACATTATGAATATACTTTTCCATATATTATTGCACAATGGTCTCCCAATTTCTTATTTTTGCCGTTCTACTGACGAAATGAAGCAGTGAAATGGACTTCAGCTACAGTAGCTGGAAGTGAAAATGAAAATGCTAATAAGATGGTTTTGTGAACATTCTTCAACTGGAAAGTATAGCATTTGTTATCCCGCACGAGAAAGCATTTGAATTGGTTGGAAAAGAAAAAACACATGATGCAGATGCAAATTGATTTCATAAACAATTTCAATGAACAAAGAATTCGAAGTATATTTCAAACTAAACAAGTCTTTACCTTTTTATGTGATTGAATAATCCGAAAGGATGAAATATACTAATTACAAACAAATTCAGAGATATACACTAAACATAAGAACCAAAACAAAAAAGTTACCTTTAAATTTCTGCATTTCTGTCAACTTCCGGTTTGAGAAAACAACAATGCCATCTATAAATCAAATACGTACTACATGAACTAATACTAATGGACTTGGACAAGGACTGACTGGCAGACAAACTTACAGTGCACTGGCAACTGTTAATTATATGAACTGTGACATTTTAAAAATCTATCATCATGACATATAGTATTATCATTGACTCACATTTAAAAAACTCTTTTACTCATAAGAACACCTTTAAAAAGTCAGTCCCAAACCTGTGATGTTCCATGTCATCCAAGGAACAGACAACTGTCATTGTTAGGGAATTACATTACACCTGTTCAACATTACAAATCATCTATAATGGGGCTATAATGTGTCATTTCTTTTAAAGAGGCTCTATACCATAGGATAGCACAATCAAGAGTCTGGACCTTTTTGCATATTGAGTTTCACCACATATTCACCTACACTGTATCTACTTACCAATGAAGAAGTCCCAAATCCCCCACTTTTTTCTGTGTTAATTTTGCAATTGTGCTGACTTATCTAATTATTTTTGTGGATACTAATTCATTCTGAAGTTTGAATATACCAGGCAAATCCCCCTATTATCTGATTGTCCGTTGGTTTTTTTTATCATGAACATGATTGGCTGCCTGGTTCAAGGCGTGTGTGGGCGCTTGTGTGACTCAACAGGTTCTCCCTCGCTAGCCGAGCAATCGATTGTGTTTAACTCTGGAGGTTGGTTGTTCTGTTGATTGTTTCAATATTTTGGCAATCATTACCAATAAATTATTTTCAAGATATATCCATGGTACAGGGTGGTCAAAAAAACGGAAACCTGTACACCATTTTCCTCATATATTTGTCATTTTAAGAAATAACTCCCTGATATTTTACATTTTTGTACATCATTCAATTTCCTACCAGCCTACTTCATTTCATGACCATCAGATTGATAGTCACAATGTTACAGCACTTTACAGAACATGCCCTAGTGGCCAATATTGCGCTGTCGGGCCACCTGCACTCGCCGTCCAAAATGTCCCTACCTGTAGGAACATGGCAAGGAAAAAGTGTATAAGAATGACCTCAGGACAATCACAAACCTCAAAAGTGAGATCATCCGTATCATTCAGGCCATACCTGCTGAGGAATGCATTTGGCCCATTGATAACTGTGCAGGTTAGCCTACAGCGCGATGATGGCCAAACTTGAAGCATGTTATTCAAAGTGCTGTAAAATTGTGACTATCAGTCTAATGGTCATGAAATTTAGTAGGGTGGTAGGAAATTGAATGATGTACAAATATGTGAAATATTTTCTAAAATGACAAAGATATTAGGAAAATGCAGGGTTTCCATTTTTTTTGACCACCCTGTATAAGAGATATTATATGAGCACTAATAAGCACATCATTGATTGTCTGGGCGAGAAACCTATGGTATACTGCATCTTTAAGGATACTAGATATAATATCCCAACCATGTCTAATCATATTTTTTTCAGACCACTGTGTTAACCCTTTCCCGACGAGGAAAATGTTGGCCTGGTGATGGATAAGAGCGAATTACCTATACCCAGGGACCTATACTTTAAATTTTATCACTGAAATAATTTTGTTTACTAAGGATTATCACATTTAAATACTGAATAGAACTAGAGATATTGTCATTTCAGTGATGAATGTAAATAAAAATAATGGTGCCAAAAGGAGCCTATCGTCAGTTATCCCCCAACAATATACATCTTGTTTTCTACAAAAATAATAATTTAGAAAGTATAATTATTCAAAAATTATAGAATATATTTATTCATCAATAGATCAATAATATAATATATTCAATGACAAAATAACATTTGGAGTTATCGGAAATAAAGTCAAGTTACATCTCTTATCATATGTCTTAAAGACACAGTTCTCCCCCTCCGTTACATTTATTTTTGATAATTTTTTATCTAACATATAGAAACAATTCTGAAACATATTTTACGAAACCAACAATGACAATAATTTTGTGATAATAATGTCACTTATATGTTTTATCACAGGTCTTGTAGACCATGTTATTGCTTAATTTATAGCAAAAACATTGATATTTGCATGTTGGTGATGCTGCACCTTTCAAAGGCTAACAACTTGATGTGATCAGTTATGTAGTTACCATAGATAACCACCACCATGGTAACAACTCATACCCCATTACAGTAACAACAGTTTCAAATTTCATTAAGGTTCTGCCTTTAAGAGTCATTCTCTATTTCAATGAGAGTTAATTGCACTCTGGTGTCTTGTATAATGTTCCAACCATCATCTCCTTCCATAGGGCTGGTATCTATTTTGTCCATGACCTTGACCTTCATAGTCTTGTCTTCTACCTGCATAGTGAACCCTGCCTTGATGACCTTGACCTTGGTCTCTATAATCCCTGTTATTCCTGTTGTAGTTGTCATGTGACCTCTGACCCTGGTGGCCATAGTAACCTCTTCCACGCCCCCTACCTCTGTCTCCTCGTTGACTGAAAATGAATAAATGTATTAGATATGACTAAATAAGTAGAGGTTATTCAATGGGAGGTTTTTGATACAGAGTATATCTGAGGTTTTTGATACAGAGTATATCTGAGGGAAATACAATATATCAAAGCAGGAAGATATGCATTCTTCATTCGATGGGATAATAATGAATTGGTTCCCGATGTTCATATCAAAGTAATAAGTGTAATGTGGAGAAAACATGGATGGGACAGAAATTAGGAAATAACTTGGAGTAAAAATCTTTAAGAACATATATAAATCTTACTTTGTCCAATCAAATGTTCTTTTAGGTCGTGTGTACCAGTTTTCAACACATGGTGGAGGACCAACAGGCTTGGTTGTCATGGCAACATAATCAGCATCTGCATCTGGAATATAACCAATATTTTATTGTCCGAAAGAGTCAATGAAATTACAAAGATAAAGGTTTTGTTTGGGGTTTATTTAACTAGACAACAGCAACACCAAAGCGTAGCAAATCCCATCGAACAGCCATGGCTGGCATATTTACCAAGTACATGTATATAGCAAAAATGGCAGTCATTTTTCAAAATGGCCACCTTCTACCAAAAGTGACATTGGACAGTGTGCCATGCTTATAGTATTCACATACCAAATATGAACAAACACGCTCTACTACTTTTCGAGTTATAGTAAAATATGTTAAAATGGTGGGCATTTTTCAAAATGGCCACCTTCTACCAAAAGTGTCATTGTCAGTGCTATGATATTTTGCGTTTTGGGCATTTTGAAATTTTACGGCTATTATAATTAGCTTATTTTCAATTTTTTGAAATTTCGCGAATTAAAACTGTTGGAATTTCGCAGCTTTCATATTTCCTGAATTTTCCAAATCTAGCGAAAAGCGCGAAATATAGTAGCACGCAAAAATTAAAGGGAATACAGTATATTATTTTAGTCAATTTCACTATTTATATTTCAATTAAACCTAAAAAATAAGCAATGTGGTCTTTTGATTGCTTTTTAGTTTTTTTGACAGAGAAAAAAAGTGAAATGGACTTTACCTGTGTATCTGTCTTTAAACAGAACTTCAAACTCAGCAATAATTTTCTCTATTTCTGCAACACTCACTGTGATGTCATCATTATTAGCCATATTCACGCGCAGAAACACCTAAAAATTTAAAAATACACTCAGAAAGAAAACAAATCAGTTCATGAAAATATTTGTGAGCATGAATGCAAAAATAGCTGAAAAGGCAAGTGCAGGAGCATTAAGCATTACTCTTAAAAGGATTCTGATCGTTTTTCGTTCAGTGTCCTTCACAAAAGTTGATGATGTGAAAGTGGTGAAGGTGTGAGGTTCCCTATCCATCTGCCAAAAGGTATGACCCCCATATAGTCCATTTAAAAACTATGATTTTGATCCAAATCACGCCATAGTTAATTTCTCAAGTACCTAGTTATTTGGTGTCAAAATAAAGAGGAACAGGAACAAATTACGGTACACACACCTGATGCATGGTTTTTGTTTTTGATAAATTACAATAACGTTTAATAATGTTCCTATGGCTATTGTGTGAAATTGTGTTGACATTTATTTAGTTAAGTGCATCATAATATATATTTGATTACATGTAATCAGTATCCGTGAAAGTTGATTTGAGTACTTTTACATTAAGTCCCAATCACGCAAATCCCTTGAATGTCCCACGAATTTAGGTGGATGTCGCGCAGAATCCCGCGAGACTTCTAATTTCATGCATCTTTTTGCCAATACAGTTGGGGACAAAAATAAATGACAGGTCGATTTTCGATCACCATTTCCTAATTATGGTGGTCTGAGAGCCCATAATTTCAAATATTGTCTAGATATATATCCCTTAAAATTTGTATATTTTACATTTTGTATAATCTCATCCACTGATGTATGGCCTCTTGTAAATTCTCTTATTTTTAACATGGGAAATCCTCACTTCAGCAAATCCACCTGTCATTTATTTATGTCCCCAACTGTAGCAGTCGTTATAGGCTGTCCTTCGTTAAAAATAATATACGGGAATGAACCTAAGGAAACAAAGAACTCTAGGAACTACCAATTTTTAACAGTGGACGTGTCTTGAGGAAGAAATCGACTCTGGAGGTAATAATTTGGATGTGAAAATTGCCGGTTCTTGCATTTTAATCACTTCTTTACATATTCTTCAGATTTCTCAGCAACTAGTGGATGGATTGCTACCATTTTGGGTAACTTTGCTCTGTAGTGTTGTTTGAATCAGCATGTCGATTATTGAAAGGATTTCTTATGTTTTTACTGGATATATATAACAATCATTTTCTACAAATTTCAGGAAGCATCAAAAACGACCCCCCTTATACTCTTAATAAGAAGTACACACTCATCGGAGGGCTTGCCCGACCCTCCAGACAAGCCCCTGTGACATGAATGAATGAAGCTTTCAAAGAACGTTCATGGGCGATAATAGGGATAATAGTCCATGTGTTGAGTTTATGTAGAAATGTAGCCAACAAAAGGAAGATTTAAATAGGCGTTATTTTAAGTATATGTTGAAAAATTAATAAGCAACATTAAAGATAGCACATATGCAATACTTACCCGTTATTTTACGAAATAGTTTGTGGGAAAATTCGATAAATCTTAATTTAGAAAATTCTTTAGGTGGTAACAAACTTCAACTTGTCAAAAGTCTTATATCAATCTCTTGTATAGTTTCATCATTTGAACATAAACCGAATACTTTTCCATTGATCTGTTTATGTTAAATTTTAGTCTGAAATGGATTGAAATTCCAGGAATCGTATTTATCATAACCGTTTTGATTCTCCACTCCATAATTCTTAAATTAGCGTTAGCGCACAAAGTTAAAAACTAAAAAGCAAAATTGAATGATTGAAAGGTAAGCTTACAAAAACATTCTTTCTGAAATTTATATTATTTAGTGCGATGTCGTCTTCATCATTATTAGTAATAACCATTATAGCACCAAGAACACTATATGCATATGTAAAAGATAATTGTAGTTGTAGGACTAGGCTGCGTCACCAAAGCTCTTCAAGACCTACAGTGGGAGCCACTGAAGGAGCGTCGAGAGGCTGCTAGAGTTTTCCTTTTCTACAAAGGAAAGCAGAACCTAGCAGCCATCGACGTGCCTCCATACTTCCGCCAACAGATCAATACCAACACTAGGTTGTATCATCCTTCTAAGTTCATACAACCATCAGCTAGAACGGATGCATACAAATTTAGCTATTTCCCTAGGACAATAGCTAAATGGAACACTCTACCTGGTGACATCTTAGACTGTGACAGTCTAAATAGTTTTAAATCATCATACTATGCCTATGTCAATAACTGCAATTAAATAGGTGTGTTTTTAATATAGATCTATGTTTTAATGTAAATGGTCCCCAGTGCACAGCAACAAGCCTGCACTACTGGTAAAAGGGGGTGATGTCAACGCGGTTAGCCTGACAGTCTCCCCAGGTAAAATGAGTTGTAAACCATAGATCTATTTTTAAATGTTAAGGTTTTAAATCATATTCTATTCAAATTCTATCACTGTTAAATTATATATCTGCTTTATATGGGCTTATTAGCCTTTTGCAGATTATTGACATAGACATAGACTAGATCTAATAATTCTAGTTTTATTTTTCAGAAATCAATCCAATTCCAAACATTGAAGCAAGTTTTGAAATCAACTAAGATTCACACTGTAGTCTGTTAAATTTACTTCATAATCACCCATTGTCACTAGTTGAATCTAAAAAATAAGAAATCTAAAGACCATTGTGAATGATATATGAAAAAACATATTCATCATTTGTTTATTTCAGATTATTTAGTTTTTAGTGCAAAAACCCTGTGCCCTATTAATTTGAGGTTTTCAGCCATGTTTATTTTTCATACTCTTTTCAGAATTAACATGGCGGAACAGCATCAAAATATAAAGAGGCCACAGACTTTCTTATTTTTAGGTTCAACTGATGATTATGAAGTAAAATTAACAGACTTTAGGGTCAAAACATAAGACTATCAGAATCGATAAAAGAGTCTTCAATTGGCTGAGTTTAGGACAGTGGTACCTAGTGTTGTCGCGATAAATCGATACATCGCGATATACATCGCCAAAACTGGTTCTGGCGATGCATCGATGTCTGAAACAAACCATCGATGTTTTAAAAAAAATTTAATTTGCTAAAAATCGCCCTTTCTTATCTTATTTTGACGCAAATTGCTAAACCTTTTTTCATGTCTTATTTCATTTTCAAATGTTTTCTGATATTCTTTCGCTTTAAAACTTTTTTAGCTAGTCGAAATGAACCATTAATCTAAAAAAAATTACTTTACTTTCATTTCACCGTTACTATGTTCCCGGATGTACCAACGTACTCTTATTAATTTGTTCTGTTCGATATTTTAGTGCATTAGCGTTCGGTATTTCAGTGCACTTTTCTCGAACTTTTTCTCGATGTACATCGCGATGTGCATCGATGTTTACTACTGAAAATTGCCGATGCATCGATGTACAATTATGGCACATCACGACAACACTAGTGGTACCTGTTACACTGCTGGGTTGAGTCTAACGAAGCATATTTGTAACTAAGGTTAGAGAAAAAAATTGTGTCCACACTGGCATTATCTAACCCCAACAATTATTTGGTGTTACACTGCACTTAAAATGCTTTGTTGCGCGTGAGATTACTCATCTTCCACACCCACTTATTTATTAATATTCTTATTATTTTAATATAAATCAACGATCATAACTTTTAAACTTTATATTAACAATTATGTACAGAAAACGACTACATGGAGTTCAAAATTCTCGGGAAAATAAAACCAGATGAATGTGATCATTCCGTACATGTCTCCATACATTTTTCCAATTACTACAAGTATTTTTACATATTTCAGTCAATATCATTACAAGTATTCTTCTCATTTTTCTATAATTTCCCTTGGAAAACATTTGTTCATGACCAATTCATTTTAATATGAATATTACCCACCACTATTCCATTCATATTTGAATGAGTTGCCCATAAAATAGTATGTTAATCCATCAGCCATCAGTTGAATTCCAAAATGACGCAAATAGGAAGAAACTTGAATATCAGTTGTGAGCATTGTCTGAGGACACGTCAATAATTCAAAGGCAACAATAATGAATGCTTAAGCGGGACTTCGGTTTTTGGGGCTGGCCAAAAACATTGACCCTCTCTGTAGCAAATACCTGTCAACAAGGAACAGTTTTGACCAGTCCTGAGAGCGTTCCTTGTTCGCAGGTCTTACTGCATATGTATATGATAGTTTTGAAACGTTAATTCAATCTATTTAAACATGAAGTTTAACTTCAATAACAATTTAAAATCGTCAAAGAATGAAATGATGGAACGACCAAATAAGAATTGCAATAGGGCAATAACCAGTTGAATACAATTTCTGAGTAGGGACATTTTTGTATAGATTAAATCAGCTAAATCCCTGATGTGATTCACCAGGAAGCAATAGTATCATGGTATTAACACCCAATTATATTCAAGGTATGATGATTATACGAGGAGCAAAAAATCTAAATATTAAACATATATGCCACATAATTTTCTTTAGTAAGCATATCTTACGTAATTTCAAAAGTTTACCCTTCCACACACGGAAGGCTTCAGAAAAATTGCTTCGTTACGAAGCTTTTTGTCAAAATGCTTCGTAACAAAGCAATTTAACCGTCCAGTGTAACAGGGGTCAATGAACTACCAGAGACTAACCTAATTTAGTAGAAATCGTCCATAAAACCTGCAAATCACACTCAACTGCCACCAAATCAAATGACAGTGAAACAAATGATATCTTGATAAGGTCTATTCCATTCAGAGGACTAAATTCTTTTATTTCAGACTGTCCATTATTTGGTTATCATTGTTGTTTTTCTCATTTCTTCATTATTCACTTCTTGACCAGGAGCATCACAGAGAGTTCACCCAACCTTCCCTGAAAGATGTTTCCCACCAGCACTCAAAGGAAACACTGGATGTTCAGTGGAGAGGATGACCTAAAGAAACTCAGAGAAAAAGCAAATAAAAAATATGTGGATGGCTTTGGAGAGCATCTTAATGTGAGTGATCTATTTTACTCTTCCCAGAATCAGCTGAAATCTGTTTATTCCAGCCTTATACACGATAGCCACTCATAAAGTCCCAAATTATTGTGTCAAGCATGCCTTCATGTATCTCCTTTGCATAATCAGAGTTCATACCTCAATCTAATGTTTATCCTATCAGCTGTTTTTTTATTGATTTGCACAAGCAAAATAAATAACTAAAAAACTGGAGGCCATTTTGATTTTCTCAATAGTAAAATAGCATTTGCCTTATTTAGATGATTTTAAAAACAAAGGACTTGATAATATAAAATCAATATGGAATCTTGCATTTCCCATTTACATAGACAATTATATTCATTCAGCACCCAACTGAAAATCCATTTGAACCCACTTGAACTTGAAAATGAGAAAAATCATGAAAAATTGGCATATTTTGGCCAATTTTGATCTGATTGTGAAAACAAGAATTTTGCACCCACTTGAGAAAAAATTCTGGGGAGAACACTCAATAGGATATCCTATGATTTTAAGTGATATTATTTTTCTCCACAAGTTGATCGTGTAACAAATGAGTTCAGATATTGATATCAATGAGTGAATTAAAATGATAGTACTTTATAAATGACGACCTTTTTGAGCTCAAAAAGGAATGATTTTGAACGATATTGGATCGGGTAAAAATATAGGATCAAACTTTTAGTGTTGGTAACTTGGTATTGCCTATTATCCTAATGATGGTAAAGACCCCAAACGTAGTCATGCTCTTACTGATGAATTAATGTCAAATATTGCAACTCTAGAAAATACAGGTGATTTTGTGTTATTAATGGGTAATTTCAATGGCAAGCTAAAGCAGTTCAATAAAAATGACTCCCCTAGTCCTAATGGTGAAATGGTTGAAACATTATGTGAAGTCACAAACATGTAGGTCCTTAATTTATCAAGTAAGTGTAATGGTTCATATACATGGTTTCGATGAAATTTAACATCCACAATTGATTATTTGTTATGTAACCAAGCCCTTTATGATAAGCTTTCCTCTATGACAATTGATGAGGAAGGCAATTTTTCAATCGAAAGCGACCACTGCATGATAATGACGGATTTTGAAAAAATCATACAAATACATGTAAACCAATTTTGAAACATATTAACAAAACCAGTCCTAATGCATGCCTTTGGAATATGAATGATAAAACAGATCAGAAACTTTTTAAATCTGCTTTAAATGATGAATTTGCAGACTGGAACCTCAGAGTTTTTGCAACCCCTGAAGAAATGTGGGTCTGTTTTAGGGATAAAGTCATTAATACAGGGAATAACACGATTGGTCACATGAACATATCACTTAGCCATAGATCCTTTTGGGATAAAGAACTAAAAAAGCTCATCCAGACACTGGTGATCCACTCGATTACGCTGGATACCGAAACGGTTCGTTTTGGTAACAAAATGTCGGAACATCGAAGGTACGATTTTTCCTTATTTCACACGTTGTAGGCAGAATTCCCACGACATTTTTACCACAAACATGTATCAGTATCATATGTTTAAAGTGTCCGCCTGACCAGGCTACGTATAGTACAGAGTTTATACTGGCGGATTAGACTAGTTCATTTTTTATATGTGTGTGAAAGCTTTCTCTTATTTGCGTTTTTTCGTTTAGTACGGTTCTGTTATAATTGCCGAGGTCATATAACCGGGATAAAACAATGATTATCGTTGACTGCCCACACACAAAACATACGTTGAGTGAACAGTGTTGTTACAAACAACAGGCTTTAGAATACAAAGCGTAGTGTGATAATAAGCTGTACACTACCACTGCATGTACATATTACTAATTTACTAGGGCTCCCAAAGAGTGGATAGGGAGGTTGTGTTTGTCACTTTTAAATTTCACATTTCAAAAATGTCATTTTACATGTCATAATTTGTTGGTTTCATTCGTTTAGCAAATCAAAACATTGTAAAACAATAAATTGTCTGTTACGTACAATCAATTTTGTTCAGTTTTGATTAGTTGTCAGAATAAAGTTACGTTCATCTGAATCCATGTATCAAAACAAAAATCCTATTTTCACTTCAAAATACTTCAGTGAGATGAAGGCTCGGAATTGTCACATGCAATAACTTATTGTCGTATTCGTTATTTAATCTTCTCGATAGTAGCATTTAGTCGCACATTTGATGCCAGGTCACCTTGTCGCGTACCTCTTGGGGAACCCCACATTTATGTGTGTACTCATGGAAGTAAATTCCCCGGTGTAGCCGAGAGCCACAAACTTTTCAACAGGTTCGAAATGACCAATTTCTCTCATATATACTCTAAATATTTTATTATTTAGCACCTACAAAGTATTGCTAATAACCATATGTAATTTCAATAAGGAAACTTATCTGGCTACATATAAATTCAATATCAACACTAGCTGTTCTCTCAACACGTCCTGGCTTACCTTGTGGTGACAAACCCTGGATTTTCGCTATTTATAGTTTATCAACACCTGGACGCATGCGCATTTTATAGTTTATCGGGCACTTTAAGAAAATGTACATATTTGCGAACAAATAGTTCAGAAGACAACGGAATCGTCGATTTAATTCCTCACTTAAGTTACATAAACGGTATTTCGAAAACAGTTAAGATCTTCACTTTTAACCCAAACCGTTTATGTTACTTAAGTGAGGAATTAAATCGACGATTGTGTTGTCTTCTGAGCTATTTTTTCGCAAACCTATACATTTTCTAAAACATATGATACTGATATACGTTTGTGAGAAAAAACGTTGTGGGGATTCTGCCTACAGCGCGTGAAATAAGGAAAAAGGAAAAACCGTACCTTCGACGTTCCGACATTTTGTTACCAAAATGAACCGTTACGGTAACCAGCGTAATCGAGCAGATCACCAGTGCCAGAGTCGGAAGGAAGCTATCCAGTTTTGTAGGTACTGGCGAGCTTCAAACCTCACTGACCTCGATTGTTATGACGATATTTGGAAAAATATTAATGGAAGGAAAGACAGAATCAGGCAATATATTAAAGAAAAGATGGTAAGAAAACACATAAAGGTTCTTACTAAAAATGCTTCCAAAAATGATCAAGCTCAAGATCTTATTGGCGAACTCTTAATATGTTTAATCAACAAAATGATGCCCCCATAAAAGTACAACACCCTGAATACCCGGATATAATTATTGATGACCCAAAACGAGTTGCTAAATTAAAATAATGAATGACTACTGGGCTAATGTTGGCCCCAAAAATTGGAACCCACAATCACCAGAGATTGAAATATCAAAATATGCTTGGAGCTTGACAATATTGAAAACAAGCTGAATGATCCGCATTACCGCCATTTCGACTTTGATATCATCGACCAACTCATCTTTGATTCCAAAACTTAAAGGAATATTCCTTGCCAGATCCTTTCTCTCTTGATATGGTAGCTATAATCATATATATTGTTTCCATATTTAGCAAAACATGAGAAAATGTTTTAACATGGTCAATATTGATCATTTAAAAATCTAGTGCTTATTTCCAGTGGGCTGCCATATTTTAAGATTTCTTGCAGGAAGTGATGTCATCAACTCTCAACTTCTATAACCTTTCCCATAACAGTATAGGAAAGTAGCACAAAATCACTTCTAGACAAGTGATCATTACTTTCTATGCAAAAATATTTTCAGGGCTTGTCAACTTAGAATTAAAGAAGAGATTTTCAGAAGGATTAAATAAGATACAAAGTTGAAAAAGAATATTTAGCTGGTTTTGTAATTCTTAATAGCTCCTCACCTAATGCTATATGCAAAGTTGAGAGTCGATGACATCACATCCTGTGTGAAATTTTAATAAATGGCAGCTTACTGGAATTGAGCATCACATTTCTAAGTGATCAAATTTGACCATATCAAAACATTTTTGCGTGTTTTGCTAAACATGGCAAGCATATATATGGTTATAGCTACCATGTGAGGAGAGAGATGGTTTGGCAAGGAATATTCCTTTAAGCTTCACATATAAAACGACTTCCAAATGGTGAAGCAGTGGGAACTGATATGATACTCTACGAATCCATTAAGTATGGAGGTACATAAATGATTAGAACACTTCTTAAATTAAATTTGGTTTTAGATTTAGTGAGAAAAAATCCCAAATTATGGTCGTAGGTAAGAAAATTGATAACTTTGGTCTTTGGGAGATCTAAAATTAAATGAGGTTCAAACATATAAATACCTAGGAATTTTTATTGATAGGTCCTTAGATGATTCTTGTCACATCATTGTCAAACTTGGACCAAACGTGGTCATGAAGCTGAAAAACCATATTTCATATACCCTTAGTAAACACCTCAATGATAAGAGAATTGATTTTGGGAACACTTTATATTCAAGTAAATATAATATATAAATTTCAAAATTTGGGCCCACTTTTTGATTTTAGGAGTCCAAAATTCAGACCTAAAATTTGCCCCTCCCCCTTTTTGCTTCCCAGATCCGCCAATACAGATTTGACCTCAACTATGGGATAATATAAGATATTACAAGATACTTCTCCAATTACACAATATATTATTATTATTTTATTATTATGTAATCATCAACTCCAATGGTTGCCATTATAAATTCTATGAAGTGAGAACGTTCAAATACAGATCTTATTTTATGGTGCTTATTTTATTTGAAGGACCCATTCACATGTATTTCACATGATTTCACACAATGTTTACCGTTTTCAAATAAACACAGTCTTGTTTTAGCGACTGTGTTAATTAGAAAACGGTAAACATTGTGTTGCCTTACTTTAGCAATATAATTAAAAACTCTAATGTAGAATTAAACACACCGTTCCAATAAGCTATAACCGTTGAGTTATGACATGCAATTAAAACCCCAGAGGTGCAATTTTTACTTGCTTTTAACTTTGTAAACTTTTATTTTTATTTGTTTTGTTATGTTTTGTTCTTTGTTTATTGCGTGTGTAAATGTTGTATATGTTTTGGTTATTGTTGCATTGTTTGATTGATTTATGTTTACATGTTTAATCCATTTTATTATGGGAATAAAAGCGACATAATAATAATACTTCTGAATGAAAACACATACCAGTGATGGAATATGTGAAAACAAAAACTTCAATGATGAGCAATAGGGATCCCAGGGAGCGAGCCAAGAAAGTTCAAATACGAATCTTATTTTACTCTAATTTTAGGAAGAAGAAAGGAGTGAAAAGTTCCTGTCACCAACGGAAGAATATGTGCTACTGAGATTTTATATAAATGCCCTAAGAGAGTTTTGTGTGCAGTTTCAGCCTCCTATGCCCAAATATGTAATTGTAAGTTATTTTTGAACATCATTAGGTACTACGAATTCTTTTGCATTAAGCAAAAATATGAAGTTCAGATTACTTATGTAATTTATGTAGAAATATTATGTACTTTAATTTGAATATTTGTGAAAGTTCATTGCTGCTCATTTTATCATGAATCTGAAATAGAATTTCTAACTCTTGAAGATAATAAGCTCCTCTGTTTTTCTATAGGGAACATCAATGATGTACTTCAGGAGGTTTTACTTGAATAATTCTATAATGGATTATCATCCAAAGGACATCATGTAAGTTAATGCAGACCTGAAGTTAATTCAATATAAGGCTATCTATGTGGATACCTTGTTTGAATAATATGTACATGTATTTGATAAACAAAAATCAATGCAGTTTAAAATACCTAAAATCATGAAAGCTGACAATAATTTTAAGGAAGAGCTTTCTCAATATGCTCAATGTTATAAAATTATGTACTATTTGGGTTTCCTCTTTTTTGTTGCAGAAAAAATATAACATATGATTTTGTATTGAATTAATTCCAGGTTGACTTGTGTATATTTGGGATGTAAAGTTGAGGAATTCAATGTGTCAATCATGCAGTTTGTGAAGAATCTCAAGTCAAATAGGGAGAAAATGACTGACATGATTCTCAGCTATGAACTATTATTAATGCATGAATTGACTTATCACCTGACAGTACACAACCCATACAGACCTCTGGAGGGATTAGTCATTGATATAAAGGTGAGATACCAGAGGGATTAGTCATTGATATAATAATGAGATACCTGAGGGATTAGTCATTGATATAAAGGTGAGATACCAGATGGATTAGTCTTTGATATAAAGGTGAGATACCAGAGGAATTAGTCATTGATATAAAGGTGAGATACCAGAGGGATTAGTCATTGATATAATAATGAGATACCAGAGGGATTAGTCATTGATATAAAGGTGAGATACCAGAGGGATTAGTCTTTGATATAAAGGTGAGATACCAGAGGGATTAGTCATTTATATCAAGGTGAGATACCGGAGGGATTAGTCTTTGATACAAAGGTGAGATACCAGAGGGATTAGTCTTTGATATAAAGGTGAGATACCAGAGGGATTAGTCATTGATATGAAGGTGAGATACCAGAGGGATTAGTCATTGATATAAAGGTGAGATACCAGAGGGATTAGTCTTTGATATAAAGGTGAGATACCAGAGGGATTAGTCATTGATATAATAATGAGATACCAGAGGGATTAGTCATTGATATAAAGGTGAGATACCAGAGGGATTAGTCTTTGATATAAAGGTGAGATACCAGAGGGATTAGTCATTTATATCAAGGTGAGATACCGGAGGGATTAGTCTTTGATACAAAGGTGAGATACCAGAGGGATTAGTCATTAATATAAAGGTTTCTAGAGAGATTAGTCATTGATATAAATGTGGGTTTCATGAAAGTATCATAAATTTAAATTCCTGAATTTTCTTCCAACATGGAACATAGTACTACTTTGTGATGTCTCATATAACCATTTAAGGTTGACCTGATTAATCAAATTCAATTTGAATAATGAATCGCATAAACTCCATGAAACAACAGATATTCTTGAATGACATTCAATTGCCAGAGAAATTGTGCGTACTTTATGATATAAGTAGGTGTGATCATAGGTATAATGATTTGAGTAAGGTTGAGGATAAAAGTTAAAAAAATTACCTTTCAGACTCGTTGCAAATCTCTTAAACCTGAAGAAGTGGACAGAAGTCGCCAGGGTGCAGATGAGTTCTTAGATCGAGTGCTCCAGACAGACGCTGCCTTGTTGTATGCACCTTCACAGGTAAATGCGCTTCTAAATGTCTGCACCTTCACAGGTAAATACTCTTCTTGTTGTGTGCACCTTCACAGGTAAATACTCTTCTTGTCGTATGCACCTTCACAGGTAAATACTCTTCTTGCCGTATGCACCTTCACAGGTAAATACTCGTCTTGTTGTATGCACCTTCACAGGTAAATACTCTTCTTGTCGTATGCACCTTCACAGGTAAATACTCTTCTTGCCGTATGCACCTTCACAGGTAAATACTCTTCTTGTTCTATGTACCTTCACAGGTAAATACTCTTCCTGTTGTATACACCTTCAGAGGTAAACACTCCTCTTGTTGTATGCACCTTCACAGGTAAATACTCTTCTTGTTGTATGCACCTTTTCAGGTAAATACTCTTCTTGTTGTTTGCACCTTCACAGGTAAATACTCTTCCTGTTGTATGCACGTTCACAGGTAAATACTCCCCTTGTTGTATGCACCTTCACAGGTAAATACTCTTCTTGTTGTATGTACCTTCACAGGTAAATACTCTTCTTGTTGTATGCACCTTCACAGGTAAACACTCTTCCTGTTGTATGCACCTTCACAGGTAAATACTCCTCTTGTTGTATGCACCTTCACAGGTAAATACTCTTCCTGTTGTATGCACCTTCACAGGTAAATACTCTTCTTGTTGTATGCACCTTCACAGGTAAATACTCCTCTTGTTGTATGCACCTTCACAGGTAAATACTCTTCTTGTATGCACCGTCACAGGTAAATACTCTTTTTGTTGTATGCACCTTCACAGGTTAATACTCTTCCTGTTGTATGCACGTTCACAGGTAAATACTCCTCTTGTTGTATGCACCTTCACAGGTAAATACTCCTCTTGTTGTATGCACCTTTAGAGGTAAATACTCTTCTTGTTGTATGCACCTTCACAGGTAAATACTTTTCTTGTTGTATGCACCTTCACAGGTAAATACTCTTATTGTTGTATGCACCTTCACGGGTAAATATTCTTCCTGGTGTATGCACCTTCACATATAAATACTCTTCCTAGTGTATGCACATTCACAGGTAAATACTCTTCTTGTTGTATGCACGTTCACGGGTAAATACTCCTCTTGTTGTATGCACCTTCACAGGTAAATACTCTTCTTGCCATATGCACCTTCACAGGTAAATACTCTTCCTGTTGTATGTACCTTCACAGGTAAAAACTCTTCTTGTTGTATGCACCTTCACAGGTAAATACTCTTCTTGTTGTATGCACCTTCACAGGTAAATACGCTTCGTGTTGTATGCACCTTCACAGGTAAATACTCTTCTTGTTTAAGGTAATTCTTCAAGAACAGCCATTCACCTCTTCTCTTCATATTTTTAGGATATAATGAATTGTGGTGAAATTAATAAGTTGCATTTTCATTAATAGAAATTGAGAAGTTGCATTTTTAATTACATGTAAAAACCCTTTCTATAATGTTATATTTAAGTTATACGTAATGAATTAATGATAACGAGGCCATTCAATATGGTGAAATGCAGCGTGTTGTACAAAGCATGAACCGAAGGTGAGTGAATTTGTGCTGATATTCTGTTCACTGAATGTCGTATTTCACCATTTTTAATGATCTATCATTATTTATTCCGATTCAAACATAAAAAAATGAAAACATTGTTCAAAGAATCAGGGATTGAGGTGCTTGAAATAACGAACCCTTCTTGTTAATTTTGCAATTTGCAGATGTGACGTCACAGTACAACACAATTAATAGAATCCCATGAATAGATGCATGGTCGTTCATGTATCAAGAATTGGAGCATGACTATGCTGCATTCTGATAGGTTGAGAAACTAAATTAGAGAATGTCATGTTTGAATCTGAATGAATGAATTAATATGTATTAGTTGTGACTGAAACAGGTTTAATTCAATTTGATTACTGATTTCAGATTGCATTATCTGCATTGCTCTCCAGTGCCTCTAAACTTGGAATCAACTTAGATAGGTGAGTATTTCATATAAACAGGAGGGAGAATATCATTGATTTTATACACTAGATACATGTATGTGAGTGTGAGTATTTCATATAAACAGGAGGGAGAATATCATTGATTTTATACACTAGATACATGTATGTGAGTGTGAGTATTTCATATAAACAGGAGGGAGAATATCATTGATTTTATACACTAGATATATGTATGTGAGTGTGAGTATTTCATATAAACAGGAGGGAGAATATCATTGATTTTATACACTAGATACATGTATGTGAGTGTGAATATTTCATATAAACAGGAGGGAGAATATCATTGATTTTATACATTAGATACATGTATGTGAGTGTGAATATTTCATATAAACAGGAGGGAGAATATCATTGATTTTATACACTAGATACATGTATGTGAGTGTGAATATTTCAAATAAACAGGATGAAGAATATCATTGATTTTGTACACTAGATACATGTATGTGAGTGTGAGTATTTCATATAAACAGGAGGGAGAATATCATTGATTTTATACATTAGATACATGTATGTGAGTGTGAGTATCTCATATTAACAGGAGGGAGAATATCATTGATTTTATACAATAGATACATGTATGTGAGTGTGACTATCAAATATGGGACCTGATAAAAATATAAATGTTGTTTTTATTAAGTGTTCCTTACCTGACCTTCTTACAAATTAGTTTGTGAAAAGACACACTGACTTGGTATTAATTGCCTTTTTATATATATTTCTTTAAATTTTAGTTATGCTACAGAGTTTATCCTGGGTTCAGGAACAAAGGAACAAGCAGCTAAAACCACAGAAAACATAAAATGTAAGATTATTATATTACTTCCCGTGTCATATACTGTTGTAAGCCTCAACTTATTAATAGTGCAGCTGGTGGTCAGTGTCATGTGTTTGACATCTTTTCTAATATAGTGGTTGGTAACTCAAATCAAGTAAATGGTAAGATTAGTTTGAGACAAATATGTAGTAAATGTCAAGGGTTAAGGCAATATCTGTTACTGGCAATGACTTTCACATGATAAGTGATTACATAAGGAGTAATGGTCTGAACAATTTGGAAATGATATAGCTAGCATTTATACGTAGATGTCAGTGTTCAGATTTCATTATGAAACTCAAAAACTTGTATTAAACTTTGTATTAGAGTGAAAACTAAGAGAAAGTGATCAGATTGGCCTAATATTCATACATAGGAATCATCTAAGATTTTGTTCCTGTATACAGTCTATAGTCGCCAATGAGCACTGAGTCAGAGGCCTAATTCATAAAAGCTCCGCATGCTTGCATGTCCGTAGTGTACTTGTGGACTCATAACATGTCAGCATTCTATTACATTGCGTGGTATTCATAAAGCTATCCGCAAATCTGTCGAGTTTCCGAATGTAATCTCTGTGTCCGCAATCCGTGTCCTTGACGACCGCGTCACCTATTAGGACACCAATCACAAATGTCAGTTTGACTTTTAGTGTCCCTTATAATCAAACAATGCCATTGTACAATAATTATTACTTCTAAATTATGGTTTTACATCAAAATACTGTTAGTGCATTGCCTTAGTATAACCGAGCCGGGAAGATGCACTAAAATTGTGTCTGTATTATAGTAAGGCCACCCTCTCGGAAAGTGAGACATACTTCGGAGAATATAATTACAACAATTTATGTGCAATAATGGGGAAGTGCTAAGGATTCCTTTGTTCGATACTACGGATCATTCTGAGGATTCTAGTAATATGTGTTATAATATACATTGGACAAAAGAATGCATATTTTTGTAGTATTGTTCGTCAAAATCCCTAGTGGATTTTACCTCTATGAATCTCTAAAATTACGTTTACGCCTCACGTTTCTCCAAATTGCTACTAGGGGGTACTTGTTACTGATATCTAAATTGACCATGATTAAAGGTGCGATGTTCCGCAACCTTAAAAAGGTTTTCTGAACTTGTTGCTTTTACATCCATATTTGAACGTCTATTTCACATTCCAAATTTTCTTTTTTCATTGGGAAAAATGAAAGGACGATACAAGAAATACACATGTACGTATTTCTATCGCTGAAATGTAATGTTAAATGAGTTCTCAAGACGATTTATTACTCTAAATTATCAGGGAGTGACTTGCGGGAAGAATAGAGGTACCGCACGAGATTGGCGTAATTCTCGCGGTACCGCAAGATATCTGCGGTGATGCTAACTTTGCGGTCCTTCCGTGAATTGCAATGAGTTGCGGAATTGCGCAGGCTTGCGGAGCTTTCATGAATGGGGCCTCAGGTCTGCTGTACAGATCACGGCAGTCTGTTTCATATTTTTAAGAAGTGACATCTTATCCTTTATCACAACTCTTGCATTAACTGACAGTGTATATTTAGAACTATTATTATGCAAGCTGGAGATTACTGACAGCAAGATCTTAATATTTAACTAATGGTCCATAGAAGCGATTTGGTGTGTCCAACTCTGTGTTTCGAATATAATCAATGGCGGCGCCAACAAATTCTTCCTCTGATATTTTCCCATCTCCATCTGTATCCATGTAGTCAAACTGCATCCTTGCAAAGCGTAGATCAAGGCCATAAACAAGCCAGAAAACCAAGTATTCATCAAATGTTACGAAACCAGAGGAGTTCAAATCAAATATCTAAAAACAAGGCAATTACCAATTCATCATCCTCTGGCATGGATATATAAGAGGGTTGATCAAAAAGGTCTGCACTGTTTGCTCTAAAAATCTTATTTGATGAATAATCATGCTCTACCTACCACATTGTCATGTTTCTATGGTAACCAGAATATTTTGTGCGAATTCATTGCTTTTTACACAAACTGAAACCACTAAATAGGCCAAATATGAACAATATTCTTCAAATACTTGTAATTTATTCATTGAAAAAAATTAAAGCAACTGATGCAGAACTTTTGGAGCAACCTTCTGCATTTTTACAAGACATAATCAATCCAAGTTCACAATATGCATGTCAGATATTATTAAGGGTTATTAAATAACTCCTCAAATATTTAAAGGTTCACCTTGAACATAAGGGAAAATCCAGACCGCCATCCTTTAATTGCAGCTGGATTGTCTTTAATTTTCCATCCTGCTAACATTTGCTGTACTGTGCCTGTTGCAGCCATTATCTCAGATCTAACCCCTGCCTTTGAAGCTGTTGCATGCGTTTGGAAAAACTCAATGACATCATCTGCAGCTTTTTCCTTGAGTTTCCCTGCATAGAAAAAACAGTTTTATAATTAGAAAATGAAATTTATTTTAAAAATAAATTTATTCTGCCATCGATATAGAAGAGCAGGGAAATGAAATTTCTAACAATTGACCATTTTCTATATAAATGGAAAAATAAGTGGCAGCATGGGTGTTGGTAGGGCCAGAATACATTGAAACATATTGGAAGAGTCACTTAATTTCTTGATCTAACATGTAACTCCATTTGGATCAACTCAAAACACAATTGGAATGTATCTGATTTAACCCTCAATTTGATATTTGACTTCTGTTCAATCGTGCTTTGTGAAGGCGCCATTTTGAAATTTAAAATTAAAAAGGTGATGTGACTGATTGGAATTTGCCTATGACACACAGCAAAAGTTGCAAGAAAAACCCATTGAATATCATTAAAATGCCATTGTTTGACTATGACATCACAAAACAAAACAAAAGAAGAATGTTGTCATGGAGATGCATCAAGAAAGCATGGAGATCCACCAAGAAAGCTTTGCAAATGGAGTCAAAATCAGTTAACCATGCCAAATGTCACACAGAAACTACTGCAGTTATTCTACCTTAGCGTTGGCGTTACTCGCATTGTTATGACAACCACAGAATCAACCAATCTAATTGCTTGAAGCTGAAAAACTCCAACAATGAGTTTGAATATGTTTAAACTATAATCCCTGATCATTTCAGAGAAATCTATGAGCAAATAAAAAAGTTATGAGATTATTGTCTTTATTTCCTGAGCACCCTGTATATAAGAACTTATTGACATGCGAATGTGATTTAACATTAAAATTGTGATCCTTATGATTTAAGAGTAATTAAATGATCTTTTAAAGGTTTTTAAAGGAAATGTTAGTCTTTAATCTCTCTCCTACCAGATGCACAGGATCTTTCGAGACTAGCACGACGCATCTTGCAGTAATCGGCGCTTAAAGTGGACACCCCATTGTTCCGGTTGAAAACTTTACGACATCAACGTCCCCATACCAAGATCATAGTATTATGCTGGGATCCATCTAACAACCGACTATGAGAACCAGAGGAGTATCTACTGAACAAGCAGCCGCAAATGAAGACGAAACTGAGGTGAATAAAACCGACCTAGAACGACATGACAGTAAGTCAAAAAGGGGTTTTAAATCCCGCGAGAAGTCAAACGAGAAGTCATCAAAACTTGAAAAATTGAAAAAAATCATCTCACCAAAACTGATTTTAGAGAAGACCCAGAGCGCAGGCGGCGCGAAATCTACAGCTGGTAAGCATACTTCTATTCAACATAATTGTGACAGATGTGATATCCCGAATTCAAATCTTCTAGGGTGTGAATTTTGCGATCTCTGGCTTTGCAACTCTTGTGAAAATCTCAACAAAAACGATCTTGCCCTACTCACTGCATCAACCAACCAAACCCACTGGTACTGTCATGAATGTGAACCCCAGGTCAAATATATTCTGGCACAATCAAAAGCAGGTATCGTTGAAGTTGCAAAATCGGTTGCTCATTCCCTACAATCCATCAAAAAAGATCAAACCCAGGCAAAGAAGAGCCTGGACTCAGTCTCCACCAAAGTGAACCACCTCCAGGGGTTGTACGAGAATGTAATCCAAAAAGTTGAAACATTCAGTGATTCACTCAAAGAGATAAATCTTGGAAAAGGATCAGTAGAAAAATCATTAAAAGAAGTTACCCAGCTTAGCAAATCCTTTTCAGCAGTAGTTCAAAATTCTGAAAACAAAATCTATCCCAATGTCCTAGAATCTGTAAAAACTGGATTCAGAAGTGTAAATGACCAGGAAAGACGTAAAAAGAACATAGTCCTTCACAATCTGGAAGAGCCCACATCCCCCAATCCTAATACTGCCCAGGCCCAAGACCTAGAAGAAGTTAAACAGATATTTGAGGATGGCCTTGAACTCCTAAATATCCAGATTATCAAAACAATCAGATTAGGTAGAAAACTTAACAAGCCTAGACTCCTACTAGTAATGATGAAGGATGACACATACACTGGACAAATATTGTCCCGCGCACGCAGACTCAGATACGAAGGACGATGGGACAACATATACATCCACCCCGACCAATCTCCCGAAGACCGTGAAATCTCTAGGAGATTAAGAGAAGAATTGAAAGGAAGAAGAGAATTAGGTGAAGAAAATCTAGCTATCAGACGAGGAAAAATAGTGAGTATTCCACAAAATGAACAAAACTCCCAACAGCAGAGGGACACTGTGTCCTACAGGCAACGAGGTAGGGGTGGAGCAGCTCCCCGAGGAGGACGACCACAGAGGACTCGTGACCAAATACCACCCAGGTTCCGAGATCGTGATATGCGACTCAAATACTGCGATGGAAATTTACCCCGCTCCGAGTCAACCCTATCCCTCTCCTCAACCAATGCAGACATAAGAAAACCAAACCAATCCAAGCCAGACAAGCCTACATCCACGTATGTTAAAAATACTGATTCAACAGACAAGCCAGAGAACAACAAATCCGAACCAACTACATTGCACTGCGATGTCAGGCCAAAAAATCCGTCAAACTCGAAACTTCAGCCAATCCAAATCGAAAAAACCTTTGAAATCCTGTGTAACCTCGATAATGACTATACAACTTCGGATGTCGAGGTCCCAGACAGATCCGACACCTGCAGTGTTAAGTCCAGCAGCTCAGATGAAATAGACCCACTTCATGAAAGTCCTGTGGAAACAGAGGAAGCACCCCCCACAGACGCCCCATCACTCCCAGAATGCAGACCAAATACAACAAGCCCCCCACTCTCTCAAAACTGTGGAAAAGCCCCATGTGACCTTGACGGCCTGTCCCAGGCTGCAGGCAACCAGTGACTAGGCAACCACCCCCCCATAAAATTTCTGTACAGCAACGCAGACCAGTTATCAAATAAAATTAAAGAACTTGAACTAACAGCAGAGTCTGAAAACCCAGACATAATAATTATTACAGAAGCCCTGTGTAAAAACAGAAAGGACCCAATGACTCTCAGCGAACTTCGGATCTCAAACGATACATACGACTGCTACAGGAACTTTGATGACACATCAGAATCACAAAAAACGAAGAGGGGAATAGTCATATACGTTAACAACACCATAGATGTACAGTCATACGAATCAACAGAAAGTAGATTCATTGAACACTTAGCTCTCACAGTGACCCTTAAGGACAAAACAAGGCTACTACTATGTGGAATCTACAGAAGCCCCAGCATTAGAGACACAACAGACCAGCAAACAGAACTTATAGAGCTCACAAAGGAACTTGCCTCATCCAGTCACACTCAACTGTGCATTATAGGGGACTTCAACCTACCAGAGATCAACTGGGAAGACATGACATCATCTGCATGTGAAGACCATATTAGTACAAGATACGTAAACTGTCTCCAGAACTTATTCTTATACCAGCACATTACAGAACCCACACGGAAACGCCATGGACAACGAGACACTCTAATTGACCTGATTATCACGAAAGAAGAACATACCATAAGTGACATAAGCTACGACACACCACTAGGACTCAGCGACCATCTTACACTCAAGTTCAATCTTACCATGTTAGACCAGAAGCCCATACCCCCGCTTGATTCCCCAACACCCAGAAACTTCAACAAAGGAGACTATGATACAATCAGGAACAACCTTAAAAACATAAACTGGAAACAAGAACTCAGTGGGAAAACTACAGAGACAGCCTGGAACATACTCCATAGAACCATCATGGACAACATTGAAGCAAATATTCCTTTCAAAACCAACAAAAAGAAAAGGAAAAAATGGATGACACTAAGAGGATTAAGGCAACTGCGAAGAAAAGCCAAGGCCTGGAAACACTACAGAGAAACCAAGACGTATCAAGACTACCTGAAAGCGAAGAAAACAAGCAATGAAACCAGAAGACTATGCAGACAGCTATGTAAAGAATTTGAGAAAGATATAGCCAAACAAATAAAGACTAATCCTAAGGCCTTCTGGGCATACGTCAACTCTAAACTCAGGACGCGCCCCAAGATCAGCTCACTAGACAAGCCAGATGGTAGTACAACAGATGAGAATACGGAAATGGCAAACATCCTAAGTCAATACTTCGCCACCATGTTTACTGTAGAAGACGACACAAACATCCCCAGAATAACTCCCAGATCAACCCAAACCTTGGAAACTATAGAATTTACAGAGGAACTAGTCCTACATAAACTCAAAAAGCTCAAAGCCTGCAAATCCCCCGGCCCCGACAATATTCCCGCAAGATTTCTACTGGAATGTTCACATGAACTAGCCCTCCCTCTCAGTCTGCTTTTTACCAAATCCCTAGATTCAGGAACATTACCATCAATCTGGAAAGACGGCGAGATAACACCCATCCACAAAAAGGGTAAAAGAACAGCTCCCAGCAACTACCGTCCAATATCGCTAACTTGTATCCTGTGTAAGACCATGGAATCCATAATTAGGGATGCAATGGTAAACCACATGGTGACACTGGGCTTATTAACAGATGCCCAACACGGGTTTGTACCCGGGCGTTCATGTAGCACCCAGTTGCTTACAGTACTTGAGGATTGGACAAGTCTACTCGATACTGGCAACCCAATAGACGTAATATATTTTGACTTTTCCCGGGCGTTTGACAGCGTACCGCACTGCAGACTACTTGAAAAACTAAACAGCTATGGCTTCAAGGGGAACCTTCTAAAGTGGCTGACTGCATTCCTGACTAAACGAAGACAGAGAGTCAAAGTCAATGGTAGCCTCTCAAGCTGGACTGAAGTCACCAGTGGTATCCCTCAAGGCTCGAGCCTCGGACCACTGGCCTTCATAATCTACATAAACGATCTTCCCGAGAAAGTTAAAAGCACTTTGAAAATCTTCGCTGATGACACGAAGCTGTACAATGCCATTCCCAGACAAGACGACATCACTAAACTACAAGAAGACATTAACGAACTTGTCAAGTGGTCCGAAAAATGGCTGCTCAAATTCAACTCCAGCAAATGTAAAGTTCTTCATCTGGGGAACAATAACAACAACCACAAATACACACTAGATAACCAACCACTGGAAGATGTCACCAAAGAACGTGACCTTGGCGTGACCATTGACCAGGATTTAAAGTTCCATGACCATGTCTCCAACTGTGTAAACAAAGCAAATAAGATTTTGGGTGCAATCAAAAGAACATTCTCAAACAAAGATGCAGATATTTTCCTCCCCCTATACACAACCCTAGTCCGCCCCCACCTGGAATACTGCACCGTAGCCTGGAATCCCAGATATCAATTGGACATTAATAAGATTGAGAAAATACAAAGGAGAGCCACCAAACTCATCACCGGCATGACCGACCTACCCTACGAAGAACGACTAAAGCAGCTTCACCTATTTCCGATGACATACAGGAGGAAAAGAGGAGACTTAATTCAAGTATATAAAATCATGAATGAGATAGACAAGATAGAGCCATCCCACTTCTTTACCCCAAGTCACACCAACACAAGAGGCCACAGCCAGAAATTCTACAAACCCAGATGTAACCTTGCCCTGAGACGAGGGTTCTTCAGTCAGCGTACCATAGACGACTGGAACAACCTCCCAGAGAATGTAGTTACAGCCTTAACATTAGATGATTTCAAGGTAAAGGTCGATACCTACTACTACCCAGACATGTAGAAGATCACAAGAGACCCAGGATGACCAGTTCACACTACACTAGTTTTTTGCCCATGTTCAACATAATTTTAGTGCAACCGTCACATTTAATTAAATACAAAACCGTCTTTGGGAAATAAAATACCAAAGAAATTGAAAACTGCCCATAAGAATCCATGTAAATAATAAAACCAGAAGGGAGGACAACACAGGACTAACCTTACCCTCCTAAACATGATGATGATGATGATGATGATGATGATTTAATGGTTAAAAATGCAGATCTCCTAAAATCTCATTAAAACGAGACTTTAATGAGATTTCAAAGCTAGATGAATACTCCTCTATTTTCTATAAAATTTCTGTTTCCAAGAAATGAATATTTTGTGTTTGTATTCTTCCATTTGTTGCCTGTGTAGTTTCTGTTTTGCAAGATACAATTTTTACCATATTTTATTAATCTGTCCGCTATTTTCATGAAGTCATCATAGCCTGCATACCCATCATTATCAATGTCATAGCACCGCAACCAAGTTAACACTTTCCTTATCCATGTAATAGGTAGATCCCTCACCTGTAAACAGAACTGTGCCTTATACAATAGAAATTGCATTAGAAAATCATGTAATAGGTAGATCTCTTACCTGTAAACAGAACTGCGCCTTATACAATAGAAATAGCATTAGAAAATCATATAATAGGTAGATCTCTTACCTGTAAACAGAACTGCGCCTTATACAATAGAAATAGCATTAGAAAATCATGTAATAGGTAGATCTCTCACCTGTAAACAGAACTGCGCCTTATACAATAGAAATAGCAGTAGAAGATCATGTCAGTGGCGTAGCGTCATATACGCATAAAACGCTATAGCGTACTCTCAAAGTTTAGAGAAAAGTAAATTTTTGATATTGACATGACCCACGTTTAATATTCTGAAGTAATGGCCTAACATTTTATTAATCCATATTATTTTTTCGTAATCGGAATTTCGGATTTTAAAACGCCCCAGAACGCTTCAAATGCAATCTAATTTTTTCAGATTTTCTTGGGGGAAAGAACCCCCCCTCAAAGCTCGTTCGCTTCGCTCACTCGTGGCGTACACTCATAAAATACCCACGCTACGCCACTGATGTAATATGTAGATATCTTACCTGTAAACAGAACTGCGCCTTATACAATAGAAATAGCATTAGAAAATCATGTAATAGGTAGATCCCTCACCTGTAAACAGAACTGCACCTTATACAATAGAAATAGCATTAGAAAATCATGTAATAGGTAGATTTCTTACCTGTAAACAGAACTGCGCCTTATACAATAGAAAAAGCATTAGAAAATCATGTAATATAGGTAGATCTCTCACCTGTAAACAGAACTGCGCCTTATACAATAGAAATAGCATTAGAAAATCATGTAATAGGTAGATCTCTTACCTGTAAACAGAACTGCGCCTTATACAATAGAAAATAGCATTAGAAAATCATGTAATAGGTAGATCCCTCACCTGTAAACAGAACTGCGCCTTATACAATAGAAATAGCATTAGAAAATCATGTAATAGGTGGATCTCTCACCTGTAAACAGAACTGCGCCTTATACAATAGAAATAGCATCAGAAAATCATGTAATAGGTAGATCCCTCACCTGTTAACAGAACTGCGCCTCATACAATAGAAATAGCATTAGAAAATCATGTAATAGGTAGATCTCTCACCTGTTAACAGAACTGCGCCTTATACAATAGAAATAGCATTAGAAAATCATGTAATAGGTAGATCTCTCACCTGTAAACAGAACTGCACCTTATACAATAGAAATAGCATTAGAAAATCATGTAATAGGTAGATCTCTTACCTGTAAACAGAACTGTGCCTTATACAATAGAAATAGCATTAGAAAATCATGTAATAGGTAGATCTCTTACCTGTAAACAGAACTGCGCCTTATACAATAGAAAATAGCATTAGAAAATCATGTAATAGGTAGATCCCTCACCTGTAAACAGAACTGCGCCTTATACAATAGAAATAGCATTAGAAAATCATGTAATAGGTGGATCTCTCACCTGTAAACAGAACTGCGCCTTATACAATAGAAATAGCATCAGAAAATCATGTAATAGGTAGATCCCTCACCTGTTAACAGAACTGCGCCTCATACAATAGAAATAGCATTAGAAAATCATGTAATAGGTAGATCTCTCACCTGTTAACAGAACTGCGCCTTATACAATAGAAATAGCATTAGAAAATCATGTAATAGGTAGATCTCTCACCTGTAAACAGAACTGCACCTTATACAATAGAAATAGCATTAGAAAATCATGTAATAGGTAGATCTCTTACCTGTAAACAGAACTGTGCCTTATACAATAGAAATAGCATTAGAAAATCATGTAATAGGTAGATCTCTTACCTGTAAACAGAACTGCGCCTTATACAATAGAAATAGCATTAGAAAATCATGTAATAGGTAGATCCCTCACCTGTTAACAGAACTGCGCCTTATACAATAGAAATAGCATTAGAAAATCATGTAATAGGTAGATCTCTCACCTGTAAACAGAACTGCGCCTTATAAAATAGAAATAGCATTAGAAAATCATGTAATATGTAGATCTCTTACCTGTAAACAGAACTGCGCCTTATACAATAGAAATAGCATTAGAAAATCATGTAATAGGTAGATCCCTCACCTGTAAACAGAACTGCGCCTTATACAATAGAAATAGCATTAGAAAATCATGTAATAGGTAGATCTCTCACCTGTAAACAGAACTGCGCCTTATAAAATAGAAATAGCATTAGAAAATCATGTAATAGGTAGATCTCTTACCTGTAAACAGTACTGCGCCTTATACAATAGAAATAGCATTAAAAATCATGTAATATGTAGATCTCTTACCAGTAAACAAAACTGTGCCTTATACAATAGAAATAGCATTAAAAATCATGTAATAGGTAGATCTCTTACCTGTAAACAGAACTGCGCCTTATACAAGAGAAATAGCATTAGAAAATCATGTAATAGGTGGATCTCTCACCTGTAAACAGAACTGCGCCTTATGCAATAGAAATAGCATTAGAAAATCATGTGTTACAATTAAGTGTAGCTTAAACTTACGCATCTGGTTTATTTTTAACATCTCCAAATATTGTAAAGAAAACAACAATTAATAAATAAACTTTTAAAAAGTATTACCATAATATGTTCCTCAGAAAAGGCAATGTTTTTGCTGTTACTCATCTTGTGGCAAAGTATGCTAGACATGTATCCTCTTTGTTACCTGGAATCTTCCGTTTTTTATTGAGATTACAAAACATAGGCAACATTAAAGTTGATAACTAGAAATGTCTTTGTGAAGTTATATCAAAAGTGTCATCCATCCGTTCACTGAAGCTTTTGATAATCATTTATTTCAACTGACATTTTTTATTCAGTTATAAACCATGTACATCTTCACAGGTTATGATCACTCATAAAATGCCTTTGTTAACTGAATGTTAAATAAACTAAACTGCTCTGTGTTTGTTTTCAGCTATAAGATAAAACCCTTCAAAGGTCTGATGTAATATGTAGATATCTTACCTGTAAACAGAACTGCGCCTTATACAATAGAAATAGCATTAGAAAATCATGTAATAGGTAGATCCCTCACCTGTAAACAGAACTGCACCTTATACAATAGAAATAGCATTAGAAAATCATGTAATAGGTAGATTTCTTACCTGTAAACAGAACTGCGCCTTATACAATAGAAAAAGCATTAGAAAATCATGTAATATAGGTAGATCTCTCACCTGTAAACAGAACTGCGCCTTATACAATAGAAATAGCATTAGAAAATCATGTAATAGGTAGATCTCTTACCTGTAAACAGAACTGCGCCTTATACAATAGAAAATAGCATTAGAAAATCATGTAATAGGTAGATCCCTCACCTGTAAACAGAACTGCGCCTTATACAATAGAAATAGCATTAGAAAATCATGTAATAGGTGGATCTCTCACCTGTAAACAGAACTGCGCCTTATACAATAGAAATAGCATCAGAAAATCATGTAATAGGTAGATCCCTCACCTGTTAACAGAACTGCGCCTCATACAATAGAAATAGCATTAGAAAATCATGTAATAGGTAGATCTCTCACCTGTTAACAGAACTGCGCCTTATACAATAGAAATAGCATTAGAAAATCATGTAATAGGTAGATCTCTCACCTGTAAACAGAACTGCACCTTATACAATAGAAATAGCATTAGAAAATCATGTAATAGGTAGATCTCTTACCTGTAAACAGAACTGTGCCTTATACAATAGAAATAGCATTAGAAAATCATGTAATAGGTAGATCTCTTACCTGTAAACAGAACTGCGCCTTATACAATAGAAAATAGCATTAGAAAATCATGTAATAGGTAGATCCCTCACCTGTAAACAGAACTGCGCCTTATACAATAGAAATAGCATTAGAAAATCATGTAATAGGTGGATCTCTCACCTGTAAACAGAACTGCGCCTTATACAATAGAAATAGCATCAGAAAATCATGTAATAGGTAGATCCCTCACCTGTTAACAGAACTGCGCCTCATACAATAGAAATAGCATTAGAAAATCATGTAATAGGTAGATCTCTCACCTGTTAACAGAACTGCGCCTTATACAATAGAAATAGCATTAGAAAATCATGTAATAGGTAGATCTCTCACCTGTAAACAGAACTGCACCTTATACAATAGAAATAGCATTAGAAAATCATGTAATAGGTAGATCTCTTACCTGTAAACAGAACTGTGCCTTATACAATAGAAATAGCATTAGAAAATCATGTAATAGGTAGATCTCTTACCTGTAAACAGAACTGCGCCTTATACAATAGAAATAGCATTAGAAAATCATGTAATAGGTAGATCCCTCACCTGTTAACAGAACTGCGCCTTATACAATAGAAATAGCATTAGAAAATCATGTAATAGGTAGATCTCTCACCTGTAAACAGAACTGCGCCTTATAAAATAGAAATAGCATTAGAAAATCATGTAATATGTAGATCTCTTACCTGTAAACAGAACTGCGCCTTATACAATAGAAATAGCATTAGAAAATCATGTAATAGGTAGATCCCTCACCTGTAAACAGAACTGCGCCTTATACAATAGAAATAGCATTAGAAAATCATGTAATAGGTAGATCTCTCACCTGTAAACAGAACTGCGCCTTATAAAATAGAAATAGCATTAGAAAATCATGTAATAGGTAGATCTCTTACCTGTAAACAGTACTGCGCCTTATACAATAGAAATAGCATTAAAAATCATGTAATATGTAGATCTCTTACCAGTAAACAAAACTGTGCCTTATACAATAGAAATAGCATTAAAAATCATGTAATAGGTAGATCTCTTACCTGTAAACAGAACTGCGCCTTATACAAGAGAAATAGCATTAGAAAATCATGTAATAGGTGGATCTCTCACCTGTAAACAGAACTGCGCCTTATGCAATAGAAATAGCATTAGAAAATCATGTGTTACAATTAAGTGTAGCTTAAACTTACGCATCTGGTTTATTTTTAACATCTCCAAATATTGTAAAGAAAACAACAATTAATAAATAAACTTTTAAAAAGTATTACCATAATATGTTCCTCAGAAAAGGCAATGTTTTTGCTGTTACTCATCTTGTGGCAAAGTATGCTAGACATGTATCCTCTTTGTTACCTGGAATCTTCCGTTTTTTATTGAGATTACAAAACATAGGCAACATTAAAGTTGATAACTAGAAATGTCTTTGTGAAGTTATATCAAAAGTGTCATCCATCCGTTCACTGAAGCTTTTGATAATCATTTATTTCAACTGACATTTTTTATTCAGTTATAAACCATGTACATCTTCACAGGTTATGATCACTCATAAAATGCCTTTGTTAACTGAATGTTAAATAAACTAAACTGCTCTGTGTTTGTTTTCAGCTATAAGATACATGGTTAAACACATTCCCCCACTTGATAAAAAGGAAGGCAAGAAAATTGGTCAAAAATTAGAGAAATGCAGAAACCAGGAGAATAATCCAGATAGTGAAGTGTAAGTATGTTTAAGACTACTGTCTGACTACATTTCCCTTCCCTTTACTTCAAGGACTTGGTCATGTCCACAATTATTCAAATTGTTACCACTTCTTCACTATACATGTACAATGATATTGTTCATGTGATCGCAGCAATTGCAGTTTAAATGATTCAACTTCTAGCATCTTCCTAAGTTGATCATTGGTGTGATTACATGGACTGTTCAATCATTGGTGTGATTACATGTATCATTCAATCATTGGTGTGATTACATGTACTGTTCTGTCATTGATGTGACTACATATACTGTTCTATCATTGCTGTGATTACATGTACCGTTCAATCATTGGTGTGGTTACATGTATTGTTCAATCATCAGTGTGATTACATGTACTGTTCAGTCATTGGTGTGATTACATGTACCATTCAATCTTTGGTGTGACTACATATACTGTTCAGTCATTAGTGTAATTACATGCTCTGTTCAATCATTGGTGTGATTACATGTACTGTTCAATCATTGGTGTGATTACATGTTCTGTTCAATCATTGGTGTGATAACATGTTCTGTTCAATCATTGGTGTGATTACATGTACTGTTCAATCGTTAGTGTGACTACATATACTGTTCAGTCATTGGTGTGATTACATGTTCTGTTCAATCATTGGTATGATTCCATGTTCTGTTCAATCATGGGTGTGATTACATGTACTGTTCAATCGTTAGTGTGACTACATATACTGTTCAGTCATTGGTGTGATTACATGTTCTGTTCAGTCATTGGTGTGATTCCATGTTCTGTTCAATCATGGGTGTGATTACATGTACTGTTCAATCATGGGTGTGATTACATGTACTGTTCAATCATTGGTGTGATTACATGTACTGTTCAATTATTGTTGTGATTACATGTACCATTCAATCATTGGTGTGATTACATGTACCGTTCAATCATTTGTGTGGTAACATATACCATTCAATCATTGGTGTGACTACATGTACTGTTCAATCATTGGTATGATTACATGTGCCATTCAAGGTGGGATCAGTAAATTGATTATTATTTTGAAGGTTTACCTTTCACTATATAATATTAACATTACCAACATGTTGTTTGTTTTTATAGATTTAAAAGAAAGCAGCAAGAGATGTTGGATGATGAGGATGAGGTATATTCAAGGAAAAAACAAAAAATATCTCAGGTAATTGTCTAAGTACCCCATTCCGTCCTCATAATATTAGTCTATGTGGAGCATCGCTTGTTTTCTGAAGCTGCATAAGTTGGATTACAAATGTACTAAACTTCTGAAGTGTATTTTAATAGAGCCTGAAGTGTATTGTAATAGAGTGCAACATTCTTCTGTGGCAAAGTTATCCTCTCTTACTTGTAGATCAATGACACAGCAGATATCAGGATATAGAGAGTTGATAACACTTTTGTAGTAGCTCGTATGCTAGTTATAATCCATTAATTGATAATGTCAGAATATTTTGAATTGTTTTGTTTCAGGAAGAAAAGGATGCTGAGAAAGAACTTCTAGGACTCTGACACACTTAGGAACCAAATTAATATGCCATAATAGAATCGTCATGAAAAGAAACAAGTATTGCCAATATCCAAAAGGCAACCTTGCAGCTTTCAGTCAGCTTAATGGTTGAGATTAATGAACTGGGAAAGTGAACTATTAGAGTTGCAGTAATTCCATTTAGTGATCTCTTGTAATGGTGAATGCACATATCCACGAATTTCCAGCATAGCATCGTACTCAGCTCATGGCAATGATCAGTGTCATTCTTCAATTTTTATTTTAAGTTACAGATTGCTTGACTTTAAACCTGAATTATGAGCAACACACAGCTATATCATGTTTTGGTTTACTTTATTGTTTGCAAATGCCAAAAGAGAACATTGTCCATTGACATTACATCATGGAGTTACATGACATGTAATAAATTGTAGACTGTATAAGAAATGAAGAAAATATAACAAAGTGAATTTGTATTTGACAATTATTAAAATAAATACTAGTAATACAAACACCTGACCTTTTGTTGGTTAGATACATGTATATACTAAGTATATTATATAAACTGAAATATTCTCAGAAGGCTATTTACAGAATTTATAACAAATCAAAGATTCTGATTAAGACTGATACAAAAATGTGACCCTCACTGATTTTGGAATAATTTATCAATTATTTAATAAATATAAAGGAATCTGTTTTTGATGTAGACAGAATGCTAAATAAATGAAACTAGTCTATTATGTAATTTAGAGAAATATACAATATTTTGGATGGGTCTTGTTTCCTTGCCATTATTTATGTCATTTCTGGATTGTTATTACATTATCAATTATAGACCCGCTTTTTGGATTAACTGTTACTGGTAATGAGTCAGACCTTATCTTTTATTTGGAAAGTTCAAGACAAAATGTTGGCAGGTATTGCGATGATGATGCTAATATCAAATATCTATAAATAAAAGTTCAGAGAGATTCCATCAAAATTGAGAATGTTATTCCAAAATGAGAGGGTTGTATCTCTACACTCTATATTGAATAAACTTTAGAGCAATGTCAATCAAGCCTTCTGTTTAAGACTTCCCTCTGGAGGAGAGCTACATCTGCCCTCTCCAATAAGACTAATTATTTTATTCAGTCATCTCTGTCCTTCTCAGAGCCTCTGTATTTCACATACTGTATCAAACAATTCAAGAACTGTATTGAACAAATATTACACATTGTCTTTAAATAGTCTAAGATGAAGAAGTAAATGATGAGTTATTCTAGTAATGATTTAATAATATGAACTCGCCATGCCTACATAATTAATTATTAAATAGAAAATAAATCAATGCACAAGTAAAGCCATAAATTAAAATGCAAATAATTCTAAAATATTAAAATGAGATAACTTGTATGCAATGTTAATGTTGAGGAAGTTCACAAGGACAGTAAATATAATATCTATAATGGAGAACAATATGTTGACCAGCTGTCAATTTGTTTTAGTCAAGCCCAAACTTCAATATCTGGATTTATCTGAATGGACGGATTTGAAATTATAATCCTAATAACAGTGTTATTTCTGAACTCTGTAATGGTCCATGTCTGTTGCATTGTTATTAACTGCAATATGTGTATATTAGTTATAGTCATCATTACAAGAACAGGTCCAACAAATTAGATAATCTTCCACTGCATGAGGCAAGCGTCTCTACCCCCTAAGGTGATAAGGTGGCGCCCACTGGTGGTGAATCCTATATTGGGCAAGGGGCAGTTTGATCCTCTGTAGGTGTGGCTGTAACTCTGAAATAAAAGAAATGAACACTTTATCAACATTTAATTCCAAAATACATTATTGATGATCAAGGTTTGGGGACTATGAAATCATGGGTTGGCCAATACTTATTTTCTAAAAGACCACAGATGTTTGAGCCTTGGCAAATGACTAATCCCCCGAGGTGAGAATGACTGGTAAATGCAGGGCATTCAATAAGTATTGCTAATTTTGCAATAACCTTTCTTTTTTTTCATGAAACTTTCACAACATAAGGAACATATATCTGACCATATTCTGTTAAAATTTCAATCAAAAAATATTAGAACTTACCCCCTCTTTGCAGCATGGGTATTTAAAGAGACTGATATAACCCTGGCTGTTCCCCATAGCAACCAATGTCTTAGTTGGGTTGATCTCCACTGAAGAGATATCTGCCTCCTTTCCTTGCTTACAGTGCCATACACCTTAAATAGAAGATGTTTATGTCAGCAAAGGAGAGAGGGTCTTTAGAAGAGATATCTGCCTCCTTTCCTTGCTTACAGTGCCATACACCTAAAATAGAAGATGTTTATGTCAGCAAAGGAGAGAGGGTCTTTAGAAGAGATATCTGCCTCCTTTCCTTGCTTACAGTGCCATACACCTAAAATAGAAGATGTTTATGTCAGCAAAGGAGAGAGGGCCTTTAGAAGAGATATCTGCCTCCTTTCCTTGCTTACAGTGCCATACACCTAAAATAGAAGATGTTTATGTCAGCAAAGGAGAGAGGGTCTTTAGAAGAGATATCTGCCTCCTTTCCTTGCTTACAGTGCCATACACCTAAAATAGAAGATGTTTATGTCAGCAAAGGAGAGAGGGCCTTTAGAAGAGATATCTGCCTCCTTTCCTTGCTTACAGTGCCATACACCTAAAATAGAAGATGTTTATGTCAGCAAAGGAGAGAGGGTCTTTAGAAGAGATATCTGCCTCCTTTCCTTGCTTACAGTGCCATACACCTAAAATAGAAGATGTTTATGTCAGCAAAGGAGAGAGGGTCTTTAGAAGAGATATCTGCCTCCTTTCCTTGCTTACAGTGCCATACACCTAAAATAGAAGATGTTTATGTCAGCAAAGGAGAGAGGGCCTTTAGAAGAGATATCTGCCTCGGTTCCTTGCTTACAGTGCCATACACCTTAAATAGAAGATGTTTATGTCAGCAAAGGAGAGAGGGTCTTTAGGATTATAGAGAGGGAGATGAATGGAGATGTTGGAGCATTTGCAGTTTTGACATAAATAGATTGTTTTTAAAAGAATAAGAAAGGATGAGGAGATGATCTTTCGAGCAAAAAACTAAGAGGTCTAGAAAGTATGATATAATCAATTTTAGTATTAGGATAGTATTCAAGTTAGACCCCCCTAAATGGCATTAATGTTGATATGAAAAAGCATAAGCATAAAAGGCAACATTTGAAAACCTTATCTGTCAGTGTTACCTGTGACTGGAAAGCCGAGTTTTGATGTGTGTGTCAGCCATCTTTGATTCTTTTGTTCCTCTGGGTTTAATAAATGGCAAGTCTCTATGTTCCCTGGAATAATATAATAGAATTAAAAGTAATGAAATGATACAATTCAATAAAATAACTGACATTAAATAGATGGCACATCTGAAATCTATATTAAAGAATATTTGTTACAACTACACAATGGGCTGACCTCTACAAAGGCAACATCCAAGGACCTCCTAAAAGGTTAGAAAGTTAAGCTATTAATATATTCTTACAAATGCAACAAGTAAGTTTAAAGAAAAAGCTTACTCTATTTACTGAGATACTGTTTAAAATTCTCCGATATTATCATAATGTCCAATTCTAATGACCAGTGCTGCAAATTTGAAATAGCACAAAATTTCATTCTTTGTTTCCATTAACCAATTATGTCGAATTTCAATGGCTAGAGCAGGAAATTTGAAATATCCAAACTTACACAGACTGCATATATAAGCATAAGACACTTACAAATGCAAAACTCAGGTTTATCAGAGCTGCTTTGTAGTAGGGTGCCATCTATATTCCAATCTAGTCCAGTCACTGATCTAGAATGACCTTGACATTGACCCATTTCCTGCCAGGCCCATTGACTTTCCTCAACCTCTGTCCATTTCATGATAACTATCAATGATTTTGTACCGATCGCTATTTTATTCCCATCAGCAGAGAGCTTGACTGAAGTAAGTTTATCTTTTGTGATTTTTATTTGCGCTTGTTCAGAAATTGAAAAATTGTCGCCATGTTGGATATCAAAGATTACAAGCTCCCCATTATTTGTTCCAGCAACAAGGATTTCACCAGTAATAGAGAGGTCTGCACACAGGAAGTGAAGGCCCTGAAAAATATAGTTCCATTCATCATTTGTTTTCCAATCTTTGATTAGTGTCGCAATTTGGAATGATTTTGACAAAATATGAAAAACAATAAAGTAAATTTATAAAAATATTTACAGATCCATGAAGAGTTGCTTATTTTCAATAAACAATGCGCAATAATATAGTACCTTAACCATGTGTTTCCAAACAGCCTCTCTTGTGACTGTGTTCAAACAGCAGATAATTCCATCATAGCCGACTGTGATGATGTCATTCTCTCTACCAGCTAACTGAACCATTGACAACCCGCGGACATCATCAAAGTGACCCTAAATACAAGGAAGATTGAGTTAAATCCAACTTTCTATTGTTAAGACGTCTAGCCTGTTGAAATATGAAAAATGGTTTAGACATAAATAAATGATGTTGAAAGGATCTATAATTGGTCCAAATACAGTCCATTTGGTTTATGCATGGTCTATATTTGATTTATACATGGTCTATATTTGGTCTAAACATGGTTTATTATGGTTTATACATGGTCTATATTTGGTCAAAACAAAGTCTATATTTGGTCAAAACACAGTCTATGTTTGGTCTAAACATGAACTATATTCAAGAGACATTGCCATACTTATGAAAGAACTTTCCAAAAGAATATTTGCACAAACTGACTCAATATGAATTAAATGAAGTGTATCGTAAATTGACGCAAAAGTAACAAAGCTGGTACTTTACCTGTGTTAAAGGGATCTTCTGCAGCTCCACCCCAGTCAAGGGACATCCCTTTGCAGCTATCTTAGTTACTAAGATAGAGTTCGTAGTTGTTCCAATCAGAAGGATGTCATTGTGAATCACAAGCATCCTTACACCTCCCTCCAGCTTAGGAATCTATGCATGAAATAATATCATTTCAATTCATTAGAAGTCCATATATGGGCACTTCAAATGTTTATTCCTTTTATGAAAATTTGCCTTAATCATAGGAGGAAGGCGTGGTTAAACATACATGTACATATTAAACTTTGAATGGCCTTTTCTGAATAAAGTATACATTAATGTATAAAAACTCTGTAAATATTCATGCACAATGCGTTTCTTAGATGAAACAACTATTCTGAGAGCAAAATGTAGTGAGTTATGAATAACGTTGTTTTAGGTTGCCATGGTGACATGTATTTCAGAACAAGACTTAATGAAGGTTGGGTTGGAGAAGATGACATTCTTAAAATCAATTCAGTATATAATTTGATTGGCTCCTTAACTGATGACAAAATTGTGAATACTGGTTGCACATGTACCTACCTCAAGAGTTTGATGCTTTGGCTGCGGTAATTCCTTCACCTAAAGGAAAGGGAAACATTGGGAAAGTGAAACATGAGGACAGCTATGTGATGGTGCATCATAATATCTTTACAATCTACTGTGTGATTTAATGTGATGTTGGGAACAAGAAAGTGGATTTTGAGTACTTTATTTGTGGGTAAAGGTGCAAGCTGTTTGTAAGTATACACTTCAATCAGAATTTTGTTTGAATTCTGAGACATTCCATTTAATCTGAGACATTCCATTTAACACTGAAGTAGATCAGAATGTTTTCAGAGAAATCATATTTTTTCTTATATTAATAATTCAATGTATAAAACTTCTTCAGGTAAACAAGTTTTTTTGAGTTTACCTGAAGAAGCAATAAAACGAAAATTTGTAAATCAAAATCATTTCACTGTTAATAATTCAATGTTTCAAGTGATAATCATGCAAAGAACGTGAGAAATGGAAGAACAATTCACTAAAATAACAATATCCATGTACAACTATGGCTTATAGCTAACATGTAATATAAACCGTAATGTCAAACCTTTATATTTCCCGCTTCATCCATGTTCTTGTTCCATACCCAGGAGACCACCATTCCATCTCTCCCCCCAGATAGAAGGTAGTTCTTGTAAGCCAACAGAGAGAACACAGGGCCCTATAAGAGACATATATACATGTAGAATATATTAAATTCCAGACCAAGGAGACCACCTACCCATCTCTCCCCCCCCAGATAGAAGGTAGTTCTTGTAAGCCAACAGAGAGAACACAGGGCCCTATAAGAGACATATATACATGTAGAATATATTAAATTCCAGACCAAGGAGACCACCTACCCATCTCTCCCCCCCCAGATAGAAGGTAGTTCTTGTAAGCCAACAGAGAGAACACAGGGCCCTATAAGAGACATATATACATGTAGAATATATTAAATTCCACACCCAGGAGACCACCTACCCATCTCTCCCCCCAGATAGAAGGTAGTTCTTGTAAGCCAACAGAGAGAACACAGGGCCCTATAAGAGACATATATACATGTAGAATATATTAAATTCCAGACCAAGGAGACCACCTACCCATCTCTCCCCCCCCAGATAGAAGGTAGTTCTTGTAAGCCAACAGAGAGAACACAGGGCCCTATAAGAGACATATATACATGTAGAATATATTAAATTCCAGACCAAGGAGACCACCTACCCATCTCTCCCCCCCCAGATAGAAGGTAGTTCTTGTAAGCCAACAGAGAGAACACAGGGCCCTATAAGAGACATATATACATGTAGAATATATTAAATTCCACACCCAGGAGACCACCTACCCATCTCTCCCCCAGATAGAAGGTAGTTCTTGTAAGCCAACAGAGAGAACACAGGGCCCTATAAGAGACATATATACATGTAGAATATATTAAATTCCAGACCAAGGAGACCACCATTCCATCTCTCCCCCCAGATAGAAGGTAGTTCTTGTAAGCCAACAGAGAGAACACAGGGCCCTATAAGAGACATATATACATGTAGAATATATTAAATTCCACACCCAGGAGACCACCTACCCATCTCTCCCCCAGATAGAAGGTAGTTCTTGTAAGCCAACAGAGAGAACACAGGGCCCTATAAGAGACATATATACATGTAGAATATATTAAATTCCACACCCAGGAGACCACCTACCCATCTCTCCCCCAGATAGAAGGTAGTTCTTGTAAGCCAACAGAGAGAACACAGGGCCCTATAAGAGACATATATACATGTAGAATATATTAAATTCCAGACCAAGGAGACCTCCATTCCATCTCTCCCCCCCCAGATAGAAGGTAGTTCTTGTAAGCCAACAGATAGAACACAGGGCCCTATAAGAGACATATATACATGTAGAATATATTAAATTCCACACCCAGGAGACCACCTACCCATCTCTCCCCCAGATAGAAGGTAGTTCTTGTAAGCCAACAGAGAGAACACAGGGCCCTATAAGAGACATATATACATGTAGAATATATTAAATTCCAGACCAAGGAGACCACCATTCCATCTCTCCCCCCAGATAGAAGGTAGTTCTTGTAAGCCAACAGAGAGAACACAGGGCCCTATAAGAGACATATATACATGTAGAATATATTAAATTCCAGACCAAGGAGACCACCATTCCATCTCTCCCCCCAGATAGAAGGTAGTTCTTGTAAGCCAACAGAGAGAACACAGGGCCCTATAAGAGACATATATACATGTAGAATATATTAAATTCCAGACCAAGGAGACCTCCATTCCATCTCTCCCCCCCAGATAGAAGGTAGTTCTTGTAAGCCAACAGAGAGAACACAGGGCCCTATAAGAGACATATATACATGTAGAATATATTAAATTCCAGACCAAGGAGACCTCCATTCCATCTCTCCCCCCCAGATAGAAGGTAGTTCTTGTAAGCCAACAGAGAGAACACAGGCCCCTATAAGAGACATATATACATGTAGAATATATTAAATTCCAGACCAAGGAGACCACCATTCCATCTCTCCCCCCAGATAGAAGGTAGTTCTTGTAGGCCAACAGAGAGAACACAGGGCCCTATAAGAGACATATATACATGTAGAATATATTAAATTCCACACCCAGGAGACCACCTACCCATCTCTCCCCCCAGATAGAAGGTAGTTCTTGTAAGCCAACAGAGAGAACACAGGGCCCTATAAGAGACATATATACATGTAGAATATATTAAATTCCAGACCAAGGAGACCTCCATTCCATCTCTCCCCCCCAGATAGAAGGTAGTTCTTGTAAGCCAACAGAGAGAACACAGGGCCCTATAAGAGACATATATACATGTAGAATATATTAAATTCCAGACCAAGGAGACCTCCATTCCATCTCTCCCCCCAGATAGAAGGTAGTTCTTGTAAGCCAACAGAGAGAACACAGGGCCCTATAAAAGACATATATATATACATGTAGAATATATTAAACTCCAGACCAAGGAGACCACCATTCCATCTCTCCCCCCAGATAGAAGGTAGTTCTTGTAGGCCAACAGAGCGAACACAGGACCCTATAAGAGACATATATACATGTAGAATATATTAAACTCCAGACCAAGGAGACCACCATTCCATCTCTCCCCCCAGATAGAAGGTAGTTCTTGTAAGCCAACAGAGCGAACACAGGACCCTATAAGAGACATATATACATGTAGAATATATTAAACTCCAGACCAAGGAGACCTCCATTCCATCTCTCCCCCCCCAGATAGAAGGTAGTTCTTGTAAGCCAACAGAGAGAACACAGGGCCCTATAAGAGACATATATACATGTAGAATATATTAAATTCCAGACCAAGGAGACCTCCATTCCATCTCTCCCCCCAGATAGAAGGTAGTTCTTGTAGGCCAACAGAGCGAACACAGGACCCTATAAAAGACATATATATATACATGTAGAATATATTAAATTCCAGACCAAGGAGACCACCATTCCATCTCTCCCCCCAGATAGAAGGTAGTTCTTGTAAGCCAACAGAGAGAACACAGGGCCCTATAAGAGACATATATACATGTAGAATATATTAAATTCCAGACCAAGGAGACCACCATTCCATCTCTCCCCCCAGATAGAAGGTAGTTCTTGTAAGCCAACAGAGAGAACACAGGGCCCTATAAGAGACATATATACATGTAGAATATATTAAATTCCAGACCAAGGAGACCACCTACCCATCTCTCCCCCCAGATAGAAGGTAGTTCTTGTAAGCCAACAGAGAGAACACAGGGCCCTATAAGAGACATATATACATGTAGAATATATTAAATTCCAGACCAAGGAGACCTCCATTCCATCTCTCCCCCCAGATAGAAGGTAGTTCTTGTAGGCCAACAGAGCGAACACAGGACCCTATAAAAGACATATATATATACATGTAGAATATATTAAATTCCAGACCAAGGAGACCACCATTCCATCTCTCCCCCCAGATAGAAGGTAGTTCTTGTAAGCCAACAGAGAGAACACAGGGCCCTATAAGAGACATATATACATGTAGAATATATTAAATTCCAGACCAAGGAGACCACCATTCCATCTCTCCCCCCAGATAGAAGGTAGTTCTTGTAAGCCAACAGAGAGAACACAGGGCCCTATAAGAGACATATATACATGTAGAATATATTAAATTCCAGACCAAGGAGACCACCATTCCATCTCTCCCCCAGATAGAAGGTAGTTCTTGTAAGCCAACAGAGAGAACACAGGGCCCTATAAGAGACATATATACATGTAGAATATATTAAATTCCAGACCAAGGAGACCACCTACCCATCTCTCCCCCCAGATAGAAGGTAGTTCTTGTAAGCCAACAGAGAGAACACAGGGCCCTATAAGAGACATATATACATGTAGAATATATTAAATTCCAGACCAAGGAGACCACCTACCCATCTCTCCCCCAGATAGAAGGTAGTTCTTGTAAGCCAACAGAGAGAACACAGGGCCCTATAAGAGACATATATACATGTAGAATATATTAAATTCCAGACCAAGGAGACCACCTACCCATCTCTCCCCCCAGATAGAAGGTAGTTCTTGTAAGCCAACAGAGAGAACACAGGGCCCTATAAGAGACATATATACATGTAGAATATATTAAATTCCAGACCAAGGAGACCACCTACCCATCTCTCCCCCAGATAGAAGGTAGTTCTTGTAAGCCAACAGAGAGAACACAGGGCCCTATAAGAGACATATATACATGTAGAATATATTAAATTCCACACCCAGGAGACCACCATTCCATCTCTCCCCCCAGATAGAAGGTAGTTCTTGTAAGCCAACAGAGAGAACACAGGGCCCTATAAGAGACATATATACATGTAGAATATATTAAATTCCAGACCAAGGAGACCACCTACCCATCTCTCCCCCCAGATAGAAGGTAGTTCTTGTAAGCCAACAGATAGAACACAGGGCCCTATAAGAGACATATATACATGTAGAATATATTAAATTCCAGACCAAGGAGACCACCATTCCATCTCTCCCCCCAGATAGAAGGTAGTTCTTGTAAGCCAACAGAGAGAACACAGGGCCCTATAAGAGACATATATACATGTAGAATATATTAAATTCCAGACCAAGGAGACCACCTACCCATCTCTCCCCCCAGATAGAAGGTAGTTCTTGTAAGCCAACAGAGAGAACACAGGGCCCTATAAGAGACATATATACATGTAGAATATATTAAATTCCAGACCAAGGAGACCACCTACCCATCTCTCCCCCAGATAGAAGGTAGTTCTTGTAAGCCAACAGAGAGAACACAGGGCCCTATAAGAGACATATATACATGTAGAATATATTAAATTCCACACCCAGGAGACCACCATTCCATCTCTCCCCCCAGATAGAAGGTAGTTCTTGTAAGCCAACAGAGAGAACACAGGGCCCTATAAGAGATACATTTACCATACTTAGATTTCTGATGTATTACTAGGTATTATTACCTAAGAAAAGTCAAAAACATATCTTACATTAATATCGTAACAGTACTTACATCATGTGCATGTTTGACATAGTTTGTGATGGAATTGTTCCCGCCACCCCATACATATATGGTGCCATTAGAGTCACCCGTTATCAGATCTCCCTTCTCAGTATGCAGCATACAAATCACAAACCTTGCCTTGAAGAAGGTCTAGAAAATTAAGGAAAAAAACTATTAAAGGCCCCATATAAAGTTTAAACCACTTTGGCTTATATTGTAGTCTTACCCAATGTTATCAAAGTGTGATATGTGAAACTTTTTTTTTTAATTTCAAAAAGTGGTTTTTGATAGACTTTTTGTTCCAAAATTTGTGAATTTATTTAAAACCAACTTTTAGAGGTCACTCATATCTTCTAATTAGCCACAATTCATACCAATGCATAGCATTCATCCTCCCATGTTTTTTGCCGAAAAAATTAAGAAAATCGGTTCATAAATAAGCGAGAAATGAACTTATCAGTGCATGAAAATGGTTCTGAGAAAAATGGATTTCAAAATTTTAGTTCTCATAGAAACCAATGGTACAATGATATCTAAAACATAATTTATTCTTCCTTTTAACCTGGTTAGACAATCAACATTGGTTTTTTATGAAAGTCTAGCATATTTAGAAAAGATTGACATCGAAAAAAGTTTTTTCAGAAAGTTTTTGGTACCTTAGTGACATCACTAATGTTTCAAAATATTTTTGATAAGCTAAAACATTGAAGTGGCCCATTAATTATGGCATTTTATCATTGAAATAGTGTGTCCTTTGTTCAATCTTTGCATTGGTGTTAAAAAGATAATCTTTTTTAAAATGCATTAAGAAATATTTGATGATTAAGAAATTTCAACTTTTTTTGAAAAATGGCGGGAAATTTGAATATTTGAGAAATGAAATGCTCACAACTTTTTTTTCAAAAAAATTTTTTTGTTCAAAAATCTCTAAAATCACTTTTTAAGTCCTGACAAATAGTAAATGAATGATAAAAAAATATTTTTAAACTTTAGACGGGGACTTTAACACCATTTTAATCTTTTTCAAGTAGGCACTTGAACATGAATTAAACTAAGTCCAAATAAGGAACTAATGATCAATTATCAGATATATGGTACACATGCTAGCGCTAAATGAAAAGAATTTGATGACTAACAATGAAATCCATATCTGAGTTCTCCCTGAAAAAAGAGAATAGAAATGAATATCAATTAGAAGAAAGAATTTTAATAAGATGAATGAAATAAGTACATACCCCATACTCTGGCTTAGCGTGCATTTCAATTCCAGACTGAGGCTGGGCAGCCTCTTTTTGATTCTTCTGTAATGCATTTTCAAGATCTTTCACTCGATTGGTGTAAATCTTCCACCAAGTTTGGTGTTCCCGACCAATTGTTACAAGAATATTAGGATCATTCGAGCTGAATCCAATGTCACACATGACATCATTGTTCACCTATGTAAGAATAGAAATGCATTTAATTGTAAATGGCTCCAGTTTTTGGATTGTAAGAATTATATAGCTAATTGTCATATCATCATACTATAAACATTGTCATTACATATATTGTGCAGTTGATGAAATGTGAAAACCTACCATAGTCCTGGCTACCTCTTTGCCTGTTGTGACGTCCCATACTGACAGGAGGTGCTCCTTGTGGTCATCTAGAACAACCAAACGCTCCTAAAAGAAGTTGGACACTACAGAAAAATCATTTTTAATTCTATGAATGAATAGTAAATAAAAAAGAAATAGATGTACATGTATCTGATCAGAAGTTATAAATCATTTGTTGTTTCTTAAATGAATCATTGAGTGCTATCATGATTACTTTCAGCTGATTAACAAGTTTACTGATGGATTACTGATTATTTTATCTTATTAAGAAATTTCTACAAAATGAAGGTTTGTATATGAAAAGTGAAGTACTTTTAAAGTGATTCATACATAGGTTTATAAATAATAGGTGAAGTAAGGCTGCTAACTCTGACAATATCATTCTATGAACTTCCTAATACGGATAAGGCGAATGACTGGATATGAGGGAATGTGAGCAATGTGTGTCAAAGGAAGTATGAATATCTTATACATCAAGATGAATAGGTTATGCCTCAAGAGAATACATGTAGGTGAGAGAATACATGTAGATTATGCCTTGGGAGAATAGGTGAGAGAATAGGTTATGCCTCAGGAGAATAGGTTATGCTTCAGGAGAATGAATTATACCTTAGGAAAATAGGTGAGAATAGGTTATACCTTGGGAGAATAGGTGAGAGAATAGATTATGCCTCTGTAGAATAGATTATGCCTCGGGAGAATAGGTGAGAGAATAGATTATGCCTTGGGAGAATAGGTTAGAGAATAGATTATGCCTCAGGGGGATAGGTGAGAGAATAAATTATGCCTCAGGAGAATAGGTTATGCCTCAGGAGAATAGGAAATGCCTCAGGAGAATAAATTATGCCTCTGGAGAATAGTTGAAAGAATAAATTATGTCTTGGGAGAACAGATTATGGCTCAAGAGAATAGGTGAGAGTAAAGGTTAAGCCTCGGGAGAATAAATCATACCTTAGGAAAATAGGTGAGAAAATAGGTTATGCCTCAGGAGAATAGGTGAAAGAATAGATTATGTCTCTGGACAATAGGTTATGCCTCAGGAGAATAGGTAATGGCTCAGGAGAATAAATTATACCTCAGGAGAATAGGTGAGAGAATGGGTAATGCCTCTGGAGAATAGGTGAAAGATTAGATTATGTCTCGGAAGAATAGATTATGCCGTAGGGAATATGTTATGCTTTGTGAGAATAGGTTATGCCTTAGAAATAGTGATGCTTTAGGGAATAGATTATGCTTAGGGAGAAAAGGTTATTCAACATTGATGGGAGGGGTAATTTAGGTTGCACCTTAGTCTGAGATGACTGAGCTGTTTCCATGAAAGCACTTCCAATGGATGGCTTAAATAACAACATTTTGTTGAAGCCACTGGTAAATGCTCTTTGACATGCAATATATTTCATTCATAATACCCTAGCCCAAAGAAAAATATTTATAATGATAACATACACAAACTTCTAGCTTTATGTAACTATTCATAATAATTCATAAGAAATCAGTTTTTATCAAAATTATGACATTACACCTTGGGAGTGAGCCAAAACATCTGTTTGATAAGTATCACAATGACTTATATGCAATTAAAAATACTCATTACTTTGATATAAAACAATTATGAAAACAATGAGAAATAGTTTCTTACTTTAGTCTTTGAGAAAGCAACCGCTGCAACTGATTTAGTGAATACTCCCATTCCAAGTACATGTAGGGTCTGCAACGAGTCAGCCCTCCATATCCTTACATGGGCCTGCAAATAACATTAACATAAGAAGATGTTTCTCGTAAAACATAATACTCAAGGTATTCATGCTAAGTATGATGAAAGACCTGACGTTCATCATGATTCAAATGTTTTTGTATGGCTCAATGGGCTCTTGATGGCCTTAAGAACCAGTGATATAGCCTAAAATAGTTCATTGTGGTCTAAATTGCCCTTGATGGCCTTAAGAACCAGCGATATAGCCTAACATAGTTCATTGTGGTCTAAATTGCCCTTGATGGCCTTATTAAGAACCAGTGATATAGCCTAGAATAGTTCATTGTGGTCTAAATTGCCCTTGATGCCTTTAAGAACCAGTGATATAGCCTAGAATAGTTCATTGTGGTCTAAATTGCCCTTGATGCCTTTAGAACCAGTGATATAGCCTAGAATAGTTCATTGTAGTCTAAATTGCCCTTGATGCCTTTAAGAACCAGTGATATAGCCTAGAATAGTTTATTGTGGTCTAAATTGCCCTTGATGCCTTTAAGAACCAGTGATATAGACTAGAATAGTTCATTGTGGTCTAAATTGCCCTTGAAGCCTTTAAGAACCAGTGATATAGCCTAGAATAGTTCATTGTGGTCTAAATTGCCCTTGATGCCTTTAAAGGGTTCCGATAAGCATCCCGTATAAGAACAATATGGCGGCTCCAGGCGAATCAACTGGATCAGTCCATTTTTAAGAAATAAGGGGAGTTCTGTAAAATCCAGTTTATTGAAATTGTCTTTGAGATAAAGTAATCCGTTTATAATGATTTTGAAAACATTATCCATAGAGTGATTGCGTTCAAAGAATATGTACAACAGCGAATATAAATCCTTGTATTAGAACTGCTTTGTTTCATTTGTAGGATATTTCATATACCAAACTGTGTGCTACTACGTTATGGGGAAATTTAGATGTCAATTTTTCCTTATTATACACAAATAGAAGATCCTGAAACTTCACCCATAAATGTGGAATTGATTTGTCAAAATAAAAATCACCGTTTTATAAATGTGTGACGATCTATAATATACTTATGCTATATAACAGTTAGAGGTGTTGACACAACGACCTCGAGGCTGTGAACCCTTGAGTATTATTCCGGGATCGGGCCTTTTATACTAAACGGTGAGCAACACCAGAAACGAGCGTTCGATTTGCTAAACGATATGCGTCACCCTTTAAGAACCAGTGATATAGCCTAGAATAGTTCATTGTGGTCTAAATTGCCCTTGATGGCTTAAGGGACCATAATGGCATAATAGGTCTGAATGACCAAGATGACTCCTCTCTGGTCTGAGACTATATTAGTTAGGCTTATCATATATTGTTACGATAGTTGTCTATGAACTTATGGCTTTCTCCAGGTACTTACATCTGCTGCTGTCTTCTTGTTAGTGGCATCTTGGCCTGTAGCTAGGGTCATCCCATTGGGGTGTACTGCAATGCTATTAATACAAAATAATTCAAATACAATCAATGAAGTGTACTTGGGCGAAGAGGTGGTTTCAGTATAAAAGACAGCCATTTTGTTCATAAGTTCATAATTCATAATGTAATGTATAACAAGCTGGATACAGGCATGAAAGAATGTCTGCTATATTCAATGCCCCATGGGGGAATCGAACCTTAAAGACCCTTAGATCCAAAGTATTATGCATTACCAACCCAGCCACAAAAGTATGAGCTATTTATATTAGGTGGTAGAAGGACTATGGTAGTAACTTGCTATCCATTGTGGCTACAATAAGTTTTTAAATGAATATGAGCTATTTACATTAAGTGGTAGAAGGGTTGCGGTAGTAACTTGCTATCCATTGTCGCTACAATAAGTTTTAAATGAATATGAGCTATTTACATTAGGTGGTAGAAGGGTTGCGGTAGTAACTTGCTATCCATTGTCGCTACAATAAGTTTTTAAGTAAATATGAGCTATTTACATTAAGTGGTAGAAGGGTTGCGGTAGTAACTTGCTATCCATTGTCGCTACAATAAGTTTTAAATGAATATGAGCTATTTACATTAGGTGGTAGAAGGGTTGCGGTAGTAACTTGCTATCCATTGTCGCTACAATAAGTTTTTAAGTAAATATGAGCTATTTATATTAGGTGGTAGAAGGACTGCGGTAGTAACTTGCTATCTATTGTCGCTACAATAAGTTTTAAATGAATATGAGCTATTTACATTAGGTGGTAGAAGGGTTGCGGTAGTAACTTGCTATCTATTGTCGCTACAATAAGTTTTTAAGTAAATATGAGCTATTTATATTAGGTGGTAGAAGGACTGCGGTAGTAACTTGCTATCTATTGTCGCTACAATAAGTTTTAAATGAATATGAGCTATTTACATTAGGTGGTAGAAGGGTTGCGGTAGTAACTTGCTATCCATTGTCGCTACAATAAGTTTTTAAATGAATATGAGCTATTTATATTAGGTGGTAGAAGGGTTGCGGTAGTAACTTGCTATCCATTGTCGCTTCAATAAGTTTTAAATGAATATGAGCTATTTATATTAGGTGGTAGAAGGGTTGCGGTAGTAACTTGCTATCCATTGTTGCTACAATAAGTTTTAAATGAATATGAGCTATTTATATTAGGTGGTAGAAGGGTTGCGGTAGTAACTAGCTATCCATTGTCGCTTCAATAAGTTTTAAATGAATATGAGCTATTTATATTAGGTGGTAGAAGGGTTGCGGTAGTAACTTGCTATCCATTGTTGCTACAATAAGTTTTTAAGTAAATATGAGCTATTTATATTAGGTAGTAGAAGAGCTGGGGTAGTAACTAGCTATCCATTGTCGCTACAATAAGTTTTTAAATGATATGAGCTATTTATATTAGGTGGTAGAAGGGCTGCGGTAGTAACTTGCTATTCATTGTTACTAACTTGCATGCTATTCATTGTTGCTACAATAAGTTTTTAAGTAAATATGAGCTATTTATATTAGGTGGTAGAAGGGCTGCGGTAGAAACTTGCTATTCATTGTTACTAACTTGCATGCTATCCATTGTTGCTACAAGAAGTTTTTAAATGAATATGAGCTATTTATATTAGGTGGTAGAAGGGCTGCGGTAGTAACTTGCTATTCATTGTTACTAACTTGCATGCTATCCATTGTTGCTACAAGAAGTTTTTAAATGAATATGAGCTATTCATATTAGGTGGTAGAAGGTAGAAGGGCTGCGGTAGTAACTTGCTATCCATTGTCGCGACATTAAGTTTTAAATGAATATGAGGTATTTACATTAGGTGGTAGAAGGGCTGTGGTAGCAACTTGCTATCCATTGTCGCTACAATAAGTTTTTAAATGAATGATGTTGAAACCTAAGCAATAATTCCCACAAAATATAACTATAGATCAATTGTTCTCCAAAATCAGTGGCACTGTTTCAAAATCTTTGCATAACTTCACTAAAACCTTAGTTATAATCATAATAATGGTAGTTCACATGACAAGACCATTCAGCCATTCTTGTTCATCAACTCAAATCTTTGTCAATTCAACAGTTAATGATACACCATTGGTTCATTATGAGAGAAGCATATGAAGATTCTGTTCAGTCCAAACCAAGTAGCTTTGTATATATTTTGATAACATCATCATCAGGTATACCAGACAGTGAAAAGTTTATGAAAAAATCAATCAAAAAGGTAATGTTTAAGATAAAATTAGACAATTGGATAAATGTGATATCTACCATTTTCTCAAACCTACCTGTATGATTACAATCTATTACTAAATGATGTAAATAATGTCACATGGGAGTTCTGCATGCGGCAGGACATGTGCTTTCCTTATTTCATAAGCCCAGCATGTTGGCTATTAAACACTTGAACAAGATATCAATAAGGACATATAATGAGTCTTAAACACTTAATAGATATCAATAAAATACACTTATATTAAGTATAATACATTAATGTAATGGTTTGAAGATGTATAAATTGTCTCTTCTAACCAATATGCCATGTGTAACTTTCTGTGATAGCCTGTTAACCTTTGAAATAGTATTGACATTGCGGTACACTCCTCAAATAAAAATCACCATCAATTACAGACATGACTTATTTAGACCATTTCCATTGATTTTTTTCTGGTGGCATCATCAAGCGAGTTTAATAACATCAAATTAGAATCGCTTTACATTCTGGTGGTATAATCATTACAAGATTTTAAACCTCTAACACATAATAGATTCATAATACAACCGAGACTAGAAATTAATTTACAGTAACTTTCTTAATAATATATTTTCTTTACAATACAATACAATACAATACAAGCTGTATATCCAAACACCTCTACAAATGAATACCTCTCAATGTGAACACTTTTTCTCAGTCAGAAATTTGTTGTCAATGACCTACATGATGAAAACACTTTGAAAAATGAACACCTGCAAGTGTAACCTGGTGTCTTGAGTAAATTTCAGTTTACTTCAATGGAAGGTGAACTACTTAATTCTCTTATTTAGATGAGTGTCAGGAGATTACTATTGGCATATAAGTTTTGCTTTGTCCCATCTGATGTTATGTTCCACTAATTCATTATATTTTTCAGTTATATGCTTCTTGATTTCTTCTGGTTTGTTTCTGCAATAAAGTACTTAGCTTATTTAAGTTCTTCAATATTCCCTTTTTGTGCCACTGGATCAATTAGTGTTTGCTGCCACTTTCAACCAGTTAATGCTTGGGTAATTATGATGACAAATAAACTATTTTACTACTTACTACTACTGTAATTATTATGACACCTGACAGCTCATTTACAGTGCTATTCAGGGATTTTGGCTGTTCAGAAATCACATTTTAAGACATGTGAATAATTCTTGGTTTTATAACTATTTAATGGGCCATTAATGACTATTGATTGTCAATTTGTGTAATTGCCATCACATATAAAACCAGAGGATTGCATTCAAATGTACAAAACAGATTAAACTTGGATATGAATCAGTCGTTAATCAAGAGAAGAGAAAATGTGGCAATTAAACACAAATCATACTAATAATGAAAAACTAAAAGAAGAAAATAGCAAGGATGGAAAATTCAATGATGATTTAACAAATGACAGTATAATAATTAAACAGAAGTTTCCAGTCGAATCAAAGAATGGTACAATTTCACTAAAAGAATATTTGTATGATTGGGTTGATAACTGTGTCTTACATGGTATAAAGAACATACGTGCCAGTAAAAATACATTCCATGGATTATTTTGGTTGATAGCTGTTCTGAACTTCACTGTTTGTTTTGTCTTCTTTGGGAAACACCAAGTAACATTATTCATATCCAAACCAGTGAAGCAAATCCAAACAATTGAGAAATCACAGATTGAGTTCCCGACAATCACCATCTGTCCGATAAATACATACTCACAGCGCAATATGGATAGAATACGCGGAAACAGTTCCACAACCACAAGTACTTTTTTTGAGAACATACAAAAGATGCCTTTCTCTCAAGATGATGCGGCATTTTCATCATCTTCTGTTGGAACAACTCGTCAGTTTGCGTACACAAATATATATTACAGTGAACTGCAGCAAAGTGGTCACCAGGCAAAAGATTTCATTGTTTCATGTCGGTACAAGAATCGTGGATGCACCTACAAGGACTTTAAATTGCTTGAGTCTGTGATGTACCAGAATTGCTACAGCTTTAAGGCTAATGACTCAGTTGATATTGCTGTAGAGACCATGGGTCTTTCTCTTGTTTTATTCACCGAAGATGAAGTTCATTCAGATGTAATGAAAGGTGGAGGCAAATATAAGAGGAATGCATATAGTGAAGCTGGAAAACCATCAGATTATGGAGCTGGAGTGAAAGTATTCATCCACCCTCCTGGTACTCCAATTGATGTTGCTGCTGGAGGAATCACAGCAGCTGTTGGCATGACAACAGATATTGGCGTGAATGTTGAGAATATAAAATGGCTAGATGATCCTTATCCTAACCAAGCATGTGTGCCATCAACTGAGATTGAACATCACCATAATGACACATACAGCCAAGAGACATGTTTCTCTAATTGTGTCCAGGACTTCTTGAAGGAGACATGTGGTTGTGGGTCAATATCATATGCGGGAACACCTGCAGAATCTCCTCCTGAAGAAATGTGTGGGAATTTTGCTAACATTAGTGCGCTAACCTTTTATGCATATGCCACCGGTATATTGGAATGGGTGTGTTTGTTGAAAAATCAAGAACAGTTCAATGCCAGCTCTAAGGCAGAATGTAACTGCCCTCCACCTTGTGACCAGATCACTTATAAGCCAACAATATCACAGGGGGTGTTTCTTCCAAGCTCCTACCAGTACTCATTCCTAGAGAGGCTAACAGGCACTGCATGTCCAGAGGACAGTTCTGACCTGCCCAAATATTACTCCCTCCTAATGGGGGCAGTGATGGATGAAAATGGAAAAAAAGTTGACTGTAATAAAGCCCTGGAGACTATTTTAGCAGAGGAATTGGTATCAAAGAACTTTCTAAGGGTGAATGTTAAGTTTGAGTCCACTTTGGTGTCAACTACAACAATGACCCCTGACTACACAGGGTCTGATCTGTTCAGTGACCTTGGGGGAACACTTGGACTGTGTCTAGGGGGGAGTATGGTAGGCGTGGTAGAAATATGTGAATTACTTGTAGGACTGTTTCTGAAAACTTTACGCAAGATAAAAGTATCAACAGTAAAACCAATTAATAAAGCAATCAAAACTGCATGGTAAAAGAGACAATACATACACAATATACACGACAATGCCCCTTGTAACTTTTACATTTAATTTCTATTTGACAGTTTGTTTGAGAAGTTGTTATCTATAGCCATATGCTCTCTTAAAGTTTCATTGTACATAGTGTATGCATTTGTGCATATAATAAAATATGGCTGATTTAAGTAACTAATTTGAATTTACTGGATTTCTTACTTTTTATTTTGGAAATTTTCAAAAACAATTGTTTTGTTTTTTGTTAATAAATTGCACACTGGTGTCTATTGTATATAAACGATAAACATTCAAATAGACTCATTTTCTTGCAACTTTGCATTAGACCTAGCAATAAATGAAAATGCAAAAATAGTTCATTTAATCTTCTGCCATAGGTAGCTGAGAATCTACCTGCTACTGAGAATCCAGTGGTTATTCACAATTGCCACGAACAAACATTTTTAACTGCTCAAAAATTCACTCACTAAACATTCCCTGGTTGTTTACTGACCTTTTTCAAAATTCTGAAATTCCCTGACAATTTTGAGATTTTTGAGGAGATTCTGCAATTCCTCTACCAGGGACAAAACTTTATTCTTTCTGACTTTTGCCTGACTGTGGATACCCTGTTACTTTGGTATCCCAAACATATTCGTAAATCATTTAATAAAAGCTCTTTATTAGGTTTTAATGTGACATCAGTCAAATAAACTTATTTGAGATTTTGAGATTATTTTTCAAAATAAGTCCGAATACTATTTCATAATAATAAATTACTTTAAAATGGAGTAAAAACAATAAAGTACCATTTGATTTCTTCAGTGTGTTCTCTGTAATGTCTCTGTGAGTGTAGAGTGCGATTGTAGAGTACAGCTACACTACCAATGAAATAAGCTATCTCATCATTGGCCAGTACATGGATGTTGCTACGGCAATCATTCCCCCGGTAACCATACCTAAATAACAGAAAAGAGATTCACACAGAGCTTGGCATAATGTATCAATTTCGAGTAAATCAGCCATAGTATTTAGATATAATGGTCATTGTATATTTCTCAAGTGATGAATGGTAATTTTGATATTCAGCAAAATTGATTATCCTCATCAATTTCATAATTTTTGGTTGGCCAATCCCCTGAGAGGAAGAAGACATGTCATCCTTGAGATGTACTGTATCTCCATTGAGAATTCCCTCAAGGATATCTGTCTCCCTTTAAATGCATCTCTCTTGAGAAAACCTGTCTCCCTTGAGTATATCTCCCTTTAGGAGAGTTGTCTCCCTTCAAAAGACCTGTCTCCCTTGAGATGTATTTCCATTGAGAAGACCTGTCTCCTTTCAGATGTATTTCCCTTGAGAAGACCTGTCTCCTTTGAGCTGGATCTCCCTTGAGAAGACCTGTCTTCCTTGAAATGCATCTCCCTTGAGGAGACCCATCTCCCTTAAAATGTATCTCCATTGAGGAGATCTGTCTCCCTTGAGATGCATCCCCCTTAATTGAGAATTTTGAGGATAAGTGTCAACCACCTGTCTAATTTAATAAATGCCTTTTGGCAATACTATGATATTGATTTCCTGATGGGGCTTTTATTCCAATACATCAAAGGAATATATTACTTCAAAAACTCTTTTATTACAAATGTTATATGTGTTTTTGTCTAATTAAAATGATATGAAGCAAAGCTATACTGGAATGATTACTTCTTATGGGTCTGAATAATTGAAACTCAATGTCAAATGCAATGTCAGAGAAGTCAAACAATTGCCTGAATCATATAGCAAAACTGTGTAAAATATATGGCAATTAAAGGGAGATATCATGCGCAGAATGCTCTGATGAATAAAACTCCACTATAATTCGAAAATATCACATCAAAAACAACATTAAAGTAAAAAGCATTGAAGAAATGATGCTTTTTTATACTCTTCGAGGAATTGTTTTAGTTTCTATATTTGTGACTCAAATAACTTCTTGGACCACGGACATAAAAGGAAATCTAAACAAAGATGTATTTATACCCTACATTGAAGAATGGAACTCTAAACTACCAGTGAATCATGTCAAATGTATAGTCAGAAGGTATAGTTTAGGACGAACAGTTGAAACAGAGTTGAAGCCAGATCAAAGATACAAATTTGAAAAATCGGGTTTATTAATTCGAAATGTCAAAATGGAAGATACAGGCTATTACAAATGTGACTCTGATTATAATGAACAAAACAAAACCAAGACACACACTACAGAAGTAAAACTCCATATTGTGATTGCGGGCTGCGAGTTTAGCAATGACTTTTGTGACTTTACAAATGAAAGATCAAAATGGAGGAGGAGTTCAAGCGAGCTGTCTCCACATACAGGACTGAGTAAAGAGGCACTGATATGTCAAATGAAAAGCGAAGATGTCCCTATTGAGTACACAACATACCAACACACTGGTTTTTTCATTCATCCTAAAGCAGATGAAGAAGAAGAAATCATTCTGAGAAGTGCCACTCTTCCATTTGGAGATATGGATTGTGAGTTGGATGGAAGAGTTGAACTTGACTCTCTCATCTATGGATCAAGCAATGCATCAATAAATGCATATGGTATATTAAAAGATGGAAGGGAGGCATTTAGAAATACAGTTGGTGCAAAACACCATAACAAGTGGATACATGATAAATTCTCCTACAACCCATTCCCAGCTGTCGAATTCATTGAGATCAGAGCAAAACATGGTGAAGGAGTTGGATCAAACATATTGTTAGACAACATTGAGATAATGATCTTTTCTGATAAACCATGTAGAACTGTCAATGAAACTGCAAATGGGCCATCTGATGGAGATGAGGATAGGACTACCACAATGAACAAACTAAATAACGATACTGCAACCCTGACAATTCACAACAACGATGACAACAGTGATGCAATCACACAAAGCCCACATGAAAATGACAATGCTGAAGAATATGAGGACATGGAGTTCCAATGTATGTGTCGTCTTCATTACAATGTCATTCCATGTGAAAGAATGAGTTTGGACAATGTCACTACAATAGGAGAGAAACATGAAAATGTCACTACACTGGGAAAAAGTACAGATGAAATCACAACATTGGAAGAGAGTGTTGATGATGTCACAACATTGGGAGGTAATGTTCATGATGTCACTACAATGGGAGGGATTTTTCATGATATAACAAAAATGGGAGCTAATGTTGATGATGTAAGAACCAAGGGAGGTTACATTCATGATGTCACTACAGTGGGAGGAAATGTTCACGATGTCAATACAATGGGAGGGATTGTTCATGATTTCACTACAATGGGAGGGAATGTTCACGATGTCAATACAATGGGAGGGAATGTTCATGATTTCACAACAATAGGAGTTAATGTTGATGATGTCACTACAATGAGAGGAAATGTTCATGATGTGAATACAATGGGAGGAAATGTTCATGATGTCACTACAATGGGAGGGAATGTTCATGATGTCACTACAGTGGGAGGAAATGTTCACGATGTCAATACAATTGGGGGAAATGTTCACGATGTCAATACAATGGGAGGAAATGTTCATGATGTGAATACAATGGGAGGAAATGTTCATGATGTCACTACAATGGGAGGAAATGTTCAAGATGTGAATACAATGGGAGGAAATGTTCATGATGTGAATACAATGGGAGGAAATGTTCACGATGTGAATACAATGGGAGGAAATGTTCATGATGTCACTACAATGGGAGGGAATGTTCATGATGTTACTACAATGGGAGGGAATGTTCACAATGTCACTGCAATGGGAGGAAATATTCATGATGTCAATACAATGGGAGGAAAAGTTCATGATGTGAATACAATGGGAGAAAATGTTCATGATGTGAATACAATGGGAGGAAATGTTCATGATGTCACTACAATGGGAGAAAATGTTCACAATGTCACTGCAATGGGAGGAAATGTTCACGATGTCAATACAAAGGGAGGAAATGTTCATGATGTGAATACAATGGGAGGGGATGTTCAAAATGTCAGTCTAATGGGAATGGATGTTCATGAAGCCACTTCAACTGGACAAACTGTCCGAAATGTCACTTCAGTGGAAAGTCATGCCGATAATGTCACAACAATGGGACATAATGTCGATGATCACATTACAATGGGAGGGAATGTTGATAATGGACCTACACTAGGACAAAATATTGATGCTATATGGAGGAGTGACAATGGTGTCACAACATTGCCAGAGAGTGTTGATGATGTCACTACATTAGGTGGGACTATTGATAATTCTGGTGCAGCAAGATTAGTAATGTCAGGACAATGTTTCATCTGTTTGATAGCACCATTATGGCTGTGTAAATTGTTCAGATAAATATTTCTTCGTAATGGATATATTATAATTCAGATTAGAACCAATGCAGAGTAACAATTCAAGGCAATCTAATGACATTTATATGCAATGAATTTGTTATTTGTAAATGATTAAACTGAATTGTTTATGATACAAGTGTTTTGTCCATAACATGACTGACTTGGTCATGACATAACTGATAATCCATAATATGACTGACTTGGTCATGATATAACTGATATAATCCATAATATGACTGACTTGGTCATGATATAACTGATAATCCATAATATGATTTGCATTAGAGAATGAAGAGATAATAATGGCTCACTTACACCCACTCAAGCTTTAGCCCATCTCCAGGGGGATCAGTGATAGATTTGTTATCAACATAATCATCTGGCGCCCAGAACTTCATCTTTTCTCCACGTATTGTTGTCTCAATGACATTTGCTTTAACTTCTGCTGCAGGAGACTGGATTCGGTCTGGGGTACCTATTGTATTGAATATGATGCAATAATTGTATACTCTATTGGAATAAAACATCATAATATACATGAGAAAAAATTGTATGTACAAGTAAATGTTTCTGATGTGTGAAAAAACATCCATTGAAGGTCAATTTTGAAGGTCAATTCTCAAATACTACATAAGAATCAAAGCATCCATTGAAGGTTAATTTTGAAGGTCAATTCTCAAATACTACATAAGAATCAAAGCATCCATTGAAGGTTAATTTTGAAGGTCAATTCTCAAATACTACATAAGAATCAAACCATCCATTGAAGGTCACTTTTAAAGGTCAATTCTCACATACTACATATAAGAATCAAAATGGATGTCTAGATAAGTAAAAAGGTCACATACAACTGTATAATGCCAACTAATAGCCATACATGTTTTAAATGTTAAATAATAATTTAATTTGATCACTCATTGTATTATAGTATTTCAATCTATCAAGGAGTCCATTAAAGAGGTGTAGACAGAGATGCCAGACTGAGACTATCTGTAGTTATTTCTTATTCCAGCCTAAATTGAACATAATATAATTTACTGTTATTTACCCAGAGGCATTAATATCAAGCTTGGGCGCACTGATCACAGTGTGTTACCTCATTATAAAGCAAATGTGACCTTTCACAATGCCTCTGATGTTATTTCAGAATTAGAATCATTATGGTGGAAATTATTATGTATTAGATAGAAGCAATAGAAATTCCAGTGACATAACCCCATGATGACACAGCACAAATGTTAATTCTAAAGTGCAACAGGTGTTCATTTCAAACTTTTTCCCAAAGAGGGTCAAACTAATTGTAAAAGGAATATCAAATTATAGTCATGATGCCCTGATTTGAAAACTAGACAACAGCAACGCCAAAGCGTAGCAAATCCCATCGTATCAGCCATGGCTGGCATATTTACAAACCAAGTACATGTATATAGCAAAAATGGCAGCCATTTTTAAAAATGGCCACCTTCTATCAAAAGTGTCATTAGACAGTGTGCCATGCTTATAGTATTCACATACCAAATATGAACAAAATCGCTCCACTACTTTTCGAGTTATAGTAAAATACGTTAAAATGGTGGCCATTTTTCAAAATGGCCGCCTTCTACCAAAAGTGTCATAGGACAGTGTGTCATGCTTATAGTATTCACATACCAAATATGAACAAAATGGCTCCACTACTTTTCGAGTTATAGTAAAATACGTTAAAATGGTGGCCATGTTGAAAAATGGACGCCTTCTACCAAAAGTGTCATTAGACAGTGTAACGAGTAAGGGCCGCAATTTTTCAAGATGGCTGCAATGTGCTTCTTAAATATCTACTTTTCTAGCTTTACTAATGTCCTGTATAATTTTTTTACATTTAAAACATATAGGTATTACAGTTTTACATATTGCACCTAAATTACTGTAAAATCGGCACTGAAATGGCCGCCATTTTTAAATGAGCGGCCATTTTGAAAATCAGCTTTCAAGCAGAACTTCTACCCCCTTAGGGTATATGTGTACAAAATATGAACAAAATCGGACCAAAAGTAATTGAGTTATTGCCCGGACGGACAGACGGACTGCCGGAAGGAGGGAGGCGTTCCCTATATCCCTTCGAACTTCGTTCAATGGAATTATAAAAGTTACAATTTTTATAAAGTGAGGGGGGAGGTTTAGAACCTTTCCCACTTGGGTGATATTCTGTGACAGCAGTACAAGCTTTGCACACAGAGAACAACTCCCCACAACTCTGACTCACTGCGGGCCAAAAAGCATGAGATTATTTACCAATAGAAGATGTCTCAGGAGTAGAAGAGTTGGGATCAACTTGGATGAGTGGCACTTTCTGTTCCTCTCTCTCCTTCTTCTTCCCACCTATGAAGAATCTAATGTTAGAGACATTGGCTGGGGGGTTTTCAGGGGGTTATAAGTACAATATAACGCTACTAGAAAACCCCAGTCAATGGTTGGTGGGTTAATATCACAGTTCCGTGCACAGTAATAAGAAATAATATGACCTTGAGATCAGGTGACCTTGCATCCATTGACATGTAGAGGAGGGAATAATCCAGGATTCAAAGATGAACCTAACTTTATGTAAGCATGAAGGAAGGTTCATGTTTTGAGTTCTGGGATATTTCCTCTCTTGGAAAGGTCAATATCAATGTGTCATTGTTATGAAATCTGAATTTCATAAGAGGGAATGTGGTTTTATTGTATACATTATAGAAAAAGCATACTGAGTGGGATATGATGTTGATTCAATGTTTGAAGATTTGGGCTTTCTTTAAACTAATATTTCCAGGAAATGACACTGGTATTTTGACCCAACCTCATTTGGCCATATTTCTAGAATCTGCACTAAACTGAATATACAAACTCAGTATTCAACCCTTGTTATAGTTTATTCTAAATTATGTCTGTTAACTTAAAGACATTTGAGATGCCCCAGCTACCAAAAGCAGTCATGATTAATATGAATGTTATGTTTCAACTATTAATACTAATGAGCATAAAAAAGATAAGTCAGGAATGGTGTCCAATTATCAACAATTTGTGGAAAAACAAAGTTAAGCACAGCTTGACCCCTCCCCCTTTCATATAACAAAATTCACCAAAAATATTGATTGGCCTTTCATTTCACTAAAAATTTTCAAAAATTCAACATTCACCCTCCCCTAATAAAATCAACTTTGTTGGCATATGGACGCCACTCCTTATTCACTCATAAATTCAGTATTATTTTAATAACAAAGCAATACAGCATACACCTCCATCCAGTAGAAGAGACTGACCAATAGCAAGTATGTGCATTAGAGTGTATAGTGTTTGAAAAGTCACACATACATATATTAGTAAAATATATATACGAGGGGTGATCCAAAAGTCTTGGACGCCCTGCTCTAACTTTGCTATTTTCTAATATAATTACATGAAACTTTCAGATAATAAAGATCAACATCTTAACATCTTTGTGTATAAGTTTTAACAGAAAATAATATATTTTAGCTACTTTTCTAGATAGTTTTTAATAGCGGGTCCCTGCCACCCGGAACGGTATTTGAATATAGCAAATCACGTCACAACTGTTATAATGTGGCAAATACTTTAGGTGCAGGTGCAGAACCTAACACCAGTCATGATATGAGAAATTTCTGATTTTCAATCTGAGTGTCATCTGCCATCATCATCTTCACATATCAAGACCTACTTTTCAACGAATTTTCCACGAATTTGAACACATTTTTCATACCGCTTTACCAATGAATGGAAGACATTTATGAAACCGCCATTGCTTATGTGATACAAATGCTGCTGGAGTGCCACTCTAAACCTCATCCAATGAGCAAAAAACATTTTCTTTCAACCTTTCTTCTTTCAACTTTGAGAAAAGGAGGACAATCACACAGAGCCATAAGACTGTATTGTGCATATGGTAGCTGCTCAAGGTCAATAATAGTGAGAATATATCGTAGTATACTTTGTTCCACTTTGATTTCTTTCATGTTTTCCATTTCAGCAGTCATCTTTGAGCAAAAGTGATACCAGAATGAGGGTTCCTTGACTGATGTCATTTTCTTAGAATTAAACATATACAACCATTGTCATATATGACATGATAATTAAAGCACACTTAATTGATTGCCTGATAACAAAGAAAGTAAACTAACATGGTTTAACATTCAAAATTCAAAGAAAGATAGTGGTCAAGACTTGCGAAACAAGTGAAATGGCGGTAACATTTAAGGCTGAAAGTTGTCATGTGCGAATACCGTTCCGGGTGGCAGGGTCCCTATCTTAAAAACTACCTAGAAAACTATATCAAATAAATAATTTCTCCATGAAATTAACACACAAAGTAGTTAGGTTGTTGGTCTTTATTATTGGAAAGTTGAACGTAATTTTATCAAAAACCAACAAAATTAGAGCAGGGCGTCCAAGACTTTTGGATCACCCCTCGTACTGTACAATATATACAATATACGTATATTGGTACAATATCTAACCTAGTAAGCCCTTCATTGATCCAAACAATCCCTTCTTGCCACTAGACTTGGGGCGAGTTTCCACTTCTGAAACATTAAAACACAATCAACAATCAATAAAATCAACAATCAACAAAATCAACAATCAATAAAATCAAAAATCATAAGCATAAAATCACAGAAATTTCAATTAATTGTTTGTGCTTCTATTCTACAGAATATACATGTACTGTACAATAGACGTTTCCGATAAATCGTGCCCTCTTTTGATCCATCAGGGAAACTATAACTTATTGGCTAGATTGATGATGTCATAGGTTGTACTTTATAAAATTAGCAAAAAGTTAATACCATTTTTGAATGGGCAGTTTGCTACCTACAACCAATGACATCATCAATCTAGCCAATAAGTTAAGTTTCCCTGATGGATCAAAAGAGGGCACGATTTATCGGAAATGTCTATTGTGCGTAAGTAATAACTAATAACAGAATACTATAAGTGACATCTATAACTACCTATACTTGCAAAATACTGCAACTGAATAGTGTTATTAATAGTCATATTTCATAAACATAGTACTGAAACATGAATATATCTTGCATCACATTAATATAACTTGTATCATAATTACCTTTGGCCTTAGGGGCATTGTTGGCCAGGGAAACCATCTCAATGGCTTCAGAATGTTCTGGAAGATGCATACAAGATGATGTGTGTTATGGTATGATTGTGACAGTGTGGGTATAGTACCAAGGCATGCATGGGGAGAGCTGGGAGATGGGAAGTGAATGTAGACATACTAATGTATTATTTAACTATCCATATAGGTTTGGCATTATTACGATTAAAGGCTAGAAAGAAAAAGAAAAAGGTTAGAAAAATTTAGGTCCAGGATTTTAATCTCATATTTGAGTTGAAATAACTATCCTTTTAACCTTGTATGATTATATCTCGTTCAATTGAAACTGTTTCCTTTTTCCTTTCATTTGTTGGCTTGATATTATAAGATCTTTTGATAATAATTCTCTAAAAAGATTTACAATGTTTGATGAAAGTAAAACCACTACTGGAGATTGAGAGAGTAATAAAATGTTGTCATAATTACGTATACAGTAAAACCTGTGATAAAATGTTGTCATAATATTACATACCGTAAAACCTGTATTTAAAAACATCTCTCTAATCTGAACACATCTCATACTGAACACTTTTTCAGTTCCATTTTCCATAGCATTGTTAATAAATCTCAATATGTGAACACCTGCCACTCTGAACACTTGTTGGCAGGTTCAAGTGGCATTCATATAAGACAAGTTTTACTGTAAATAAACACTCTCAATCTAGCAAATGTCTTACCTTCTAATGATGCTTCTTCATGAGTTTCATTCAGTACAGCCAGGGAAGGGTTAACACCAGGTTTTGTATCAGTGGTACTGGGTTGTGAAGGGTTAACACCAGGTTTTGTTTCAGTGGTACTGGCTAGTGAAGGGTTAATACCAGGCTTTACTTCATTGGCACTGGGTTGTGAAGGGTTAATGCCAGGTTTTGTTTCAGTGGTACTGGGTTGTGAAGGATTAACAGGTGGTTGTGCTTCACTTACAACAGTCAGTGAGGGTTTCATTTGTGGTTCCTTCTCAGAAGTATTCACTTGAGTTGGGTTAACATTTGGCTTTGTGGTAGTTGAAGGCTTGGGTTGTGACTTTGATTCTACGAGAAAATGAATTGAATGTAACAGGTGATATATGAATACAGTAAAGACTCTATAAACATATAATAAGGTAATGTAGACCATAAAACAAGGTGACTATACCCCTCACTGCATCACAGAGGTGGTTGAACCCCACATTCGTGGCACAGAAGTCTTAGTGACACAGTCATCAAGGTATATCTTCCAACATACACCCTGCTCTCCTGGCATCCAAAAGCAATATTGCCCCCCCCCTCTCTTGAGGAGAATGAACAGACCGAATATGCACATTACTGAGTTACATCAGGCAAATGAAAATGACTAAACACCAAGAATGCAAACCTACCTGTCTCTAGGGTTGCAGGCTTAGGAGTGCTGGCTGGCTCAGTAGCTAAAATGGGAAAATATGAACAAACATTTCATTCAATATCAAATATCAATAAAGTGGTTTTCAGGACAGGGAGTAGGCTTGCCTCAAAGGTCTACAAATATATCCCAGTAAACTTTCATTTTGTAGAATTTTTTAGGTTATGTGATCAGTTTTAATGTTAAATATGAAAATACCAAACAACCAATCAATGCATTTTCACAGTCTTGCTGCATGGGCATTATCACAAAATATGTTTTGTAAGTAACAAATCAAACGCTTATCAAGTACTATAATAGCACAGAGCCATCATTTGAGAGTATAATTTCTTCAACATACAGTATATAAGTCTACATTCTCAACACTAACAGTAGAGAAGTAGGAAGATCTTGCTTTTATCAAATGTTTATGTTTGTGTGTGATTGTTCAGAATGATCATACAAATCTAACAGAGTCACTGATAAGCACATATAAATAAATGGGAGAGACACTGGTCAATTGGTTATTAACAGTTGTTGTAAACTTACCTTTCAAGTTATCTTTTGTAGTTTTTTCTTGAGGTTTGGCTATATTTATTTGAACAGCAGATTTCTGAAATATCAATAAAGTTATTTTTAATAATCTATTAATAATGGATCTTGAGGTTATGGATCTTGAGGGACTGCAGAGACCAATGGAGATACACATACAGGGCCAGAGCCAGATGGTTTGGGATTTCTTTCAAAATCATGCAGTTTTTCACCATTCTGAGCACTTTACAATTGATTTTGGCTGTCAAAAATGAACCCCCCTGAAATTTTAAAAAACTGAACTCCCCTTTGGCAAATCCTGGCTCCGGGCCTGCACATTTCTCATGGGACAAATCACAAATCTGTCACAAACTTTTTCGCTAAAATTGCTCTTATTTCAACAATTTTCCTCCAATTTACACAAAAATTGTTTTAAAATATGTAGATATGATCTCTGTCGTCTAATTTTACATATGTATGTAGTAAAATGTCAAAAGCTGGCAAAAATGAAAAATTCTCTTAACTTTGATATATTTCTACCTTCTGAGATTTCATGGTGATGATTTCTACCATTTAAAATATTTTAAACATTTCAAACATCTGGATGACTCCTCATAGACTAAGGTTCCAAAGCTTGATAATCCTGGTAAAAATTGGGAGATGAAAATGGGAGATGTGACTAGTAATTCTGGTACCAAACAAACAAGAACAAACAAACAAATAAACAAGCAATCAACACACACACATACTTGTAGATCAGGCTTGCTCTCCTTAATGGCCGATGTATTCATCTGTTGAGATGACATGTCCCTCTCTGGAGTTGGGGAATGTTTGGATCTGGGACTTGCCCCTGGCTTGGCAGATTCTGCAGTTCTAGGACTTGCTGGGGGCTTGCCAGTCTCTACAATCAAATAAAGTATATTAAAGAGATTAGGAATGCATTGACAGATCCATACACAGGTTGGGTCCTAAAGATTTTAGGTCAATTAGTCAAAATGGATCAATTTATTGTCATAATACATTTGTCACTATGACATGAAATATGCCTGAGTTCTGCCAATATAGGCCAACCTTGGGAGGATCTATACGTGGGCAAGATCGAAGGCATATTTCACGCCATAGTGACATAACTGATGTATTACATACCTTTATTCCCATGGCTACTTTGTATCAATGATGTCACACATCTGTGTGCGAGTAGAATTTGATCGAAATGAAACATGACGTTATGATACTGTCATGGTTATTAAAGAATCTATAACATCAAAATGAGGTAAGGGGGCTATATCAGAGTAATCGGGAAATATCTGTGGATATAGCCTGCTAACTTTCCCATTGACTTCCATAAAAATTCTTCGCTAGGTATGTAATACTTAGAGGTTATGTCACTATGACATGAAATATGCCTGAGTTCTTGGGAGGCTCTATATTTGGGCAAGAATGAAGGCATATTCCTTTATTCCCCTGGCAAAACAAGGTAAGCGGGCTTTATCAGGTAAATCGGGCAATATTGGTGGATATAGCCTGCTGACTTTCCCATTTGACAAATACTTCACTAGGTATGTAATACATGTATATATGCTATTCTATGGGTCAATGTGTGACAATCTTTCCAAACTGTATCCTTTCTTTTTCTCATGGTGTTCTGTCAAGCTTTTCTGAATGTACAGAGAGGGCCAAATGACACAACTAGAAAAATTGGCAACTCCACAGAGTTTCAAATCCCAACAAATGCTATATTCATAAATCTGTATATATCACAATGCAATATTTATCATTTACTCTACCCTTGATTAAATTGCCAGTTATTTATTTTAAAAGACAAACATTAGAAATATATCAGAATTTCCACCAATTTAAGCATTTGGGTGACCATATAGGAGTTTTTAGTGAAAAATTACTGCAATTTTTTGCGGCCACCAATAATTACATCTTTCCACCAAGTTTGAAGAAATTCCGTCCACTGGTATTTGAGTTATCTTCCGGACAGACGGCTGGACAGACGAACAGATTGATGGACAGGGGGCTTTACTATATCCCTACCAACCTTCATTCATTGGGACAATAACTTAATAAAAAAACTTTTATACCATAAAAAAATAATTGTACCTTTTCTAGACACTGCAGATGGAGGTTTATTGGCAGTCTTCTTTGACGTCTGGGGTCGAGTTTTAGCAGTTGTAGCTCTTTGACCTTTGACCTCTTTCTGACCAGGTGCACGATTCATTTGCTCAGAAGAGTTTTCAGATTCCTTATCGGATTCCTTTATCGTGTCTATGCTTATGTCTTTACTTGAGAAAACTGAATCATTCAAACTACCAGATGTGGATAATCCAGACTTTGTTTTGGTGGGTCGAGCATTTCCCTGTGCTTTGTCCAAGAACATCATCACCCCTGGCCAACTGCAGACATTAAAATATTGAAATTATAATCTAGTGTGTCAGCCATTTTTCGGATACAGTAGCAACAAGAAAATTACAAAGATAACTGAGGAGTAATTCTTGTGATAAAATGTTTTCATGGTGTATTTTTCAATTTAGTGAATAGAGCAAGCCATATTAGTTCAACAATAAACAACAGTGTCTAACATGCAATAATACCTTAGTAATCATTTTACCAAAGAGTACAGTAAAAGGACTGAGCAAGCCATGTCAGTGTACTTACCTTACAATTCCATTTTTTTCATCATCACACCTTTTCAACAGTCCATTCAAAACAGCACCAAAAAGTCAATAGAGCAAGCCATGTCAGTGTACTTACCTTACCATTCCATTTCTTTCATCGTCACACCTTTTCAACAGTCCATTCAAAACAGCACCATACACTGGCAGCAGAACATCATGGCATATACGCAGCATCTAGTGAAACAAGAAACAGTAATTTATACACATTAATACTTGGAATACACATTAATACTTGGAATACACATTAATACTTGGAATACACATTAATACTTGGAATACACATTAATACTTGGAATACACATTAATACTTGGAATACACATTAATACTTGGAATACACATTAATACTTGGAATACACATTAATACTTGGAATACACATAGAGTTGTACAAGTGAATTGTTTCCCAAATAGTGTTCCACTTGTGGAAGTGTTCCACTTTAAGTCTAACTGTATGTGCCTTTGCTATTTGACAAGGCTGGGGCTTGTAAAATAATGATAAAATACAACTCTAAAATATTTGTAATGAAATACAATTTTCATGTTATTATAATTTCAAGGAATTTCTTGTAAGATAGCTTTAAGTTTAACAATTCTATCAAACTTCCATAAATATTAACTAAGTGTATAGATAGATATTGGAAGCTAACACACGGATATGACTTCAGGTAATAGCAATCTTAAGTCTATAAAGTGTACCATTAGTACTTAAAATTAAAAATGAATCTTTTTGATAATGAAGTTAGTCAGACATTTGCTCCAGATATTAATCATAGGTTTTCATTGCAAAATAAAATAAAATTCATCTCCTACTCCTTACCACACAAATAACAAAATCTATTTTTCTTTGTATTAACCTCTTTTAACAGGTAGTTTGTCATGGTTCCTAGCCAACCTGAACCCTACAGGTAGTATATATTATATGTAGTATACATGTATAGTAGTCTAGTGTTAAATCATATATATTTATTTTATGTATTACACTTTCTTGTACCTGACCCTCAGGGGTGTGAATGCACTCAAAAAATATTCTATGATTATAGCTATAATGGAACTACCCAAGGGTACTGCATGACAAATTAGATTGTTTGACGTCATTCTATTATATTTGGACGTATCGTTTTCAGAGATATTATCAGATGTATGCATTGTGATACAAATCATGGGCTATCAATTCTAGTTGAAAGTCCATGTACAAATCTATTTGTACTGTTAGGTCTAATGTAATATTTTATTTACATCCAATTCTTGTTAAACTATACTGATTTAATTAACAACATTTGATTTTGCATATGTTTGCCATATAAACATTTGGGTTAAAATTATGGGATATTATTAATTATGCATATTGGGTATATCCTGGGGGAAATATAGATATCTTACTGAGGGCCTGGAGGGTCCAAGGTAAGATATCATAATTCCTAGGGGATATAACCCATATTCAAGGGTATATAACCCATATTCAAAACTGAGCATCACATAGGTCATAGGATAAACAAGGCACATGATGTGAACGAGATCACACCATCAAAAAATCTTCAAAATGGCCGCCAGAAGAAAAGATGGCTGCCCAAAAGTTAATCAGCTCTAAAACTTGATATCATCTATCATGTGTGCGAATTTGGAGACAATCCGACAAGTGGTTTTCTTGAAATGGGGATGACAAGATTTATTGAAAACCTTCAAAATGGCTGCCAGAAAAAAAGATGGCCACTCAAAAGTTAATCGGCTCTAGAACTTGATATCCTCTATCATGTGCGCATTTGGGGAAAATTCGATGAGTGGTTTTTCTGAAATGGCGATGACAAGATTTTCCAAACAAGACACACAGTGATAAATATCGCACTTTGAAGAGCAAACTGGCCACCATGCAATTTACCCAGCATGGCAAAAACCTAATCAGACCTTGGTACTAGTCTGCTCTTGCATCTGTAAACATTTCAAGTTGACAAGGTTAGCGGTTTTCCTGCAATTTTGATGACAAGAATTTATTTGTAGTCTTGAACTTTGGGAAAATTTAGATAACATTGTTTGTGACCTAATTTGATGACCTTCGACCTTGAAAATTTCACTTTTTCAGACCTCAGTAGGTGTTTTGTAATTAAGCTGACCTAAATTTAAATCCAAAATATCAATTTAGAAAATCAACTTTTTTGACCTTTTCAAGGTCACTGAAGGTGAATGAAAGGTCAAATCTGAAATCTAAGGTCAGATTTGAAATTCTGAGAACTTGTAGATGTTTTTGAAAAAAAAAATTGGTCAATTTGGAGCAAGTTGAAAAATTCAAAATGGCCGCCAAATTGAAAAATTCAAAATGGCCACCATGTAATTCAGCCAGCATACCCAAAACCTAATCAGATCTTGGCAATAGTCTGCTCTTGCATCTGTAAAAATTATAAGTTGAACGGATAAGTGGTTTTCCTGGAATTTTGATGACAAGATTTGTTGAAAAATTCAAAATGGCCGCCACGTAGTTTACCCAGCATGCCCTTAACCTAATCAGATCTTGGCACTAGTCTGCTTCTGCATGTGTAAAAAGTTCAAGTTGAACAGGTTAGCGGGTTTCTTGGAATTCTGATGACAAGAATTGATTTGTAGTCTCAAACTTTGAGAAACTTGGATAACATCATTTGTGACCTAGTTTAATGACCTTGACCTTCGACCTTGAAAATTTCACTTTTTCAGACCTCAGTAGGTGTTTTGTAATTAAGCTGACCTAAATTTAAATCCAAAATATCAATTTAGAAAATCAACTTTTTTGACCTTTTCAAGGTCACTGAAGGTGAATGAAAGGTCAAATCTGAAATCTAAGGTCAGATTTGAACTTCTGAGAACTTGTAGATGTTTTTAAAAAAAAATTTGGTCAATTTGGAGCAAGTTGAAAAATTCAAAATGGCCGCCAAATTGAAAAATTCAAAATGGCCACCATGTAATTCAGCCAGCATACCCAAAACCTAAACAGATCTTGGCAATAGTCTGCTCTTGCATCTGTAAAAATTTCAAGTTGAACGGATAAGTGGTTTTCCTGGAATTTTGATGACAAGATTTGTTGAAAAATTCAAAATGGCCGCCACGTAGTTTACCCAGCATGCCCTTAACCTAATCAGATCTTGGCACTAGTCTGCTATTGCATGTGTAAAAAGTTCAAGTTGAACAGGTTTGCGGGTTTCTTGGAATTTTGATGACAAGAATTGATTTGTAGTCTCAAACTTTGAGAAACTTGGATAACATCATTTGTGACCTAGTTTAATGACCTTGACCTTCGACCTTGAAAATTTCACTTTTTCAGACCTCAGTAGGTGTTTTGTAATTAAGCTGACCTAAATTTAAATCCAAAATATCAATTTAGAAAATCAACTTTTTTGACCTTTTCAAGGTCACTGAAGGTGAATGAAAGGTCAAATCTGAAATCTAAGGTCAGATTTGAACTTCTGAGAACTTGTAGATGTTTTTTAAAAAATTTTTAGTCAATTTGGAGCAAGTTGAAAAATTCAAAATGGCCGCCAAATTGAAAAATTCAAAATGGCCACCATGTAATTCAGCCAGCATACCCAAAACCTAATCAGATCTTGGCAATAGTCTGCTCTTGCATCTGTAAAAATTTCAAGTTGAACGGATAAGTGGTTTTCCTGGAATTTTGATGACAAGATTTGTTGAAAAATTCAAAATGGCCACCACGTAGTTTACCCAGCATGCCCTTAACCTAATCAGATCGTGGTACTAGTCTGCTCTTGCATCTGTAAAAATTTCAAGTTGAACAGGTAAGCAGTTATCCTGGAAATTTGATGACAAGATTTGGTTTATGTCCCGCCCGCCCGCCCGATGGCGTTCTCTCAAAATTTAGAGAAAAGTTAATTTTTTTATATTGAATTGCCCTGTTTTGAAACGCCCCAAAATGCAATATCATTTTCAAATTTTCTTGGGGGAGAAGCCAAGCCCCCCTCAAAGCTCGTTCACTTTACTCACTTGTGGCGTACACTCACAAAATACCTGAGATGGTCCACTGAGATGGATACGGAAACTACCTTTTAACAATGAAAACTTTGTCAGTTTTTGTCATTGAATTGTCTGTGATTGTTACACAAATCAATGGAGTGATTACATTTTGTGACACTGCAGTTTATACTTTTTCATACTTATCATAATAATTTCAAAGATTATGAGTTTCATGAATATTTATCCCAATCATTCATTTGTGACAATTCTAATAAATTCTACACCAATCAATATGATAAGGAGATGAACCCTTTGCTTGAATGATGTTAATAATTAACAGCATTTTGTCTGATTATGCTTTTTATTTGGAAATTGTCCTAGCTCTCAACAATGTCAATACCTAAACACAACCATCCCTTGGTCAATACAGGAGGCAATCAATGAGGTTCATCCTTTAAGGATAATTTGAAAAAGTCAATACTTTCCAGCTAGCTTATACAAAATAAGCTTGATGTAAAGAACCGGTCCAACTACCAAAGCAGATGCAGACAAGCCTCATCAAAATGTGACTGCAAATAGCACCCTTTCAAAATGCCATAAAAATCTTTAAATATTTACACCTACCTCAGCCATGGGCAGTTTCCCTGCTTTGGTTCTATCCTGGACTTGCAGTGCATTTCTCAACTCCTGCATGTCAAAAGCTTCATTGCTGCCTAACTGAGCCTTCAATCTAGAGACAAGATCAGCGTCCCTTTGGTCTGTGCTTAATGTGTGATGATTCTTGGAGGCGGAGATGTCATTTTCATTATTGTTGGCTAGTACACTATCACGACCTGTAAATAAGTTATAATTTAAAAGTCTGGTCGAAAAAAATTTACTTTCACGAAATAAACAAACCAGGTGAGGATAGCACACTCATAGAGCTGGAAATCAGTTTGACTATTTTCAAAGGTCTTGGGTTGATTTAAAGATGGCAGTAGTGTACTTCATATTACTGTGAAGAGAAGTAATGTCAATAGGTAGCGGCACTGCTGTCTTCTTAGGAACATTCTTTTTATCACCAGAAGTCCATGGTTATTTTGGTTGCATTAATAGGAAAAGATTTTTTTTATATTTCCTCAAAGTGAGTAGATATAACCATATTTTTACTTGTCTAATGGACGATTGTTTCCATGGTTTTGTTTATGTATCATACTTACATTGTTGCAAGCAACATTTCATTGGTTGATCATTACATAGGAGTTGCTACCTGTTTTTGTCTGTGCGACCACCATGCATTTAAACATGCGTTCATAGTCAATGCCCAGATGGTCCTCATAGAGATCTTGTAACATCTGAAAGGCCCTTGGTGAAAGCTTTATCTGATGCTCCTGGAATGACATTAAACAATGGAGTTATTCATTCAGAATGCAAAAGCTGAAGTGAAACTGACTAATACTAACAACGGACTCACCAAGGGTATAGAACAAATATAGAAATATTTTGTACTATTGAGCACAATGCCTATTTGTTGCTCACATGGGTGAGGCAAGTTGTCTGTTCCTCTGTCTGTCTATATGTCTGTCCTCCCATCCCTCTGTCGAGGCAATCACTCAAATACTGTTGGTCCAATATTGTTTATATTTAATATGATATGCCCTACACTGGTGGATCCTCCCTTTTGTGGCCCAAGAAATTTTTTGGGGTCTTTGTAGGGCCTCAATAAATTGGCTTTTTGAATGGGCCACACATTTTCAAAATTTTTTCCGTGCAAGCACAGAAAATCTATTCCAGACTCAAAATTTGCCCCCCCCCCCCTTTGTTAGCTTCTGGATCCGCCAGTGCCCTATGTGCTATGTGAGTACAAGTTGTGCTTGAAAACTCTGTTATCGTCAATGTATCGTCAATGTTACTGTATCTTTTGGTTACAACATCTAAACTGTAATATTAATGTTTTCAAATTATCGAAATCTGTTTTAAACAAATATGCTGGTCATCTTTAAAATTGGATGGTCCTTACATGCCTTTTACAATCTTTGTTGTAACTCTTAAAGTAGTGGATTATGTGAACAAGGAGAGACACACTGTCTTATGACATTTTGGCTAGCAGTTTTGTTCATATTTTATATGTACAAGTAAATACTTTAAATTGTGGCACATTTTCTTTTGACAACTTGCTGAAAAAACGCTATTTGAAAAATGGTTGCCATTTATTAATGCATCATTTCATTTTTTACTTTGTTTTAGTTTGCTCAAAAAGTCAGCCATTTTGAAAAATAATGGCCATTTTAATGTATCAATTTACAATTTGTGTTTTAACTCAAAGGGTAATAGAATGGTGTTGTTGATACTTTACATGTAAATATAAGTAAGAATGGCAAACCTGTATTTTGGGATACATGTACATCTATGGTGGCCATTTTTAGAAATGATTACCAGCAGAGTTGTCTGACCCTCATTAGAATGTCTCATGAGATTTGCTACACCTATCCGTTACTGGTGTTTAGTTAACATTAAACTTTTCACAAACTTTAATGTCACAGACATTGATTATTAAATAATAAATGATAGCTTAATAGTTTATTTGGTGCTGGCAGGTGAACATTTCAATATCATCAGGTCTACACATTTCCATGCAAACTGATTGAGGGATTGTTTTTCAGATTCTTGGAAAAAAATTGGAACAAGCCATATTAAAAGTCAGACAGCACATTTCTTGAACCTTTTTTGTACTTTCCCTGATTTTTTGTCAAACCCCTCTTTTCTGATTCTTTTGTGAACCCTAATTTTTCTCCGGGTTAATTTTGCTCTCAAGATTATATCCCAAAATTTGGAATTGTTGATCTAGCTTTGTAACCCTGATTTTTCTCCTTACCTTTTTGAAATCCTGATTTTTCAAAAACGAACCCTGATTTTCGCCCTTTTTTTCAATCATACCTAATTTTCTCCCAATTTTGGGAATTGTCAGTTAAGTCTTTGTAATCCAGGGTTTCTTCTGATTTTTTTTAGAAACCCTTATTTGTTATAGAACTTTCCAAAAAATCCTGATCTCCACCATGATTTTTTAGAAACCCTAATTTTTCATTTATTTTATAAAAAAATGATTTTCACCCTGATGTTTTTAAATAACCCTGATTTTTAACAGGTATGCCATTTTCAGAAGAACCACTTGGCAGACTGATCTGAACACAGGAAATGTGTCTTGGTATGAAAATTAACATCAATAAGTTTCTAGGTATACTAGGTAGATTACAAAAAAGCCATTTCAAACAAACATTTTGTCTCAAAACTTTTTCAACATATTTCCTTAGGTTAATTACTACTAACATCTGGTTTTTGTGTAGTTGTGACATTTTGCCATTGCAATTTTGCTTGACTTGGTCATTGTTGAGTAAGTTTGAAAAATGTTATAGTGATATCCTCAATATTAGAAAAACTGGGCATTGTAAAAATTGAGTAATCCTCAAATGTGCGTGCCATCTTATTGAAAAATGTTTGGGGAGATCACCTTTGCTCTTCATTTTTTTCAAGTAACACAAGTAGCCATTTTAAATAATAGTGTTAAATCTATTTTCCTGAATAACTTGTTAATATTCCATGCACATGAGTTACATGTACAGGGTGACCCAAAAATTGGACGCCAAATAATATCAAATGACTTCTAAAATAAAAATGATATCAATAATACTTTTCCATTTGAATGATCTTCATACCATGTATAACAAAATAACACTAAAACTATTTCTTAAGTGTCTTACACCCACCCAGATATTCAATGGGCATTCTCATTTTAAAACTCATCAAAATACACTTATCATAATAGTTTAAATATCATTTTGTATTTGTGAAATTACTTTGTATTATTTAGGGCCCAGTTTGTCACTCTGTATGTTGATTTCTAAACTATATATGTATATACAGGTGTACAGTATACAATGTAATGTAATGGTATAACCTACTTTATAAAATCACACAAACTCATCAGTTAGAAGCCTTTGAATAAGATACAGGGTGCACAATATCACTGATAAAAAGGTTGGTGAACATTTAAATATTGCATCTTATTGTGATATCAATCTCAGAAGTTCTAAAATATCCTGATAATTTGATTTTAAAATCTGAATCAAATTATTTTTACAAAATTGCAGAATATTACAACTTATGCATTCTTCAAAAGTGCAATATTTTTTCACTCTGTGTCTTGGTTATTCTTATAGTATATATATATATATATAGTATATATAGTTAAGTATAACATTTTATTAAGTATTTACATCTATCTGTTCAATTTTATCTTATTCATATAAATTATACACATTATACAGGGTGGGCCAAAAACATCCATATATTTTATTAACTTGCGACTTTTTCAATTGTTCATATTTTTTTAGAATATTTTTGCTTGAGAAGGAATCAATTCTGCAATTGTCTCTGAAATTGGATAAACACACCGGAATAGCCTGACAACGGTAAAGTCAGATACCATTGTCACAAATGGCGGACATAACCTTCGCTTCAACTCTTCAATCACTTGGTCCTCGTTTCACGGGACTTTATCATCGCCAATTTTGTGCATGTATTAAGCTCTTGTGATGATGTATCATATGAAATCCTAATTTCCACCAAATTGGGTCGACAAAATATAGCGTCTTCGATGTTGTCAATGACAACGGAATCTGAATTTGGGATAATTTCAGACAACGGCATATATAAGACATCATCACAAGAGCTTGATACATGCACAGAATTAGCGACGATAAAGTCCCATGAAACGAGGACTAAGTGTTTGAAGAGTTGAAGAGACGGATATGTCCGCCATTTGTGACAACGGTATCTGACTTTACCGTTGTCAGGCTATTCTGGTGTGATAAATAAATGTTCACCAGTTTCTGATTAAGAAATATAAACAGACACTGGTGGTCTTATTGAAAATATAGTTACTAGGATAAAAGCAACAATTACATACATTGATCATGCCTCAAATAATAGTTCCAGATTGACATCTTATATAGTCACTCAGACACATGTTATGCATGGTGTATTAGCTATTGTAGTTTACATTTTTGATAAAAATCGAAGCATTGTGAGTAAATTGAGAAGACATACTGGTTTAACATCAAGAAATGGTACTGGTAGGCTGAAATTCATACTTCCTTGTGTTCCCCCATTGGTTTAACATGAGGATTTTCACACATATTTTTCAATCAATATAATCATTTATATTACTGTATGGGAGAAACGATTGATCTCTTATTAATCTTAATATAACAGATATATTTTTCATTGTATTGATTCTCAGCCTGGTGAAAACGATGATTGAAAAGGGAGAAAATATTCCTGAATATAAGGTCACAGGATCAGTTGACAAGTTGCCATACACCCCCAAAATGCAATCTGATTTTCGACGCCGTTTTGGTGCCAAATTTCAATGCTGTTTCGGCACCAGATGGACTGACTAGTCTGGTAACAAATTTTAGTGTCGAAAGGTTTCGGTGCCGGAACGGTGCCAAATTTTTTTGATGCCGAAACGGTGCCGAATTATATTGGCTGTGTATTGGAAAAAACAATTTCATGCGACTTTGGTGGAAGGGGTTGAAAATCAGGACAGCATTTCAGAAAAAACATGTGGCCGGGTAGTTTGCATCTTCAGAATGACAAGTTAAAACTTGGTAAAACAAGTTAAAACTTGGTAAAACTACACCTTTTACAAGTTACCAAATGTCGAAATTATTTTATCATCTCTATGAGTGCTTTTCCTGAAGGTAATGCATTGGCCTAACATATGCACCTGTTTAAATCTTCAGAAAATAGCCAAAATCCAACATATGATTGTCCGAAATCTGTTGCGATACTTTCCGTCCTCCTTTTGTCCTTTTTGAGGGCTTTTTAAGTACATATTTTCATACCTTCGTGATTAAAGAGCGAACCACGAAAGGAAAAATTCTGCTAACTGTCTTCACAAATAAGATCTCGGAATAGCTTTCACTGTACAGGCATATTTTCCAAAATCACCTTTTACAGTTTTTCTTATTTATTTGTCTAATGATACTAACAATATTTATTTTATGTCTGAAAATAATTTAGGAACATACTGAATAACATATTTCATATTTAATTTTGACAGATTGAATAGTCTGTCAATCTGGTACTATAATTTGAGACATGACTAATATCCAATTATCCATGTAAAATTGTTGCTTCGAATATCTTCCTGAAAACTGTCTGTTTACCTTTACCTGAAAAAGTGATTCCTGCATCTCCTGCAAAAACTTTATTGAAATCTGTTGATTTTCTTAAAAATTATATTGAAATAAAAAAATACTGACTTTTTGGCATACCATATGATAAAAACATTCTTCATTCTAAAAATCAAAACATTTGAATCATCTCTTTTTCTCACAGAAGTTGTTTTTATGTTAAAATAACAAATTGATTTTGTTTTGCAATATTCTGATTTATTCTTTAAATCTTTTTCAAGCAACTAAAAATTGTTCCTATAATCATGACATCATAGACTAAAACCATTAAAACCATTGGGTTTTAGTCTATGATGTCATAATTATAGGAACAATTTTCAGTTGCTCGAAATAGATTTAAAGAGTAAATCCAAATATTGCAAAACTCAATCAATTTGTCTTTTTCTCACAATGTAAGCTTCAATGCAACATGTTAACTCAAAATATTTATTTATTTACATATCTTATTATTTCACTAAAGAGGTTCATTGGGTAGGTTATCTTATTCACTAAATAATAAATTGTTCCTACACAATTGAACATTTTATTATTTTGTGTATATCTGATTAATGTTTTGCTAAAAATAACTAGAATATCAAATATCCTAAAAAAATGAGCCACTTTTTGACAAGTATTATCTCCGCAACTGATGAACCAACTTCACTGAAAATTTGTACAAAGAGCCCAAGAATATCGGTAGTAAGGTATAAAAATATGAAAAAGATCAAGGAAATGGTATGTGAGAACTTAGAAATTCAAGAGAGCATGTCAAAATAGCCAATACCGGAGCAACGCAATGAGAACTTTATAGCGTTTCTACCAAGAAATGAGAAGCAATTTGACAAGTAATTTCTCAGCAATAGATGAGCCAAATTCTTTGAAAAGTTTACCTGAGGCACTTTAGGGCATTTTCTGCTAGTGCCGTGAATATGTAAGAGATTGGTCATAAATTATGTGTGTATTTTTGAATTAAAGAGAAAATAACCAATATCAATGTAAAAGTCACTTATTAATACATTTGCAAGCAAAAATACCTCTCCGTTTTTATTCTAACAATATCACCTCCAATGAATTTGAGAATGAATTGGATTTTGGATATTAGGGATGAATTTATCAGATTTATCACTCGGCTCCCAACGAACGCAGCGAAGACCGAGCGTGCGAAAATGATAGCTGGTACAAACAGTATAGAGGTCTCATATCAGAATTATATTGAATTTCTTAGTACTCACAGAATATTTACTTGATCTTTTTTATATTTTTACAACTTGCTCATAATACTCTTAGGATACTTTGTACAAATTTTCAGTGAATTTAGTTTATCAGTTGCCGAGATAATACTTGTCAAAGGTGGCTCATTTTTTTGGGACAACCAATATATTAACTAGAACTACAGACAGTGTCACTTTAAATATGACATATAGGCTTACATTTTGTGGGCCAATCTGTAAATGTATTAATAAGAACCGTCACCTTGATTACTGGAACTTTCACAAAACATCAGTATTTTTCAATCAAAAAATGAGTCACAAAAATAAAACAACAAAAAAGGACAGCCTTTATATGAATCCTTCTTAACTCCCAGAACATGTAGGGTAACGTTCTATTAATTTGATCTGGTCCGTTGGTGGCCTGTAAAAAACGACATATACTGCAGTGTTTATATCCAGGGCAGGGTCTTTGTTTTGCAAAAGGACATTTATATCATAGTTTGTATCCGACATATTCAGGTATCTCCATTCAAGGTTTGGTCCAGTTTCACTTTCAATATTTGTATTCCTAATTTTGATATTGTAATGTACTGTAGGTTTCTTGTAAAAGTCCGCTTTATCTGCAACTATCAATTCATATAAAAAGTTTACTTCATCATTGCAGTCATCACAAAGTTTGTTGAATTCTTTCGGAATATTATACATTGTCACGTTACGACAAGTCCACTTAATGAAACCATCTGATGATTTTACAACATCCAAACCAGATATATGCAACATGTCATTCCTGTGGATAATATAAGTCCTATTAGACCAATCTGCTCCCATAACAGTCCCATCGGTGTAAGGGTTATTTAAGGCTCCTTTCTTTACAAAGTACAGTTCAAGTTTGTCCAAGTTCTCCATAACTGCTGAAGGATAATCTCCAAGTACAATAATAAGGCACAACACTGTCACCATGACCGTCCCAATGTAGGCAACAATGTATGTGACATACATGCAACCATAACATCGAGAACTTTTGTAGGGTAATTGAAATTGATCTCTGTTGGGATTTGTCTCTGAACTACTTGAATGATTCAATCTATACAATATATATGCAGATATTAATACATGAATTATGTTTGTAATTAATACAATGAACAAGAATTTGTACAAAGGACTATTGACTTTGAATATGACATTAGTACATGTCATGAAAAAGTAGGACACAGTCACAATATATAAAGCCCAAAGAATGGTTAACAGGCTAAACAAAAGCAATGCACAATGTTTCGTTGATTTCTGACATATCACAGGTAAGCACAGTGGGACAAAAAAAATAAGCAGCCTCAATTGGATAATTGGGATAAAACACGCAGTCCAAGAACCACTGCAAGTACTTGGAAAATTTGAGGGTAAACTATTCTTGATAATAATCCATACAGTAACATAAAAGTAAGCAGCTGTGTCTACAAAAAAACATATATAGGCCAATAACATTAAAATTTTAATGGCCCAACCCTTTGGAAACAAATTATAACCCATTTTAAAACTGAACTTTCTGTATAAACTCAATTATTGTTTTTAAATTAGTGTTATGATGCACAATGTACGGTCTTAGTTCTTTTAGTCTTATATGTTCATGCTTCAGATTCATATAATAATGGTTCGATGCCTGCTTCACTACTGATTTAATATTGGCAGAATGTCCCCACTGCTCATGCAGTTCACCATGTAGTGAAGTATACGATCGTTTCCAATGATATTGTTTGATATCCAACTTAATGATGTGTTCTTATTTAAATCCAGTTGTTAGATTGTATGAATGTGTGTTTTAACAGTTGAATATAATGAGCTTGATTCTTGTAGATGTTTTTTGTCACTCTTTCTTATTATTATACAATCAATGATAGTCAGAGTTTTTGTGGATAAAGTGTAATATGCAGTGCATAGATGAGAGTTAACATTAGCAAGGTCATTCAACAACATTTGAACCAATCAAAATGGAAAAGATACAACCAGGATGTAAATACTGGTATATTTAACATTTTTACTTCTTCATAGTTCAGTAATTTATATAGAAGTCTGGTGAACCCTTTCACATGGATTGCTGAGTTTTAATACTGTTAATGGAATTTTATACAGGTCATATAGCTGAGACTCCTATTAAACATACTTCTCTATGTTAAAAGGATCAAGTTAAAAAGTTTAAAAGAGCACTCCATTAAACAGAATATCAGTCCACTTAAGGTTTTTGAAAAACTCATTCTTCCATTGACTTTTAAACTCAGGTACATTGCAGATAAAGCTTAAGTCTTGAGATCTGCAATTCTAAAAATTTATTTTGGTTTTCAGTTTCTTGGAAAAATCATTATCTGGAACATATGGCAAAACTTATTCCCTCTTGTGAGGGGTAAATGCAACAATGTGTGTGTACTTTACTTTTGCAAATCTGGTAAACATTGTCATATTTTTTTTCATATTGTTATCGAGTTTTAGCATGGTTCTCATCCCATTTTATTGAATAGTTAACAGTCAGCACACTACTCTACAACAAAGATATTGAAACTGTATAATGAAGAGAATGTGAAGTAGCTTCTCTGTTAATGTTGTTGGTGTTGAGTAATAGTGGGCTGCTCACTAAAACATAACTTTTGTGATGGGTTTATGTTTTCAATATGGCTGCCAACCTGAACATAAACTACATTACAAGGCCATTCAAAGTTAATGATATGCTGATGAAGTCCACGAAAACGGAGACTATAAATATGTCACTATTTGTGGTGGTGACATAAACAGTCGACTAACAGACAGTGGCCCTTTAATATTCATATAGACTAAACCTAAAAATATTTAAAGATTTTATGTATAGAAAGAGACACACCTGAAATACTTGATTCAGATCCTTGGTGGAGATTCTGCTCTCACTATTCTCGAATCGTCGTAAGCTCATCTGGAAGGCACGGAGACGCTGCCGACTGCACTCTGTGAGACATGACTTTAATTGGTTCTGTAGCTCTGTCTCTGGGTTAGGTGCAAAACTGTCATTGACATCTTCATCATTCAACCCTTCAAACCCTCCTGAATGAAATGAAAAAAGATTTTTAAATTTTTGTTGTCCTATATCTATTTTTATCTTCAATTGCTATGGCCATTTTAGGAGATCATAGAATCTTGTTGCACATCTTAGGACTGGGAGAGAGAACAGATGTCAGAAGTTAAGAGTGGATTGGTTCAAAAAACAAATCACACATGTTATGGTAGTTCACTCAGGACTGCAGCAAATGGGTTCTGCATTCAGTTGAGTTTAAAATTTGTTCAGAATTTGTAAAATAAGAATTTGAAACAGTTTAACCTTAACCTTTTTTGAACAATTCGTTTCAATAAGTGTCATCAAAGTGATAACATGATAGGATGGCCTTTGTCAAAGACACCCTTAAATTTAGTGTTTCAGATAAAAGATATTCATTCATTTGTATCACAGACAAAATAGAAATTAACATTTCCTAGACAGAGCTAACCTTCATTATCGTGTAAAAAGTGTAATTTGTTCCTTCCAATATTGCATAAAAATTGAAATCATTTATAGATGTCATTCTGATATCTTTAACAGTGTTGAAAAAGATTTACTGAATTATCAAATATCAACTCAACAATTTACCTGATTGTATGGAGGATCCTAAGCTTACAGTCTTTGCTTTTTTGCCAGCCTTCTTGGTTTTCTGAAAAATTGTATTTATGCGCATATCATTAAAATATAATGCGATAATATGTTCAAAACAATAAACAATGATGGTTACAGAAAAAATAGTAATATGGATGAAAACTGATATTTCACACCGCTCTCATTTTTGAACTAGAAAACAGCAACTCCATGGAGAAGCATATTTCACTGAATGAAACATGTTTGGATAAAAAATGGCCATCTTGAAAAGAATTTCTTGAACAGAGCTCTATTGTACCAAGGTATCAGGATAGAATTTGAACCAAATCCATTCACTGGTATTTGAGTTATCAAAGATAATTTTTTTTGTATGAAGCTATTTTTCAGCTTTCATCTTGAAATTTTATTTTTTGAAATTTGGAAGTCATCTTGGAAATGTCTTCTTGCATAAGTAGGGCTCATTTGTCTCTAGGCATTGGTATATAAAATGTAAGCCAAATCTGTCCAATGGTTTGAGTTATCAAAGATAACATTCTATCTAGAAGAATGTTGGCCATGCAGCTGCCATCTTGAAAATTCCTTCTTGACAAGAGCTCCTGTGTCCCTAGGCATAAGTAAAATATTTTTTAACAAAATCTGTCTATTGGTGTTTTAGTTATCAAAGATGTTATTTATGAAAAATTAAGAACCATCTTGAAAATCCGTTTCAACCAGAGCTTCTGTGTTCCTAGGCATCAGCATAAAAAATCTGAACCAAATCTGTGTTATAAGTTAATCAAAGATTAAGTTTTTTATAAAAAATGGTGGCCACTTTGAAATTTGATAACCATCTTGAAAATGTATTATTGAGCAGAACTCCTTTGTCTCTAGGTGTCAGCATATAAAATTTGAACCAAATCCATCCACTGGTTTAAAGTATTATATTTTTTACGGAAAAATGGCCACCATTTTGAAAAACAGGTGCCCACTTTGAAAATTCCTTTCAACCAGAGCTTCTGTGTCCCTAGGCATCAGCATAAAAAATCTGAACCAAACCTGTGGTATATAAGTTTTTTTTATAAAAAATGGTGGCCACTTTGAAGTCAACCCTAGTAAAACTCAACCCCAAGTCAACTCAACCCCTGTAAATCCCAACTCTAGTAAAACTCAACCCCAAGTCAACTCAACCCCTGTAAAACCCAACCGTAGTAAAACTCAACCCCAAGTCAACTCAACCCCTGTAAAACCCAACCGTAGTAAAACTCAACCCTAAGTCAACTCAACCCCTGTAAAACCCAACCCTAGTAAAACTCAACCCTAAGTCAACTCAACCCCTGTTAAAATCAACCCTAGTCAAACTCAACCCTAAGTCAACTCAAACCCTGTAAAACTCACATAACAACATACTTCCCCACACAATACATAAAAAACAGTCATAACAAAACACAATACAGAAAATTCTGACATTTACTTTACCTCAAGAAGTGTATTTGTCTTTGCAAGATTCTTGAATTTTGAACTTGGAGGCATTGTGATAGTTTCTTATAACTATGGCTGTGGCATATCCTACACCAACTTCATGTTTTGTAATATTGTTTAAATACCATATAGGGGTGAGACCCTACAGAGTACTATTATTGTATATCAATTCACTATAATCCAGTCATAAGTATTCCATATTATTTGTTTTAATCCTGCACTTTTCACTCATCAATCTCTGTTATCTGTAAAGACAAAATAACAAACATTTAAATAATGATCATTTTTACGGTATATGTTCAAGTTGTGAGTTATTTTTCTTGCCTGGCAAGAAGACCCTGTGTTAATGACCGATATTCTCTTTCTGACTAACACAACACAAGTTGCGTGCGGGGAAACAGATTACAAGAGTATTGGGGTTCAGGGTTTCAGACACAGTCAGACTTTCATATGCAGTCGTTTTGTGCATGAAGAAGCTATTGCACTGCATAAGAATGCATTACGAGACCAAAGTGAATTTCTTGTACAGGTACTATGAGGCATTGCATGCATGAATAGTTTAAATCACTAATCCCCGACTTATCTTAACTAAAGAATAATTAATGAGCATATATTGCCATAGAATTCGTACTCTATGCAAGAATTACTTCAATGTTCATGAAAATGAACTTTCCTATTTACAATTCCATTGGAACTAGAACCTAATGAGTTGAATCAAGGTGAACAGTGAGATCGAAACAATTTTGCAGACATCATGATGAAATATAGAAACTTGATGAATGTCAACACAAATCCTGTTATTATGGAATATATTGCTTCATATTCGAGAGCGTAAATGGCTTTCTCCTCGAAAAATCAGTAAGATCTGCTTTGATGCTGTCAAGCATGACCTCCCACGATTTCAACAGAATGAACAAAAATCATACAGTTTATAGGTTATCAAAGATTACCAAATTATAATCCAGTTTAAAGTTCAGTAAATTACTTTACTGACAAATGGCTCCAAAATGTCACAAGTCATGTATCATTAGATCAATTATGCATTTGAGACTTTTTATATAAGTGTAATTAAGAGAGAACAAAAACCAACACTTGTACTTATTTTAAGGTAGAGTGACCCAGCTTAATAAGTACTTATATTAAGGTAGAGTGACCCAGCTCAATAAGTACTTATATTAAGGTAGAGTGACCCAGCTTAATAAGTTCTCTATTAAGTAAAATGCTTATAAGAAGTATACTCAGTTTACTCTGAATACTCTCTACTAAGAGCTTTCCATTATATCATTTGACTTAAAACAACACAACATCTTCATTTACTTTTAGTAAGTGTTTCCTGTTTATCCATTGACCATTTCTCCAATGTTTTACATCCTTTAGTATTAAGTGATTTAATCAATAACTGATACTGAAAAACTAAATGTCCATGTACTTTTCCAATAAATTTAAAGGTTGCTACTTGTCGTTAGATTAGCAGAGGTTTCACGCAAATGTGACCGATTCATAACACTTACAAATCTCTCTGAATGTCTATTGTCAACCACTCTGCCTGATTTATTTGGATCTGGTAAGGGGAGAATTAAAAAGTTCAATTATATGGAGTTTCCTATATTAGGATAACACAAGAAAAATGTGTAAAAGAAACATATATAGTTTGACAAGTGATTTTAGGCAATCATAATTTCAACATGTCAAATTGCTTTCTATATGTATTTTTTAACTTATCAAACTTTAAAGGGGTTGATTGCTTAAACTAAGTACCTTCAACATAAAAAACAGATTTAGGAACTGCTCCCTAGAACTGCCAATCTAAGTGTTTAATAAGAGTTATCGATCTGAAAATGTTGTGAGCCAATGTTTATCTTAAGCAATAGATATAAAAAAGCATTTGTTTGCTCTATTTATATTTAATCAATTCTACTTGAACATAAAATGTTTCAGTATTTGGTGCTGCTTTCATTTGTGAGTACATTTCACTTTAAGTTCATTCAGCAGAGTAGCCCATATCAATTATGTATCACAATAAAAGCTACAAGTCAATATTACATATAGGAATTAACTATTTTAAACAGATATAATAGGATTTTTTAACTGCACCAATGTCTGGAGAAACAAAAATATTTTTTAAGTTTTATTTCCATGTATTTTGGGTGAATTGCCAAGAAGCATCCTTATTAAGGAACTCTCCTTTATTGCGTCAACATTGGGTTTTATTCACAGAATGGAACAGATATTGGGTATATCCATAGTATCTTGTCAACTCGGTCCGTAGTTAACTCAGACCCTAGGCAACTCAGACCTAGATATATTCAAATTATATTAGAAGTGTATTCATCATATGATGCAGTCAATATGATAGATATGAAGTTTATGTTGATTTAATTAAATTTAATATTTAATTTTGTTTTCACAAAAGAATTCAATTTAGCCTGACTTTCACTAAGAAACTCAATTGTGAATCTTGAATGGTATGATGTCACTGTGATATTAATTGATATCTTCCTTCAATCAATTGGTACAAACTTTTCTCTGGTTATATACCATTTATCCCAAAGTTACAAGACTAGTGTTATAGGTAAATAACATGCAGGAATATAATTGATATCTGAGATGAGTGGGAGATATATATCACCCGCTCAACAATTCCCGGGAATCTCGTTTTATGTTAAAAGCTGTGGAGTTTTTAAAAAACAATAAATGTTAAGACCTTTACATTTAGATAAGATATTTATGTTTTGATTGTAGTTATCATTTGTAATTATTACATGAGGGTTCCACAACATTCAATGCATACTTAAATATAATCTACTAATTTTCAAAATCTACTAAGTATAGGATAAATCAGTTATTAAATGCTCAATTTTTGATAAAGGGTATATCCCTCGGTAAATACAATATATCAACATATATAAATATATTGTATTTCCTTAAGGTATACCCTGTATCAAAAACCTCCCATTAAATAACCTCTATACATCTAATCCAACTGGGTCTATATCTAATATTTACAGGCCCAAAAGATACATGTAACTCAAAATATAAGTTTTTAATAACCTTCACTTTTTAAAAAATTATTGAATAATTAAATAAATGGAAAGGTTACTTATACTTACTTCGTAGTGAAATTATCTTTTTATTCAAGAACCTAACATTGTATGCCATTACACTGTTTCCATGACAACTGTAAGTTCAATTAATTCAAAGAAAGAATCTCTAATTCTCCATTGTATCATCCCTAATATATCAAGTTTTACAACTTCTTTTATTTTCAATACTTCTTCAAACTTAAATCACTTCCAGGTAAAATTCTCCAACTTATCCAAGTTTTGTGACTCCAATTTGTGCTACAAACAACTTCCATATAAAATTCCTTGATTTATAATGCATACATATGTACAGGACATAAATGTATATTGTATGAGAATCCTATGATTACGTTTACATGCTGTAACTGCTTAAACTTTAGTAAGCAAGAATTAGCTAATAATCAATATGAAGATCAATTAAGGATTAATGAGCAGACCCTTATTTCAGGATTAAACATAATATAAGTGTCTCTGTCTCACCTGTGAATAGAACTCAATTTTGTATTTCTATTATCTTTTTGGAAAGCAGGTGGAAAAGCAAAGTAATTGAAAGGAATCAAGCAAACAAGCATGGAATATATTCAATACCTTATTTACAGGTATAGTACTAGAAAACCTGATACTTCATTCAATAGTTTCATGGACAAGAAGTAAAAACAGTATGGCCATTCTTAATTGGACATCCGAGATGAAATCAATAGAAATTGATCTCACTTTGAGAGTATTTGCAATAAATATTAGGCAATTTCTGGAAACAGTCGATCTCAAAACGAAATACAATGGAAAAGTCATTTAAATTATTGAACCAAAACATCAATAACTCTAAATAGTAATTAGACATTATAGCTAATGCTGTGAGAGAACTGGAGTCTCTTGTATATACAGTATGGGGTTTGAAAAAATCAGAATACATGTAGCACTAAAGAACAAATTTCATAGAATTATATTATTAATAGATACTGTACTTGATTAGAGAGCAAAACAGATATTCCGAATGAATTCAGTTTGATTGATGTACTACAGAAATGGCTATTCCTGAAAAATGAAAAAAAAAATTTTGGCCAACTTTAGTTTTCACGTGACATTTTTACAGATTTATTATATCACAAACTCTATGTTTCCCTATATCCAGTACACAAATTATATTTCATAATTCACTATTAATTTCTAGTTTGTTACAATAGTATCTTCTTATGTTAATTCTCCATCTGATAAAATGCTCAACACCTAAATAGATGTACACAAATCGTGATCAGTCATTTTCATTGGAGTTTGACATTTCTGAAAACACTGATTCACTGAAGACTCGCTCGTACTGAGGTCGTTGTGTCAATGGACCCTGTACAACCTCGTACGGGCCTCGTTACGAGTTTCGTTATTGCTTGTAATTTTCGAGCCTCGTAAGAGCTTGTGATTACAAGGCCCATAATAGCTCGTAATTTTCGACCCCCGTACTTGACCGCATGGTGCCCGTAACGAGCCCTGTGATAAATCGTAATTTTCAAGCCTTGTACTTGCCTGTGCGATGCCCGTAACAAGGCCCGTAATGGGTCTAATTTTCGAGCACTGTACTTGCCCGTACGGGGCTCGTAACGAGCCTCGAATTGGTCGTTTATTTCGATGAAGACTTTTTAATCAATGAAATAAAATACAGCTTACTTGAGAAATGACATTTCAATTATATCTAATTATGAATTAATGTGTCTTCATTAATTTCAAAATATTCACATGTCTGTATCAACATGATAAACAGTTTAAAAGGTAGGAAACAAAATAAACAGGAGGGTAACCGATAGGAGACACCATATTTCTCTACAAGTGAAGATAATGCATATTAAACTATGTTCTATGAATTGGAATAAGTTGAAATGTGATATAAAGAAATGTTATTGTAGTTGTATGTGTGAATGATAACATCACTCTGAAAATGATAAAGCATGAACAGAATGCGAATCATGTAGCATGACACCAATTATTTTTTTGTTCGGAGTTCGATAATGGGCCTTGTACAAACTTGTACGGGCCTCGAAATTACGAGCCTCGCATGTGCTGGTTCAAGCCTCGAAAACAACAATTACGAGCATCGTACAAGCCCACACGGCCTCGAAAACGAGCTTCGTACGAGCCTGTACGAGGATGGTGCTCCTTTTTGCCCGTAATGACTCGCAATTCTCGAGGCTCGTACGAGCTCGTACGGGGCCCGGTGTAATTTGCCTATGTAGTAGAGATTACATATTAGTAATCTACACAGCTTTTCCTTAACATACAATGGGATATAGTTGATGTGGCAACCTTATTGTGGACTCACATAAATTCATTACACAACAAAAGAGTTATTATTTCTTGATGACCATACGGATAAAATAATCATTAATTATAATCTCACCTCATTCTACACACAGGAGAGAAGGATTTGTCCAATAATTCCTTGTGATAAGTCAGCTAATCAGTGGACAGAAATCAATACAGGTAAAGCAGATTTGTTTGGGATATCATGACCTCCAGTGTCATTCATTAATCCTAGGTCTGGCTATGTCATCATTGATCGCTCTGCAAGAATAGATAAACTTAAATCATTAAAGTCTAGTGTTACATCTCTATAGTTACACTAATTTATTTGTCTACTTTGTGTTTTGGATATATATGTTCATTTTTTAATTGGTTAATGGTATATGTAATTGTTTTTATTTGCATAATAATTTTGAAATTGATTACGTAAATTGTGGAGGACTGAGGCTATTAGCATCATTGGCCCATGGTGTCAACATGAATATTTAGTATTCTATATTAACTCTGTACTGATGAAAAATAACAGATAAAAAGATAAATAAATTGAATATTGCATCAAAATAAAGCAAATTGTATCAGAGTCATTCCAAATCAATGATGAGCAGTACTTGAGCTGGGATTATTCTGAGTTATTCAATATTTTGTGAAATTATATTATCCTTTTGTAAATTATATTTTGGGAATTTGGAGAAAATGCCGAATTAATTTGTTCAGTTGTCAAATCAAGACTGGTGACAGATTTTTACAAAAAAACTTTAAAAAAATGATTAACATACCTGTTTATTTCTGAATGATGCCTTACAATGACTTTAATACATTCCTTGGTGGAAATTGCTGAGGATGTGTGATTCTCTTCTCTACTTGTGTCTACTCCTATACAGCTGAAGTAGAATTTTCTTTTTGTCATCTAGTGCATGCACTTAGTTGTCAATATCACACATTCAATAGATATTTGTTGTATTATTTCCTCACATAGACAAACATCTGGGCTACTCCATTTCTTCTTTTTAGATATTTGTTGTATTGTTTCCTCACATAGACAAACATCTGGGCTACTCCATTTCTTCTTTTTAGATATTTGTTGTATTATTTCCTCACATAGACAAACATCTGGGCTTCTCCATTTCTTCTTTTTAATACATGTTAAGCATTTTGTCCTTTAAATAAATTCCAATAACCTCAACTGAGAATTCCATCTGCTCTTGCATTAAACCGTAATCTTAGCTTCATTCTCAAATATTACCTTTCTATATTTGTAGAAACGCATTCAACTGTAACTTATCCATACTGTTCACAAAGCCTGGCTATTTAAGTGCTAGAGCAGAATATTTATCTTTAATTATATTTTTTCGATTTCACGATAGTCTTGGTATATGTAAACAAATCAACCCATGTGGTAGATAGGAATGAGTCAATAGTTATTCTATCGTAAACTAATTAAATGTAATCCATTAAAATGTACTTTGTGCAATAGTACAATACTGTTAGTTTATATTTCTTTATTTAGTATTGTTCTTTTTCCTGTAAAGTCAAATTGAGATGACAGCCTCCAAAATGCGCTATAAGAATCATTTGCCAGTTATTCTTCTCACTGTTTCTCTATCCTATACAATTTCTGCTTATTTAGTTCCATTTCATTATTTTCATGAGTTTCAAATTGAGATGCCAAGGGACACTACAAGAATTATCTATGGCTTGTCATCTATAATACATCAGAACAGCTATCAATCATTTCTGCTCCACTATCTGAAGTTTGTTATTTTCCGACATCTTTGATCTCTTTGGTAATGTCATTCTGCTTTAGGTTTACTGCAACATTTCCATATTTTATGTTTTATTCGCCAATAATGCTAAATTCCTAGGTGAGACGTATTCATCAAATATTGGTTTAATCTCAGCGGAGATGCCATTCTCTCGTAAAAATATCATTCTGTCTAAAGTGATAAGAGTTTCTAGAACTGGCTGGAGAACAACTTGCAACGCCTGAAAGTCATTAAAATGTCATTAAAGGTGAATTATAGTTTCATAGGATGAATGAGACCAGGATATGGCTATTAATCAGATTCATGGTTTGTGAATATAACTAAATGATTGTTATCTTCCTCATCCGGGATTTGCTGAATCTATGGTAACAAGTATCATCACCTGTTGAGGACAAGATAGAGCATATGGATGGGGTCAAGGTTAAAGGACAGCTCGGGGTCATAGCCATATCAACATAGATTTTTTGTGTCATCCCAAAGGGTGCTATAAAAACCTAAAAAGTTTAAATCAAGGTAAAGACATGATCCCCAGCCACCCAAAGGAAGTTTACAGAAAATAGTTCTACAGGTTCAGCTAGCTTTCCAGATTTTACATGCAATGTATTCCAGAATATAATTTGTCAAAGAAATGGCTTACTGGACAATGGTTCAATTGTCAATGTACTTACAGTTATAGGCTCAATGTACTTACAGTTATAGGCTCAATGTACTTACAGTTATAGGCTCAATGTACTTAAAATTCTCTTCATTTTCAACATACAATTTCTTTAGGTTGGCTGAATGGTGATCTTTCTCAACCTCACTCAATGGTTTGCCTGAATTTCAAATAAATGCCAACTGTCAAGGTATTCACAAATGACATTTACAACTAAGTATTTAACCTCAGTTATCAGGGCGGATCTGGGAACCAAGAAGGGGGGGGGGCAAATTTTTGGCAAAAATCAAAAGATTGGCCCTTTGCCATTTTCTTGAGAATTTGGCCAAATATATAAAAATAAGGCCTTAAACCCAGAAATGCCCAAAAAGGCCTTTAGAAAAAAATTGGGACTTTTAATAAAATAGGCATGACATGGAATGATGGTGAAATATTGTAAAATTGTGGGAATTTTTATAAGTCTTCTCGATCATTTTACCTTCTAGTCCATTTTACTGCCTCAATACATTGAATGAACATTAAGCTGAATTCTACATATCCATATACAATTCATTTTAACTCTGCTAAATAGAGTATGATGTCCCCCTAACTATGATTGCAGTTTGTATAATATTATACCATCTATGTTTCATAAAATATAAATACTGTTAATAATATATGTAATAAAGTATTTTAATGTCAATACAAAGAGCATACCTTCAATGGTTGAACGCTCAAGAATACCATGAACATAGGCATCAAAGGAACCATAATGTTCTTTCTTTGCAGGCTTTCTGTGACACTTCTTCAGAACAGTCCCCTCTAAAACATCATCCAAATTTTAGATTACTAAACTTTGTTGAGCGTGTACATTTTAGTACATTGAAGTGTTAATTTACACTTCACAATAATGAGCCAAAAATGCAACACACGTTACTTGATATACTCCTCTATAGAAACTTCCTCTTTAATTTCATAAATCAAAGATTGTATCCAGTGTTTCTTTAATGTGGATTAACATATATTTGAGTGTATAAATTCAATTACTGTTTGCAAGAATGTCATGTCAGAATCTCATTAGCTTCTTTTAACGTAATGAATTTTTCTTCATCATAACTTCACAAATTGTATTTCTTCTGTGATCCTCTATGATTAATTCATCAAAACAACTACAAAGTATTGAGGATCCAAATAAGCAATATGAAATAAGGAAAAGAGGAATCAACAAACAATGCATTGTTGATTAATGCAAATTAAAGGCAAGTTAAAATAAATAAAAAAGGTAATCACAAATATTAAAGTCACAATATAAAGTTTAAACCACTTTGGCTAAAATTGTAATCCCACCCAATGTTATCAAAGTATCATACCAATGCAAAATATCCATCCTTAGATGTTTTTTGCCGAAAAAATTAAGAAATTCCGTTCATATATAAGCGATAAATGAATTCATCAATCCATGAAAATGGTCCAGAGAAAAATGCATTTCAAAATTTTAGTTCTCATAGAAACCAATGGTACAATAATATCTAAATATATTCCTCAACATTGGTTTATTTTAAAGCATATTTAGAACAGATCAACATAAAATTTCAAAATTTTTTGGCCACATGAGTGGGTCATAGATATGGCATTTTTTATTGATATAGTGTGTCCAATTTCCAATCTTTGCATAGGTGTTAAAGGGATAATCTTTTTTGAAATGTATGGTGGAATATTTGATGATTAAAAAATTTCAACTTTTTTTGAAAAATGGTGGGAAAGGATGGGTATCGATATGGCGAACTTTTTGAACACACGTTTCTCTTAAACCAGTCTTCAAAAAATTCTGACAAATTTACACAGTGTCAATCTAATGGTCATCTTTTGAATGGTAACAATATAATTTGAAAAGTATATATATACTTTCATCTATATTGTTTTAGAAAACACATCAAACACTTGTTTTGTTCTTGGTATCATGTTTCCAGAGTGGAATGAAACATCTTTCCGAACCTCATTGGAACAAAACGACATAAACACAACATGTTTAGGTCTCTCAATATTGTAATTGAACAAAGGAAATTTGGGTTGATTTTAAAAAAGTATCTTGTTGATGAAATAAAAGGTTTTTCTTGATTTTTATCTATTTGGGGGGATTTTGTTTTAATTTTTTGAATACTTTTTTAAAATCAACCAAAAATTCCTTTGTATAACTATAATATTGAGAGGTCTAAAAACATGTTGTATATGCTATTTTGTTCCAACAAGGTTCGAAAAGACATTTTGTTTCATTCTCAAGAATTGGTAGAAAGGAGCAAAAACAATTGCACTAAAAAAACAAAAATGTTAACAAAAACAGTTATACTTGTATAAAATATTTCTAAATAATTTTCGCATTAAATTGTTGTCAATCAGTCAACATTACATAAAATACCGTGTTTTTTTACAGAATGTTTTCAATGATTGGTTTAAGAGAAAAACATTGTTGAATTCAGTTCTCCATATCGATACCAATCCTTTGAATATTTGAGAAATGAAAAAAAAATCTCTAAAATAATTTTTAAAGTCATGACAAATAGTAAATGATTGATAAAGACATATTTTCAAACATTACACGGGGACTTTAAATGAAATAATTACCTGAACATATAAAAGATGTCACTCAAATAATACTTTTCTACAATTTCTATGAATGTATCATATGTGGATTATTCCATACCTACTGTATTAATAGGCTAGAGTAAATTAAAATCTAAACCATATTCTATAATATGCTTGCTTTAAAAATCATAATTTGTATATACCCTTTTCCATGTACAACTCTACTAAGCCACGGTATGCAACATGTTTCATGTGGAGATCGTGTTCTTCTGCAGACTGGTGCTGCCATCTGGCTTTTGTCTCCTGGGCTGCAAGCCTCATCGCAAATCTGGTCAGTGACCAATCAGGTACTTTGGATGTTCTTATAGTTTCTGATACTGTCTTGCTTATCGGGAAATTCACAATGCTTTTATCTAAATATAATGTAATTTAACACCAAATAATATGACATACGAACAAACGTACAAACATGTATCTGTGAGTTAAAATGAAAAAACTAGAAAACCACAACTGCTGGGAGTAGCACATCCCACCATATAAAACATACATGTGTTTTATTAAATGCCTTGTCAGTTTGGGAATTACATGATAGAAATAACCAAGAAATAGAGATTTTGGCTCCTTTTGGAAAAATTATACCCCTGATGTGACATGACACCATACTATTTTATAGTATATTAAATATCTTTCTTTAAACAAAGGTTTTATGACTCATAAAGTACTGCATATAAAATTCGGACCAAATCTGGTAACTCAGTTGTATTTGTGTTCTCAGAAAAACCATAATTTTCCATGAGAATGGTGGCATTTTGGAATTCAGCATTTCTTCTTGACCAGAGTCCTATGCCAATAAGGCATCAGCACATAAACTTGGAACCAATCTACAATAAGTATTTCAGTATAGAAAAATATATGGTGAGTATTTTGAATTCAGCAATAATTCTGAGAAATTTTTCTTGAGCTAAATACTATGCCCATATGGCATCAGCATTTAAAATTTAGAACAAATCCTACAAATGGTATATTATCAAGGATTATATTTTCGAACAACAAGAAACAAAAATACAACTTTGCTTCTGTTAGTAAGATGTGAGGGTTAAATTCACGATAAGGAATTTGGGATACTCTCAACATTCCTTTCAAGAAATCTGTAAGACAAGACACACAGTGATAAATATCGCACTTTGAAGAGCAAACTGGCCACCATGCAATTTACCCAGCATGGCCAAAACCTAATCAGACCTTGGCACTAGTCTGCTCTTGCATCTGTAAACATTTCAAGTTGACAAGGTTAGCGGTTTTCCTGCAATTTTGATGACAAGAATTTATTTGTAGTCTGGAACTTTGGGAAAATTTAGATAACATCGTTTGTGACCTAATTTGATAACCTTCGACCTTGAAAATTTAACTTTTTCAGACCTCAGTAGGTGTTTTGTAATTAAGCTGACCTAAATTTAAATCCAAAATATCAATTTAGAAAATCAACTTTTTTGACCTTTTCAAGGTCACTGAAGGTGAATGAAAGGTCAAATCTGAAATCTAAGGTCAGATTTGAACTTCTGAGAACTTGTAGATGTTTTTAAAAAAAAAATTTGGTCAATTTGGAGCAAGTTGAAAAATTCAAAATGGCCGCCAAATTGAAAAATTCAAAATGGCCACCATGTAATTCAGCCAGCACACCCAAAACCTAATCAGATCTTGGCAATAGTCTGCTCTTGCATCTGTAAAAATTTCAAGTTGAACGGATAAGTGGTTTTCCTGGAATTCTGATGAAGATTTGTTGAAAAATTAAAAATGGCCGCCACATAGTTTACCCAGCATGCCCTAAACCTAATCAGATCTTGGCACTAGTCTGCTATTGCATGTGTAAAAATTTCAAGTTGAACAGGTTAGCGGTTTTCTTGGAATTTTGATGACAAGAATTGATTTGTAGTCTCAAACTTTGAGAAACTTGGATAACATCATTTGTGACCTAGTTTAATGACCTTGACCTTCGACCTTGAAAATTTAACTTTTTCAGACCTCAGTAGGTGTTTTGTAATTAAGCTGACCTAAATTTAAATCCAAAATATCAATTTAGAAAATCAACTTTTTGACCTTTTCAAGGTCACTGAAGGTGAATGAAAGGTCAAATCTGAAATCTAAGGTCAGATTTGAACTTCTGAGAACTTGTAGATGTTTTTAAAAAAGAAATTTGGTCAATTTGGAGCAAGTTGAAAAATTCAAAATGGCCGCCAAATTGAAAAATTCAAAATGGCCACCATGTAATTCAGCCAGCATACCCAAAACCTAATCAGATCTTGGCAATAGTCTGCTCTTGGATCTGTAAAAATTTCAAGTTGAACGGATAAGTGGTTTTCCTCGAATTTTGATGACAAGATTGGTTGAAAAATTAAAAATGGCCACCACGTAGTTTACCCAGCATGCCCTAAACCTAATCAGATCATGGCACTAGTCTGCTATTGCATGTGTAAAAATTTCAAGTTGAACAGGTTAGCGGTTTTCTTGGAATTTTGATGACAAGAATTGATTTGTAGTCTCAAACTTTGAGAAACTTGGATAACATCATTTGTGACCTAGTTTAATGACCTTGACCTTCGACCTTGAAAATTTAACTTTTTCAGACCTCAGTAGGTGTTTTGTAATTAAGCTGACCTAAATTTAAATCCAAAATATCAATTTAGAAAATCAACTTTTTTGACCTTTTCAAGGTCACTGAAGGTGAATGAAAGGTCAAATCTGAAATCTAAGGTCAGATTTGAACTTCTGAGAACTTGTAGATGTTTTTTAAAAAAGAATTTGGTCAATTTGGAGCAAGTTGAAAAATTCAAAATGGCCGCCAAATTGAAAAATTCAAAATGGCCACCATGTAATTCAGCCAGCATACCCAAAACCTAATCAGATCTTGGCAATAGTCTGCTCTTGCATCTGTAAAAATTTCAAGTTGAACGGATAAGTGGTTTTTCTGGAATTTTGATGACAAGATTTGTTGAAAAATTAAAAATGGCCGCCACGTAGTTTACCCAGCATGCCCTTAACCTAATCAGATCTTGGCACTAGTCTGCTCTTGCATGTGTAAAAATTTCAAGTTGAACAGGTTAGCGGTTTTCTTGGAATTTTGATGACAAGAATTGATTTGTAGTCTCAAACTTTGAGAAACTTGGATAACATCATTTGTGACCTAGTTTAATGACCTTGACCTTCGACCTTGAAAATTTAACTTTTTCAGACCTCAGTAGGTGTTTTGTAATTAAGCTGACCTAAATTTAAATCCAAAATATCAATTTAGAAAATCAACTTTTTTGACCTTTTCAAGGTCACTGAAGGTGAATGAAAGGTCAAATCTGAAATCTAAGGTCAGATTTGAACTTCTGAGAACTTGTAGATGTTTTTAAAAAAAAATTTGGTCAATTTGGAGCAAGTTGAAAAATTCAAAATGGCCGCCAAATTGAATGGCCAAATTGAATTGAAAGGTCAAATCTGAAATCTAAGGTCAGATTTGAACTTCTGAGAACTTGTAGATGTTTTTAAAAAAAAAATTTGGTCAATTTGGAGCAAGTTGAAAAATTCAAAATGGCCGTCAAATTGAAAAATTCAAAATGGCCACCATGTAATTCAGCCAGCATACCCAAAACCTAATCAGATCTTGGCAATAGTCTGCTCTTGCATCTGTAAAAATTTCAAGTTGAATGGATACGTGGTTTTCCTGGAATTTTGATGACAAGATTTGTTGAAAAATTCAAAATGGCCGCCACGTAGTTTACCCAGCATGCCCTTAACCTAATCAGATCTTGGTACTAGTCTGCTCTTGCATCTGTAAAAATTTCAAGTTGAACAGGTAAGCAGTTATCCTGGAAATTTGATGACAAGATTTGGTTTATGTCCCTCCCGCCTGCACGCCCGCCCGCCCGCCCAACAGCACAAGACAACGGCAATATAGCACTTTTTCAAAGTGCGATAAAAAGATTGTGGCCATTTTGAATTGAGTGGTCTCATTGGAAATCTTTCTTAAGCAGAGGGCCTATGCCCACATGACATTAGCCAATAAAAGGACCAAATCCTATAAGTGGTATTCAGGTTCTTTAAAGATACATGTTTTGTGAAAAATGACAGCCATTCTGAATTGAGCAGACATCTTGAAACATTTTTTTTGAAGAGAGTCAAATGTCCCTAAAGCATGAGCATATTTTGAACCAAAGAGTCAACTAGTATTTTAGTTATCAAAGATTACATTTTTAAGAAAAATGGTCATCATTTTGAAATGTGTAGCAATCTTGAAAATGCCTACTTTAGCAGAGGTCCCTTGTCCCTAGGATATTAGCCAATAAAATATGGACCAAATTCCATAGATGGGGTTTAAGTTAAGATAAATTGGTGACCATATTGAATTGAGTAGCAATATTGAAAATTCTCGAGCAAGGGTCCTATAACAATGAGGTATAACCCTATAAAATTTGCACCAAATACATCAACTGGTATTTAAGTCATAGCTACACTTAGCACATTTAAAATATCTACAGTAATGATGAATGTTAAATTAAAAGTTAAAAGTACAAGAAAAATTGGATCAATAAATGTGTTAGCACTGTTGATACTATCAGCATACTATACTATCAGAATTAATAATTCAAAGTCCATCTACTTGAGACTTACACTCCCCTTTATAAGTTTGGAAACCAGAAGACCCATATTAGATCACTCATCAAAGCCTGTTTATATTTAGTTATTTAAAAAGCATAGAACTTGACGGGTTTTTGTACTCTTGTAATTACGGAACAAATTGACATTGATATGCTATGGAATGAAAACTTCAGGTTGCCAAACATATGGAGGGGAGTGTAAGCTATGTTATTTAACCTAATTCAATTTATATTTGACGTATAGTCAGTTAACCTGTCTCGGGGCTTATTGTAAAAAAGTAATTGCAATGGCAAGAGCATCACTGAATACTTCTGGAAAATACAAAGCAATTCATCCAGGTTATGCACAACTATCAGACTTTATTAATGTTACAGCTGCGAAAGTGGATATTTTCAACAAATACACAGAAGCACAGCTAGAACATCATACAGAATACATAAGAGACTTTGTCAGGACAATATGTTCAGGTTTTGGGGAATACACACAAGTATTCAAGACCAAGGACCCAATCCTTAGAGGCAGTTACATTGAAAAAACAAAGATCATCAGTCCAACAGAGTATGACTTTCTAAACATATTATCTCTGTTTGAGGAAGCCTCAGTTGAAGTGTGTGATGTAAGAGATGGATGTAAATTGGCAGGACAGGGATATGGAGTTGTTAATATTCACCCTGGACAAGTGCAGAAACAACTTCATATCACAGCTACAGGCTATAAAGTTTTAAAATCTCAATCCTCACATGCTTTTCTTCTTCGTCCTCCCCCTACTGCCTATTTGTTGACAGCAGAAATGAGGCACAGTCTCCATGCTGCAATGCACACATACCTGGAGAACACCAATGGTTCACACTACATTGGCATGAAAGATCTTAAGAATAAACAGCCCCCTAGCTACACACTTGGGGAATTTTCAATGAATGAACATCTACATGGGCCTAGTGTATGGCTCAGGGTGGGGGGACCATTAGGCACCACAGACATAGATCTCTGTTTCTGTATTCAGAAAACCCAAGGATCTGTATTGGTACCTTTAGACCCAGGTGGTTGTATTGAGTGCCCTAAAGGAATCCACTGGACTGAATCAATAGTGCAGACTCCACACCAAGCACCTGATTGCCAGTTACACATACCTACTGGACATCATAAACAGCTTTTTCTTGTATTGAAATACATTTCCCATCTGTTTAATAAGATCCACTGGCATGTCTACCATAAGCACCCATATGATGGTCTCATCTCATCCTACTCATATAAACTGCTCATCATGCATCATCAGAAAAGTTGCACAGGATCTGACTTTAATGTAGGAAGATGTTTGGAGGATGTAGTAGAATACATATTCAATCAATTTGGAGGAGACGATGATAATGATTCATATCAATACATGATAAGATATTTTTATAAGGAAACGTATCTACCAGATACAGATTACCCGATAGACAGGTGAGGATATTGAACGCTGCCTACAAACATGTGGAACTGACTGTACTACTGTGGGTGTTGAAACATGTCAAACACAGCAGTGACACACAATGGTGGCAGAAACTACTAGATGATGATTTCCCAAACAATGTCCCAAGTAGTTACTTCCAAAACAATGTGTTTGATGGAGCTGAAATATTGGAATCTACAACATGGTGGCAGAAACTACATGATGATTTCCCAAACAATGCCCCAAGTAGTTACTTCCAAAACAATGTGTTTGATGTAGCTGATATATTGGAATCTACAACATGGTGGCAGAAACTACTACATGACGATTTCTCAAACAATTTCTCAAGTGGTGATGTTTTACTAACTTCCTTGTTAGAGTTAGTCAAACATGTGTGGGATGCATGGCTAAAGACAGAGCCACCCAAGCCCCTAGTTTGGCAGCATGAGGATGGCACAAGGACACATCTCACCATAACCAATTGTTAAAATATCTAATATTACCAGATTATTGAATTGAATAAAACTAGGAGACTACAATTCAAGTCATACCATATATTCAAATATTGAAGAAAATATAACTTCATCAGAACATGTAAAATTATGCAATGTTGAATAAGAAAGGATATAAAAGGACATAAAAGAAAATATTTCACTTACTGGATTGTTCTTTCATTCTGTGGTAGCAACAACTCACACAAACCAAGCATTGTATCACATCTAGATCCCGCATAAGTCTTAGCATCGTAGGAGTTAAGTCACCACAGCAATGTAAGCCCACCATACACACAGGGGTAGAATTTGGCATAGGCACAGTTTGTGACAAATGGTCAGATTTTGATGCCGTAATGGATTGTGCTATTTCATGTTTAGATTGTGACAAAGGAGTAGAATTTGATACAGTGTCAGAAAGTGCATCAATATTAGATTGGTCAACTGATTGTTCCATGGAACACTCCACATTTGAAGAGTTCACCTTCCTAGCAGGGTCTGACATTCTTCTCAGGTCATCCAATCCTTTGCTTCCTTCTTTCAATTCTAACTGTTCTTTCTCACTTAGGCAATGTTCGTATAACAGTTTAGTAAGTTCCTGTCTACATTGCTTTGTGTCCTCCAACTCCAAAGTGACTGTTTCCATCAGAGATGACAACTCCTCTGCTTCTATATCAACATTGACTGATTTTCCACCATTTCCATCATTTCCTTGATTTTGTGTTCTGTGTGGTTTGTTTTGTTTAGATTGTTTTACGTTCCTTTTTGAGGCACCGTGTGATCTTGAGGCAATGGACTCAAACCCAATTACTCTGTACCCATAGGTGGCGCTCAACACCTGGCCAAGATAACCCTAGAAATGCACCAATTATGTTTATCACATTTTCTATTTGGCTCTTTCCACAAATAAGATTAACCTACCTGAACAAAAATGACCAACAAGATTTCTATAAATGCCACCAAAACTCAATATTCATTAAGATAATCATGTTAATGTTTATATTTTAAACAAGGCACAGACGTGAACAATATCGTACCTAAAACACAGCATTGTGGTCTTGTTGACCAAGAAAGCAAGATGGCCGCAGAAAAGTTAATCAGCTCTAGAACTTATCACTGTGTAACATATGTAAAAATTTGAACGGTTTGGCTGGAAACCTGTAGACAAGCCTCGATAGACAAGATTTTAGGACGGAAAATCTAAAATGGCAGCCTTAACATTTACCCAGAATGACCAAAAACTAATCAGTTCTTGACATTGATACGTAGAAACATCCCTGAAAATTTCAGATGAATCCCTCAAATGGTTTGGCTGGAGACCTGTAGACAAGTCTTGAAAGTGAAGATTTTAGGACGGAAAATCCAAAATGGCCACCTTAAAATTTAACCAGAATGCCCAAAAACGAATCAGTTCTTGACGTTGATATGTAGAAACATCCCTGAAAATTTCAGATGAATCCCTGAAAAGGTTTGGCTGGAAACCTGTAGACAAGTCTTGAAAGTAAAGATTTTAGGATAGAAAATCCAAAATGGCCACCTTAAAATTTACCCAGAATGCCCAAAAACTACTCAGTTCTTGACGTTGATATGTAGAAACATCCCTGAAAATTTCAGATGAATCCCTCAAATTGTTTGTCTGAAAACCTGTAGACAAGTCTTGAAAGTGAAGATTTTAGGACGGAAAATCCAAAATGGCCACCTTAAAATTTAACCAGAATGCCCAAAAACTAATCAGTTCTTAACGTTCATATGTAGAAACATCCCTGAAAATTTCAGATGAATCCCTCAAATGGTTTGGCTGAAAACCTTTAGACAAGTCTTGAAAGTGAAAATTTTTGACAGAAAATCCAAAATGGCCACCTTAAAATTTACCCAGAATGCCCAAAAACTAATCAGTTCTTGACGTTGATATGTAGAAACATCCCTGAAAATTTCAGATGAATCCCTCAAATGGTTTGGCTGGAAACCTGTAGACAAGCTGAAAAGTGAGACGCCGCCCGCCGCCCGTCAAGCTGACTACAATATCGTACCTCTTGTTAGGTACGATAAAAAACGATGTCTCATAAAAATTCTTATGTAATATTTCACTAAGCAAAGTTCATTTATCATTCAATCAAAAAATTGGATTGATATTGTGACAATGATACATCATACTGATATTTTTTAATTTTGTCATTCTGTATCTGTATAAGTTTTGTATATTGTGGATTGTAGTGACTAATATGTCATTGTTATGACATCAGAGAGTCAATTTAAGATACATGTACAATTGTTTATTTATAAAGTACATTATTAATGTACCCGGATGCCCAGGAAATACTATAAAGTCATTTGTTGTTACCATGGATAAATGCTATCATAGATAATGAGAACGGTTGATTTTAGGGTAGCATTACGTACCAATCCAGATCCTATGTCAATCACAACCTTAACACCATGTTCTCTACACATCTCATGTATTACAGCGGCCATGTTGGACACCTCATGTATTTTCTTGGGATTCATCCCCTTTTTCATTGTGTTGCTAACCACCGCTGGGTTAAAGAGGCAGATCTGTTTACGGGGTGATGAACAATTTGTTGCCATAGTGATGAAATTTTTCAAAGATTCTGGCCAATTCTCCTGGAAATAAAATAAAAATTTGAAGTTTTTAGATATTTTTCATTTCAAAAATGAGTGAAATCTTAATAGTTTATTCCATGCATGATTCTGATTTTGAATGATGCCCAACATTTATATTACCATTGGTTCTGTAACAGGCAGCCACTTTGGGGCTTTGTCAATACATATCTTTAAACAAAGAGTGGCTGGGTCCAATCCTTCATTAAACCCCTCTCATAAAAAAACATATTCTGACCACCCCATTATGCTGGAATTAAAATAAAAATATTTACCTTTATAAATCCAAATGGCACTTGATTCAACTCTGCGTTGCTCAGAGACTCCAAGGAATTTCTCCACTATAAAATAAACCACATAATTGAATTTTTGAAATATGGAATTCTATTTCAGATCAACACAAAACATGGATGACTATATACCTGCATATATATTGTAAGTTGGTAATGGCTGGGCAGACAATCCTCGTAAATACTTGTTTTTGATTGTATATTTTAGACCACTAATGCATGAGACTATTAATCATTTCACATACATGTATTTTACAAATTAAATATTTTCCTACTATGCTGAATAATCTAAAATTCCCTCATGATAAAACAAGGTCCTAGATGAGTTAGACCTTGTGAGTTATATAAAAATAGAAAATGATCACAATTAACAAATAATTGTTACTTTTCCACGTACCTCCGTTGGGATATAATCCCATACTTTCAGTGTGAAGAAATCTGTGACAGCAAAGTTGAAAATCCATTCATGTCGATGTAAGAACTCATATGTTGCCCTCAGATCCATGACCTCTCTTGCATCCTCCATGTTGTTTGCATGCCTACAGTAGTGTAGGCAAAATAATAAGATCATGTAATGCATATGTTTATACAATCAATAGGATTCGGACGATAGGGATTCAAACAATGGGATTCAGATGATAGGGATTCAAACAATGGGATCTGGATGATAGGGATTCAAACAATGGGATTCGGACGATAGGGATTCAAACAATGGGATTCGGACGATAGGGATTCAAACAATGGGATTCGGATGATAGGGATTCAAACCAAGGGGATTCAGACAATAGGGATTCAAACCAATAGGATTCAGACGATAGGGATTCAAACAATGGGATTTGGATGATAGGGATTCAAACAATGGGATTCGGATGATAGGGATTCAAACAATGGGATCTGGATGATAGGGATTCAAACAATGGGATCTGGATGATAGGGATTCAAACCAATAGGATTCGGATGATAGGGATTCAAACCAATGGGATTCAGACAATAGGGATTCAAACAATGGGATCTGGATGATAGGGATTCAAACCAATAGGATTCGGATGATAGGGATTCAAACCAATAGGATTCAGATGACAGGGATTCAAACCAATAGGATTCAGATAATAGGGATTCAAACCAATGGGATTCAGATGATAGGGATTCAAACCAATAGGATTCAGATGATAGGGATTCAAACCAATGGGATTCAGACAATAGGGATTCAAACCTATGGGAATCGGATGATTGGGATTCGGACCGTTGGGATTTGGATACAGTCAGAGACATTAATAAACATCAACCATCAAAAGTTGTCACAATGAGCTAAATTCTAAGTTTCATATCTCAAACTCTCCCAAGCAGTAGAAAAATAATTCCCGTTCACTCTAAGTAGCACAATAAATGGATCCAAAGCTCCATACCTGCAAATGATGGATCAATTCCTACCAAATCGAGCTTTCGTAAAATGAATGAGCAAACATTCCATTTTCACACATGTTTGGTAATATAAAGTACCATAACTTCAGGAAATCAATGACAAGGCAGTAGTGTTGTCGCGATTAATCGATACATCGCGATATACATCGCCAACGCTGATTCTGGCGATGCATCGATGTCTGAAACAAAACATCGATGTTTTTAAAAATAAATTTAATTTGATAAAAATCACCATTTCTTATCTTATTTTGACGCAAATCGCTTACCTTTCTAATGTTTTATTTCATTTTCCAATGTTGTCTTATATTCTTTCACTTTAAAACGGTTTTAGTTCGTCGAAATTAACCATTAATCTAAAAATAATTGACTTTACTTTCATTTCACGGTTACTAGAAATTCTCGGATGTACCAGCGTACTCTTATTAATTTGTTCTGTTCGGTATTTTAGTGCATTAGTGTTCGGTATTTCAGTGCACTTATCTCGGACTTTTTCTCAATGTACATCGCGATGTGCATCGATGTTTACTACTGAAAATTGCCGATGCATCGATGTACGATTATGGCACATCGCGACAACACTACAAGGCAGTCGGAAAATTTTGGGATTTTTTTCAGTTTGTTTACATTTCTTGTATACTGTACTTATTGTTGATCGGATGGAAATATAAACTGATGTGCATGTAGTTACATTGGAGTTCGTTTACTGCAATTTGGAAGTCACGTGAGGGTCCCATTCATCAGGTAACACTTATATGTCGAAGTTAAGTTCTTGACTTTTCAACACTGTGAGTAGAATCTAATTTCTATTACACTCATCTTATTAAGAGTTCATATCGCATAATAACCCTTATTATCGGATTCCAGCTGTTAGTAGTATTAATTTGAATAAATTAAAACTGAGTAGTACAGCTGAGTGGACATGTATATGCACCGATAACTAGGTCTATTTTTGCTTAGCTGCCAACGGAAACACACCTTTATAGGAGACTAGGCTATTTGTACATAGCTGTAAATAGCACATGGATTTTAGTTCAGATGATCTGCTCGACTTGTTGAATTTTTTCAACAGTCATTTGTTTGTAGTTTTTTGGAACTTTATTTACTAGTCTAGCTACATTTGTTTGGACTTATGAACCATTAGTACGGCTCCTAGTGCTCCTGAAATTATGTACTTGGACAGGTAGGGAAATATTATGATTTTTCAAGATGGAAGTTTGAATACTGAAGGTCTAAATGACCATGGTCTATAATGACCACAGTCAAGGTCTAGATGACCACATGTTAGGTCTAAATGACCACAATTTAGGTCTAAATGACCACAGTTTAGGTCTTAATGACCACAGTTTAGGTCTGAATGACCACAGTTTAGGTCTGAATGACCACGTGTTATTTCTAAATGAACACATTTTAGGTCTAAATGACCACTGTTTATGTCTGAATGCACACACCAAAGGTCCAAATGACCAAAGTTCAAGGCCTATAAACCAAAGTTTGACCAAGGTTCAAAATGAGCCGCCATCAGAATAATAGTCATATTAGAGGTCATATTACAGTTTCAGCGAGCATATCCAATTGCATAGCCTCATAGTAGGTTCAAATTAATAGAATCATTTTTGTTTTGATTCAAGTTCTAGTAATCTAGTGCTTATAGATTCATGTTCTGTTCATCAGCGGTCTATATGTTCAATATGTTTGACTCAGTTTTCGAGGAGAACAAGTCTGAATTGAAGATAACAGACAAGCATGTAAAATCTGTCCATAAATATTGGTCAAAAACATTATCCTAGTAGATATCAAAATATGAAGAAAAGGCTAGAGCAAGCTATCTAGAAAGTAAATGAACTAAAAATGTTCCTAGTCCCAAAGCAGATAGAAATCTACAATTGCAAAATGGGAAATGGCATATGCAATACTGGTAATGTGTGTCACATGGACTTCCTGAAATAAAGCTCTTTATCCATGGAAATCGGGTTAACAGCCCTAGATCAAATGACAATACTCGTACAATATTTTGATTAAAACAGCTATTGTTGCTAAACAAGGATTTCCCATAACCAACTACTGTAGTTGAAACAAGCTTCATGCTTCAAATTTTCATTTTGACAAGAGTGAATTGGAGAATTTTCTGTCTTCATACCATTACCTAACCAAAAAGAGAATACCCCAAGCTGGGCAAAAGAATTGTTTGGTGATGACTCAACAAAGATTTTGTCAAAGACATGAAAACATAGTTTTCTAGATCAAAATCTTTCAATAGATTATAAATACAAGTATTTGACAGCCTTTTGAATAGGCCAGTGAAAGCAGAAACTGTCAGCTGCCAATAGCTATACAGCTAGAAGTCATGACAAACAATGTCATTATAGACGATGTCGCTCCAGCACAACTTAGGCTGTAGGAAAATCCTTGTCCAATGACAGGTACGTCAATTTTATTTTTAAAATTAAACCAAAATGGATCTAAAAAAGATGAATGTTTTGACATAACATCAGATCTAGAAAAAACAATCTGGAAGTTCACTAAAACAGAAACTTAGGTAAATTACATATACTTTTTGAAGTTTCAAAGTCACCTACATAGAAATATGAAGTATGGTCTAGGTTACCAGAGATTCTGAGAAATGATAACAATATAGCTTAAGATTTCTAAATGGAAAGCAGCTTTAATATTTCTAAAAACTGCGATTTGAAGCAATCGGATGTTTTGTCCATCTTTAAAAACAGGAGATTCATTTAACTCTTAAACATGCATCAGAAAAGCAAAGTCAAGCATAGATCAATTTCTGTGTCACATATTGTTACAGGAGAAAGAGGATTGTTCCCAGAGACTCGTTCTCAATCTAAACTCTAAAAAATCTAAACCTTGGCCATTTAGTTGGTATGAATATTTCAAAATGGAAGACATGGTAACTCTAAGAAACATGAGATGGCCAAACAATTACCGATGGTGAAAGTCCATGCTAAGGATGCTTATATAACCATAAGCATACGTTTGAGGCACAGGAAATAGCTCTGTTGAATGATATAACATCATTTGAGATCATTACTATGGACCTTGCTTCCCTCAAACTCGTGAAAATACCATAAGCACTATTGTGGAATATTTAATTTGGTTTTGAATCTTTTATGATTCTCTGATGTCATTAACCTCTCGCCTATCTGCTACTCATGAACATGATTTCAAGTTAGTGAAATATTTGTTTCAAACTGAAGTTTCTGATAAATGGGGAAAAGCCTATTGTTGCATTTTTCCCATCATAAAATGGAGCTTTGTAGGTTTGTGATCAATACAATTGAGATGAACTTGAAGGCCTTAATAGAAATGATAGTTTCTATCAAAATTCTCGCAAAGACTTTGTAGGGATAGAATCAACCCTAGTCAGTAATCTTACTCAAGTTATTGAGATACTTTTGAATTGTACTTTAGTCTGTAATCTGTATATTGAACCTCTACATTTATTGACACTTGCAAAGGTCAAAGCAGTCCTACATGTATGCATTGATTGCCAAAATAACTCACAAAAAAATGAATTCATTTGATAGTGATTGGTCCAAGAAGTCGAAATTCAGAATACTAATAGTGTTATCCGAATCAATAATTACAATAACAACAAAAAAGCAGCCTTTTTGGCTAAAGTTCAAGTCTGACGGGACAGTAGCTTAGGGGAAATAGATTAAACAAAAAATTGTTTCATATGAATGAAAGCCATGGATATGGTAGTGAAAGTATTCACAAAACTTAGACAATGTTATATAAAATTAACAAGAAAACCACGATGACATTATGTGAACAAAATGTGGGGAACGAGATGGCTAGAAATGTTAAAAGCAATGCAAGATCGTTCAGATACCTTTGCCAGAGATATCATTATTACCGTATAATATCTTCCAAGGAATCAGAATTGAATGTCAGATCAAACCTAGAGAAATTCCTCGATGCATCAAACTAGAAATAAGATTGGGAGATTTTTCCTAATTGATAGTTTTAAGGTCCAGATAAATTGATTTTGTCGACCAGTAGAAAATTAATATTTCAGGTGGAAACTAAACCCAGAAACTCTGGAAGTTGACATATTTATTCAGAATAAACAGTCAAATAACTTTCCTCCAATTTCTTAAATCAGCCGATTACTGGTTAAAGTGAGACAGAAAAAATGCACAGATATGGCTCTTATAGCCCCAATGTGGCAAATGGCTCTGCGGTATCTATAATTGTTGGAAATGTTGGTCTGTATAATACCCATCTTATTGCCAAACCATATGAAATTACTAATATCTAATCTTACAGCCTTTATAAAAAAGAAGCTACATAACACTAACGGTGTCCAAATTATCATCCTCAAGTTTGAAACTAGAGGTTTCTGTGACAAACTGGCAAAACATGTATGTTCATTAAATCAAGTAAAGAAAGTACTTAAATTACTTCCAAGGACCCCTAAAAAACATGGGTATGCTGCATGTTCTAATAAACATGACATTAATATTTAGCCTCTGATACAAATTTAGCCAATTTCCTAACTGAAATGTCAAATCAGGTATGTGCTATTCGTTTCTTGATACTTAAAGTCTGCAAAATCAGCATATAATGGAACCATAGATAGGTAAGTCAATACCATGTTCTGGTTGATTTTATGGAAACTTTTACAATGGAAACCCACTAAATAAAATAAATGAAACTTGGGATGTGAATAAGGTCGTACTGTATCTCACATTGAACATTCGGGTCAGAATAGAATTCTCAACTGAAAGTACACAATAAGTCATGTTAATGTCTATTTCAAGCATGTATCCCAGGGCCTCTGAAATAATATGCCATTGGATGGTTGTCAAAGACAGAATGTCAACACATAAAATTGGGGTTTCAAGTTTTTTCATGAGAATCCATTTAATGATGTTGTACTAGCATTTAGAAAATACCAGAAACATCTGAAACAAACTACTAGTAGTAGAAGGGAATCATAAGAAGGAAGTTTAAATTATCCTTGTCAAATGTCATGCGATGCCATGCATGTGTACATATCCAGTAAAACATCTCATATACATACACATTAGCAGTTTCTATAACAATACATAAAGGTCTTAATTTTATAGAATAATAATAATAGATAGATATTTAATAAATACATTTAAGTACATTTGAAAGACATATTTAACCATGTATGCAGTAACAGTACCATAAACTTGAACATTTGATATATCTACAAACCAAGTGATGGGAAATGCAAATTAACTGAATGCTTAACAATTTTACAATCTGTTAAACTGATAAAGGAAATTAAAGGATTTAGATCAGTTGTTCCGAGGTCATGTTACTTTAAACATGCGATATGAACTCTTAATAAGATGAGTGTAATAGAAATTTTACAATTTCTTAAGAATCTCGCTAATGAAATTATAATTTTATTAACGAGATCTTATTAAGAGTTCATATATTCCCCCCTCGCCCACCCAGTCGTTAATTGTCACTAAAACACAGTTTTGTGTTATTTCAGAACATAACCACAGACAACTGAGTTATGAAGGATAGAATTAACATTCAACAATCTTCATCAAGTCAAATATTATGTATCTGGATTTTTACATTCTCAAAGTTGTAATGAAAGTTTTTAAAGTTTAAATCTCACAAACAGTGAAAGGTTTATATCCTATACTACACAAGGACTTTATTTAACTTTGCATCCCACAAAGATTTAGGGATAAATTGGACATCTCACAAGCAGTGGATGTTGTTGTTTTCTTTGTCAAAGAATTCACTGAAGTTTACTCATAGTAAGGTGAGTTTTTCAATGGTTTCAGAATATTAAGTTGGCATCTAAGCAATAGACCTAGTTATCGGTGCATATACATGTCCACTCAGCTGTACTACTCAGTTTTAATTTATTCAAATTAATACTACTAACAGCTGGAATCCGATAATAAGGGTTATTATGCGATATGAACTCTTAATAAGATCTCGTTAATAAAATTATAATTTCATTAGCGAGATTCTTAAGAAATTGTAAAATTTGGTGGGCGATAATATGTATGAGGAAAAATGCCTTTGAAAAAATGCTCGCTTCCCATCTTTAGCGTACATCAAATTAGCCAATATTGGCACAAATCTTTTATATTGAATCGCTCTATTAATGGAATATACTTGCCGTAGTGCCTGCATCCTTTTGTTAGACAATAACAGAGTTTAAAAGAACGCAGTATATTTTTTCAAAATAAATTTTTTTCTCACCTCCTATTTAGAGAGCTACAACTAGTCTACCTCATTCCAAAATCTTATAATTTTCCTTTCTATATACACTTCAAACCGATTTATATTCATAAAAGTTATTCAGGGAAGTTTTGTGAATATATTGAGTTTGCTCATGGTTATAGTTTACATATTTGATTGGTATTCACTTTCATTCACTTTCATTCTTCGTATCAAACTTTCTCGGGTATGCTCACTTCCTCCTGGATGACCTACTTTTTGGGAAACTTTTAGGTTTGACAATTTGTTCCATTTTTCCATTTTTACTCTTTACTTATAGTTTATATCCTCAGCAATTATACTTTTTAGTGGCTTTAAACTAAATGCAGTTGTATTGAATCTATAGATCATGGGATTAGACGTGTGATGCCTCAAAAGAAACACCAATTTCATTTTCATTTTTGCAGAATCATATGTAAAGTGGGGGACAAAAATAAATCTCAACCCTCAAAAGTTGTCACAATGAGCTAAATTCTAAGTTTCATGTCTCAAACTCTCCCAAGTGGTAGAAAAATAATTCCCGTCCACTTTAGTAGCACAATAAATGAATCCAAAGCCTCATACCTGCAAATGATGGATAAATCCCTACCAAATCGGACTAATGTTTTCATGAATCGCCATGTTTGTGATCCAAGGAGGATTGACTCCCAGAATGCAACATCAAGTAACCTTATTTATTCGTGACGTATTTCAAAACGGCGGAATGGCATTTTGAAAGCTGACACGTGTCATGTTGCATTCTGGGAGCCAACCCACATTGCGGCGTAATCTGGCTCCAAAATCACCTCAACATTTGAAGAGTCGGCATTAACATGTGAATTCCACATCAAATTTTTAAGTTCTTATTTGTCATTATGGACACAAATTCCACTATATCTGGACTTACTATGACGGAGAAAATAGAGCACTGAATACACTGAGGTTTGATTACATATGCGACAACATGTAATTTCCATAGGTTTTGTAATTCTTTATGCCCCCCACTGTAAACTAGATTTAGTCTAATGATATAAGGTTAAAAATAATAAGAGAGCTGCTTCAAGAATGTATTCCCCTATATACTCATAATACTCCTATCGCCAGGATAGCAGGTAGCCAGCTTTCAGTCGGGGGGAGTGCAATCGCCAACTTTTTTTTCAGTCAGATGGGGGGATGTAATCGACCAAATTTTTGGGGCTTTCAGTCAGGAGGCCTCAGGAGGGGTTTGATCGTGGCATAAGCAAGACACAATTTCTTTAAGAATTTGTTTGAATTTAAAGCACATTTGAAGCACATGATACTTCTTTTATATGCCATTTTGGTGTACATTTTACAACAATTGATGCAACTTCAGAATTCAAATTGAGCTTGTAGCTTCAAATAAAAAGCTTTTGAAAGCTCCTTTCTTCTAATATCTATAATCATTTTTTTTCATTGGTTATCGGGGACGGTGTGATCATATCCCATTTGGGGATGGGAATGGACGTATAAACCAATAAAAAAGTTAACAACTTTAAAACAGTTGATATGCTTATTTGAGCAAGAATGTTATATTAGAAATGTATAAATTGTAAAATGTATTATGATTAATAAAAAATAAATAAAAATAAAAAATAAAATAAAAAACTTTAAAACAGCTCAACTACTACATTTCTACATGTTTTTTCTTGAATTTTTGTTTAATATAATCACTTACAGTAATTGCCACTATAGGTAATAGATATTAATTAAGATAGTTTTAAAATAAAATTTAAAAATTACTCTGGTAGACCTCCTTTTGAATTTTAAATAAACTTTAGCTACAAATGTGCAAATTATTGAAGTGCACATCTTGGTTCATTTCAGGTCAAGAAAGATAAAAATTTATGCGTTATGAGTTTTTTTTTATGACTTTAATGCAGAAAATTGTTTACTGTCAGGTGTCTCTAATATTGTATTTATTATAATCATTGCAATATAAAATTATTGCCTAAACAAACTTGATGAAGGTAAAATTTGTTTTCTTGGAATAGGTAAAATTAATTTTTAGTGTGATAAATTTGCTGAGTTTTGTATCTGTGTCTGAAACACATATAAATAATAAACAGAAGTCACTTCTATCATTGTGGTCATTTTTGTTTCAGATGCAAGTTTGACTGCTCAGCATGGCCTCTGAAGTAACAATGGAGTCCGTAGAAGGTCCACATGCTCCATTGGTATACACACCATCAACAGGTCTCGTAACTGACCCCCGGGAGAAAAAGACATGGGCTCAGTTCCGCGAGGCTGTCAGAGCTACCAAAAAACAACAAGTAAATATGGTGAATAAAGTGCCACATACATTTACATATAGGACCATAGAGACACCTTTAGGTCCACGAACAAGGCTATATTTTCTTGGAGTCCCTCCGGGACAGCGTAGAGAGAACACATTATTATATGTAGATGTTCCCTGTGGAGTTACTGCTATAGATTTATCAAAGCCCTTAGAATGGAAAAACTTACTGGAAACATTTAGTGCCACTCCACTTCTTGGACAATACACAAAAGAAGAGCAGCTTTTGAGAGAAAGAAAACGTCTTGGACATTTTGGAATCACATCTTACAATGTTGATACCACTAGTGGGAGGTTTGTGTTTCCGGCATGTAACAGTCTGTACACATTTGTTGACTCTGTAGGCTCAGATGGACAATTTCAGGTAAAAGATAAGCGTTCTTTAAAGTAAATCTTTGTACATCTCTCTAGCATGAGCGCTTTAATAAAATGTGCTATTCATGTTTGAAATGCCATGTTTTCAACCTTAATGAAAACCCTGTTGCTTTTTAGTAATTAATCGAATGTTTTAAGAACACCAAAATGTCAACACTTCTCTATCTGAAGACTAGTAAACAGGTTTTCACTTATGTAGTCAGAATGCACAATCCTCATGTTTTAATAGATCCCAATTTTCATTATCATTGGTGGATCGCTTGACAGTTTCCATTTTCATGATTTCAGACAAATCCTGTATTCCCAACTGAGGTGATAAGCTCTGCCCTGGGGGTGAGGCTTGACCCACAGCTGTGCCCACACAACCCTCATCTCCTGGCCTTCATTAACAACAGTGATGTCTGGGTGACAAACATCCTCACTGGGGAGGAGCGACGACTCACATTTGCTCATAAAGGTATGTTGAAATAAAGATGCAAGATTGGTAGTTAGAAGATCTCAAATAAAAGAGATCACATGTTGAACGACCATATATTTTTGATGAAAATTGACATTCTTCTTTTATATCATATTTCTTAACTGGATCGAATATTTTGATAAAGCACGTCATCAAAGATTCTAGTGTAGTATGCTGGTGTAGTTCTAAATACACATTTTTTGAATACCCTTCTTTGTGTTTGTAATATCAGTTCCATTTACAGGTTGCAAGAATATAGCTGAAGACCCAAAGAGTGCTGGTGTTCCATCATTTGTGGTTCAGGAGGAGTTTGATCGCTACACAGGCTACTGGTGGCAACCTTGCAAAACTACAGGTAGGTCAGGTGATCGCTACACAGGCTACTGACGGCAACCTTGTTAAAGTACAGGTAGGCCAGGTGATCGCTACACAGGCTACTGGTGCCAACCTTGCAAAAATACAGGTAGATCAGGTGATCGCTACATGGGCTACTGGTGCCAACCTTGTAAAAGTACAGGTAGATCAGGTGATCGCTACACGGGCTACTGGTGGCAACCTTGCAAAAATACAGGTAGGTTAGGTGACTGCTACACGGGCTACTGATGGCAACCTTGCAAAAATACAGGTAGGTTAGGTGACTGCTACACGGGCTACTGGTGGCAACCTTGCAAAAATATAGGTAGGCCAGGTGACTGCTACACTGGCTACTGGTGGCAACCTTGCAAAAATACAGGTAGGTAAGGTGACTGCTACACGGGCTACTGGTGGCAACCTTGTAAAAGTACAGGTATGTCTGGTGACTGCTACACGGGCTACTGGTGGCAACCTTGTAAAAGTACAATTATGTCAGGTGATTGAATTGCAGACATTGGATAAACCATGTATCATTTGCAATTATTTAAGTTGATTTAGGGAAATGTAGAAAAGCATTTATGATTGAATTACAAAAAGAATTGTCACTTGGATCATCTATGTTAGCAGAATAGCTTTAAAAGTGACCTGTACTGTGACCCATTGAGTTTTTCATATAGGTGAACCTTCGTATTAGTGAAACTCATAAATGGAACACTAATCATGGTCAAAAGTGTATTCCACTTACATGAAGATTATAATTATCCATTATAAAGGAAAATGCCATTACCATATACTTATAGGAAATATTATCAGATTTATGGAGTGTACATAATAAACTTTATCCACTGAGCAAATAAATCTTCTGATCCCAAAATGTTTGTATCCAACAATTCCTGTATTGTAGATGATGGGACATATAGGGTCTTGTACGAGGAAGTGGATGAATCTGAAGTTGACATTCTCCACATTGTGTCTCCAGATGAACATTCAGTAGATGATTATAGATATCCCAGAGCAGGTACCCAAACACACTTTCACCATTTTTTTTAATTTAACCCTTAAACAGTTAGGTCAAAGTTAATGAAATACCCAAATTGTCAGTAGGTTTGAATTGATCAATCCCTATGTTCTTAGAATATGAATTTCTTACTGGGAATTGAATAATCTTTCCCGTGACAACTAATACACCTTCCTAGGATTTGTTGTTTTTGAGATAGAGGTGTTGATGTAATTCTCTAATAGCCTAACCATTTGAGGGTTAACTCATCTCTTGTTATGTCTCCACCAAAAAGTGGTGATATGTCACCACCAAAAAGTGGTGATATATTGTTATGGTCTCTGTTTTTGTGGCGGAGGTTGGTGGTTGGTGGGTGGCAGTTGGTGGTTGGCGATAGGCAAGTGGTGGTTGGCATCTGTAACAAATTCGTCTAACTTCCAATAACTTTACAAATACTGTTTAGACTGGCTTCAATTTTTCAGAAGTTCTAATCTGACTTTGTATTAAAAATTTGACCTTCAATGACCTTTTAAAGGTGAAAAAAGGATATAAAGATCAAAAAGGTCTTTTTTCAACTTGCTTCAAATTTACCAATTTTTTCGAAATCATCGACAAGTTATCAGAAGTTCACTTCTGACTTTACATTTGAGATTTGACTTCAATGACCTTCTCAAGGTCAGAAAAGATCAAAAAGGTTTTTTTAACTTGCTTCAAATTGACCAATTTCTTTTTCAAAAGTTCAAATCTGACTATAGATTTGACATTCAGTGACAATCTCAAGGTAAAAAACGATTCGACTTTCAATGAGCTTCTCAGGGTCAAGGTCAAAAAGGTATTTTTCCAACTTGCTTCAAATTGACCAATTTCTTTTTTCAAAATCATTAGATGCAAGTTCTCAGAAGTTCGAATCTGACTTTAGATATGAGATTTCACCTTCAATGACCTCAAGGTAAAAAAAGATCTTTTCTCAACAATTATGTACTTTTAACATAGGCTAGAAATCCCAAAATCCTTTGTTTTAATCATCTTAATCATGGCAGGAAAATAAAATACCAAACAGTGTTTTTAGAGATGAGTTACATGAATTTACAATTCTAATTCTAGGTACTGCTAATGCCAAATGCATCTTGAAGATGTTAGAGTTCAGTGTCAACGAAAATAGGGTAAGGATGAAAAACTGATGTTTGCATTACTCTAATAAATCTCTACTTAAATAATACCAGAAAGTACAGTATAAGCTGTGTAAGTGAAATGCTTATGGTTCTGTTAGAAAATATTCCATTTAGAATGTGTTTGACTTAGTCAGTGGGTCAAAGAACTCTGAGGTGTTCCACTTATAGAGTTGTTACACTTGTAGAGTGGTTCCACTTATATAGTTGTTCCACTTGTAGAAGGGTTCCACTTATAGAGTTGTTCCACTTGTAGAGTTGTTCCACTTGTAGAGTTGGTCCACCTTATAGAGTTGGTCCACTTGTAGAGTTGTTGCACTTGTAGAGTTGTTCCACTTATAGAGTTGTTCCACTTGCTGTATGTGAAATCTTAGAATGTACTCAAACAGGATGAATATAGCATTCATTGTATACTGTACATGTACATGTAATTGTATATTTCTTTGTAAAGGTGTGCAATGTTAAGGAACTCCACATGAAAGAAGCTCTTAGTCACATGTTCCCATGGTTGGAATACATTGGATATAGTGTTTTTATAATTGTATATTTCTGTATAGGTGTGCAATGTTAAGGAACTCCACATGAAAGAAGGTCTTAGTCACATGTTCCCATGATTGGAATACATTGGATATAGTGTTTTTATAATTGTATATTTTTGTATAGGTGTGCAATGTTAAGGAACTCCACATGAAAGAAGCTCTTAGTCACATGTTCCCATGGTTGGAATACATTGGATATAGTGTTTTTATAATTGTATATTTCTGTATAGGTGTGCAATGTTAAGGAACTCCACATGAAAGAAGCTCTTAGTCACATGTTCCCATGATTGGAATACATTGGATATAGTGTTTTTATAATTGTATATTTCTGTATAGGTGTGCAATGTTAAGGAACTCCACATGAAAGAAGCTCTCAGTCACATGTTCCCATGGTTGGAATACATTGGATATAGTGTTTTTATAATTGTATATTTCTGTATAGGTGTGCAATGTTAAGGAACTCCACATGAAAGAAGCTCTTAGTCACATGTTCCCATGGTTAGAATACATTGGATATAGTGTTTTTATAATTAGACTCCAGATGAAAATCTGGAGTCTATTGCTTTTGCCAGTTTTCTTTATTAGACTCCAGATATCAATCTGGAGTCTATTGTTTTTGCCAGTATTCTTCTTCTTTATTATTAGACTCCAGATGAAAATCTGGAGTCTATTGCTTTTGCCAGTTTTCTTTATTATTAGACTCCAGATGAAAATCTGGAGTCTATTGCTTTCGTCAGTTTTCTTTATTATTATTATTATTCTTTCAGAATCTTCCTCCTTCCCAGATTTCTCACCAACTAGAAGAATTTACTTTAAGCTGCTTACATGATTAACTAGGGGCAGTACCTGGGATGATGGGAAATTAGATCAAATTTTTATCTAGGTCAAGGGTCAAGAACTAGGTCAAATCAAGGTCAAATCAACATTCTGTCAATTATCTTCGTTGTTGTTTGTCGTAACTACTTCATCTTAGTTTCTTAATGTAGCTTAGAAAAAAACAAATCGAGAGTGTGCCATCCGTTTTTTGATTACTCTTAGCGATTTTGAGATATGGCGTCCTGAAAGTAGGTCAAAACCAAAAAGTTCTCCAAATTTAATATATGAGCTATGAATTAAGGGTAGAATTTTCTCAGGAATCCGAATCTGCAAACCAAATTTTGATCCGACTTCCCGTTCGGAAGTTATGGCGTTTTGAAAGCTCAAAAATCGCTAAATTTGGTGCCCATGTTAAGTCAATGGGAAAAAAGATTTTTTTGAAGTGAAAAATACGAAATATAGACTGAGTTCAGCTAAATATAATGAAAGCTTTTAAAAGAAGGGGACCTCATAAGCCATCTAGCTTCAAAATTTGGACACCAAAATGCCTAGGTCAAAATCTAGGTCAAATTCAAAGTTTTTCCTTATTTTTGCGATTCTGACACAACAGATTAATTATATTCTTCGAAATTTTGTATACATGTAGCTAAGAGTCTGCTTATAGTGTTAGCCTTTTGCCGTCAGAAAGTATTTTGCCCCATTTTTGAGATATGGTGTCCGAAAAGTAGGTCAAAATAAAAAATTCTCAAAATTTGACGTTTGAGTTATGAATTAAGTATAGAATTTTCTCAGGAATCCGAATCTGCAAACCAAATTTCGATCCGACTTCCGGTTTGGAAGTTATGGCGTGTCAGAAAAGTAGGTCAAAATAAAAAGTTTTCAAATTTAACGTATGAGCTATGAATTAAGGATAGAATTTTCTCTGGAATCCAAATCTGCAAACCAAATTTCGATCTGACTTCCGGTTCGGAAGTTATGGCGTTTTGAAAGCTCAAAAATCGCTAAATTTGGTGCCCCATGTTATGTCAATGGGAAAAAAAAATTTTTTGAAGTGTAAAATGCGAGATATAGACTAAGTACAGGTAAACATAATGGAAGCCCATAAAAGAAGGGGACCCTCAAAACCTTCTAATCTTGAAAATTTGGACAACAAAATGCCTAGGTCAAAATCTAGGTCAAATTCAAAGCTTTTCCTTATTTTTGCGATTCTGACACCACACTTTAATTATATTCTTAGAAATTGTGTATACATGTAGCCAAGAGTGTGCTAATAGTGTTAGCCTTTTGCCGTCAAAAAGTATTTTGACCCACTTTTGAGATATGGTGTCCCAAAATAGGTCAAAATAAAAAAATCTTCAAATGTAACGTATGAGTTATGAATAAGGGGTAGAATTTTATCAGGAATCCGAATCTGCAAATCAAATTTTGATTAGACCTCCTGTTCGGAAGTTATTGTGTTTTGAAAGCTCAAAAATCGCTAAATTTGCTGCCCCATGTTATGTCAATGGGAAAAAAGATTTTTTTGAAGTGTAAAATACGAGATATAGACTGAGTACAGCTTAATATAATGAACGCCTATTTAAGAAGGGGGCCTCGAAGGCTACTTAGCTCCAAAATTTGGACACCAAAATGCCTAGGTCAAAATCTAGGTCTTTATAGTTTTCCCTTATTTTTGCGATTCTGACACTATATTTAAATGATTTGCTTTACAATTTTGTATACAGGTAGCAAAGAGTATGCTAATAGTGTTAGCGTTTTGCCGTCAGAAAGTATTTTGACCCACTTTTGAGATATGGTGTCCGAAAAGTAGGCCAAAGTTAAAAGTTTTCCAAATTTAACGTATGAGTTATGAATTAAGGGTAGAACTTTCTCAGAAATCTAGATCTGCAAACCAAATTTCGATGCGACTACTTGTTCTGAAGTTATGGCGTTTTGAAATCTCAAAAATCTCTAAATTTGGTGCCCCATGTTAAATCAATGGGACCGAATAATTTTTTGAAGTATAAAAATAAGAGATATAGAATGAGTACAGCTAAACATAATGAAAGCCCATAGAAGAAGGGGACCTCAAAAGCTACTTTCCTTCAAAGTTTGGACACCAAAATACCTAGTTCAAAATCTAGGTCAAATTCATATTTTTTTTTATTTTGCGATTCTGACACTACACTTCAATGATATTCTCCGAAATTTTGGAAACTTGTAGCAAAGAGTGTGCTAATAATGTTAACATTTTGCCGTCAATAAGTTTTTTGACCCACTTTTGAGATATGGTGTCCGAAATGTAGGTCAAAATAAAAAGTTCTCCAATTTTAAAGTATGAGTTATGAATTAGGGGTAGAATTTCCTCAGAAATCCGGATCTGAAATTAAAATTGCAATCCGACCCCCGGTTTAGATTCTACGCCATTTTGAACTTTGAAATTCCACTTGCCAGTATTCACGATGCAGATTGATCAAATATACTTCCAAAAATTCCTGCATACCCTACTTTACCTCTCTACCTACTCAGCTACTTATTTGACTACTTACTCAATTACTTAATTAGTTATTACTTCCTTAGCAACTTACTCAGCTACTAACTCAGGTACTTACTCAGCTACTTACTCAGCTACCTACTCAGCTTTTTACTCAGTTACTTACTCAGCTACTTACTCAACTACTACTAAGGTACTTACTCAGCTAATTACTCAGTTACTTACTCAGCTCTTTACTGATCTATCTAGGTCAAATAAATCTGGAGTCTTAAATTGAACTTGTTCAATTTCACAAATCTAGTTATTATTCTTCTTCCTCCTTCCCAGATTTCTCGACAACTAGAAGAGCTTACTTTAAGCTGCTTACATGACCAACTAGGGAATGTATCTGGGCTGATGGGAAATTAGGTCAAATTTTTATCTGGGTCAAAGGTCAAGAACTAGGTCAAATCTAGCATTTTCAACATTCTTTCAATTATCTTCGTCGTTATTTATTGAAACAACTTTGTCTTTTTTTCATCGTGTAGCTTAGAAACAGCTCTTTTAAAGATATGCCATCAGATTTTTGATTACTCGTACCGATTTTGAGATATGGCGTCCGGAAAGTAGGTCAGAACAAAAAGTTCTCCAAATTCAACATTTGAGTTATTAAATAAGCGTAGAATGATCTCAGGAATCCGAATCTGCAAACCAAATTTCGATCCGACTTCTGGTATGGAAGTTATGGCGTTTTGAAAGCTCAAAAATCGCTAAATTTGGTGCCCATGTTAAGTCAATGGGAAAAAAAGATTTTTTTGAAGTGAAAAATACGAAATATAGACGAGTTCAGCTAAAAATAATGGAAGCTTTTAAAAGAAGGGGACCTCAAAAACCATCTAGCTTAAAAATGTGGACACAAAAATGCCTAGGTCAAAATCTAGGTCAAATTCAAAGTTTTTCCTTATTTTTGCGATTCTGACACTACACTTTAATTATATTCTTCGAAATTGTGTAGACATGTAGCCAAGAGTATGCTAATAGTGTAAGCCTTTTGCCGTCAGAAAGTATTTTGACCCACTTTTGAGATATGGTGTCCCAAAAGTAGGTCAAAATAAAAAATTCTTCAAATTTAACGTATGAGTTATGAAATAAGTGTAGAATGATCTCAGGAATCCGAAACTGCAAAC